TCGGATTCAACCCTCGGCGGAGCTCGCAATACGCCTCAACGGCGGCGCTGACAGACACGAAGATAAAGACACGAAGCTGCAGAAGTAGATATTTAATTAACTTACGATTACGAGTACTCGAAAAAACATCTGCTGTCTGCAGCACGGGTACGGTTCGGTATTAGTCCGTTTTTTTCGGGAAATTGCACCCTACAACTTTGGAACGATCAAGATTGTCTATATGGCTTCTAAGCGATGTTTACGGGGCCTTGAACGACGCTACTTGGGGGGAACTTTTGTGAACCCCAGGTATTCGGGTATGTCGTTTCTCTTCTGGTCGATGTCATAGCTTTTTGGGGAGCTTTTTTCTGGGCTTGTCACTTATTTACAGTCCCTGGATGCCGCTGAAATGGCGAAAGATCAGCAATGTCAGTTCTGTTCGAATATGTTCACTAAAGGCGCGGGATTTGCCAACCATATCAAGGCCTGCAGCAAGAAAGTCCAAGCCCAACCGCCCCCTGCCGCGACCCAATCCCGTCCTGATCAGCTCCCCCTTCAGTCCTTCCTGTCTGGGACACATTATAACCTCCCGAAACGAGTGCCAAAGGCAGTCCGACGTCCATGCGCACAGAGCCTTACCCAAATACTCCGTAAATGCGTACGCGAAAACTCTTCAGCGTCATGGGTAGATTTGTTGTTGTTTGGTTCAAGAGCCCTGTCCTTACCGGCCGCGAAATCAGTCCGAAAGGAATCGCTGTCCACAATTATCCGCAGAAATCTGGCTGACATGTCCTGTCATCACCATCCTCCCCGTACACGTAGCAGCAGCGACAGAACCCGTAAAGACGAGCTGAACGAAGAGCGGCAGGCGGCCCTGATGACGTCTCTGTTACAAGACAATAATATTCGACGGGCCGTCGGAGTGATCATGGGTGAGGATGCACTCGCGCCCATGAACGCGGACACTGTGGAGTCCCTACGCAGCAAACATCCCCCGGAACCACTAGACAGTGATTACCCACCGCCACCCGAACAGTCGATCAAGCCTCCTTTAGTCACACCCGCCGAAGTTTTGAAAGCCGTTCTAAGCTTTCCCTCAGGTTCTGCTGGCGGATGCTCAGACCTACGGCCGCAACATCTTAAAGATTTACTCTGTGGGCCCGGAGCAGAAGAGAGTGATTTATGTTCCGCCTTAACTGACTTCGTGAATCATGTACTACACAACGAAGTCCCCGAAGATATCAGGCCCTTTTTCTTCGGCGCCAATCTAATCCCATTGGCCAAAAAAGACGGCGGCATACGTCCTATCGCAGTTGGAGAAACTCTCAGACGTCTGATATCGAAAGTGGTTAGTCAGCGGTGCACTGAGAAGATGAAAGAACTGTGTAACCAAGTGCAGTTTGGTTTTGGAATTAAAGGGGGAGCCGAGGCCATCATCCACGGGGTGCGCGCCTATTTGGAAACACCTCACTCCGGAGCGCGGGTAATTGTCAAGCTGGATTTCAAAAACGCATTTAATATGTTGAGACGAGACGCGCTACTACGGGCTGTCCGTGAACATTTTCCTGCCTACTACGGCTACTTTTGGCAGTCTTACCGTTACAGCTCTCATCTGGTCTGCGGAGAAGAAACGTTGGCATCCGCTCGGGGAGTACAGCAGGGCGACCCGTCAGGCCCACTCGGCTACAGCCTAGGCACGCTACCACTATTTACCGATCTAGACTGCGAATTGTTACTGGCTTTTCTTGACGATGTTACCTTAGCAGGGACAGTGGAAAAAGTAATAGCGGCCATTAAGCGAATACAAGAACGAGCGGCAAAGTTGGGCCTGGAACTGAATTTTAGCAAATGCGAATTCTTCCCAGTTGTGACGAATGAAGTAGATGAATCATTTATTCGCATAAGCCTGCTGAGCAACTGGCCAAACATGATACAGCTCAAAGCAGACAATTTTACCTTGCTGGGAGCTCCAATGACGTCGTCAGCATGTGCAGGATTTTTGACCAGTAAAACCGAGCAACTTAAAAAATTCGTACATCGCTTGGAGAAACTGCCTGCTCATTACAGCCTTTTTCTCCTCAAGAACTGTCTCAGCGTCCCGAAAGTGCTATACGGTTTACGCACTTCCCGTTGTTATGAACATCATCAGTTGCTAAAAGAATATGACGATATGCTACGGTTGGGAGTTGAGCGGTTGGTTAATGTACAGATATCCGAAGTACAGTGGACTCAGATGTCACTTCCAGTACGACGGGGAGGTTTGGGGACGCGCCGCATAGAGACACTAGCTGTTTGTGCCTATTTGGCATCGGTGTACTCTGTGCTGCCTATCGTCTCTGAATTCTACCAGCCGACTGAAAAGTGTCTAACGGAAGCAGCTTTGGAGTCCTGGTTACAGCAGACGCAGTGCGAAACCCCACCAGATTTTATTCGGAAATTTCAATACGCGTGGGATGCGCCAATGATTGAGCGGGACATTTCCATGTTGATGTCGAGTACAGAAGGAAACGAACGTAACAGGGCTGTGTTGCTGGCTGCACTAAGCAAAGACTCGGGAGCCTGGTTGAATGCGTTGCCTGCTCCATGTCTGGGAACATTCCTTAGAGATGATGATGTCCGAATCGGTGTCGCATTGCGGTTTGGATTGCCAGTGGTAGTGGCGCACAACTGTATTGCATGCGGCAAGCAAGTGGAAACTAACGGACACCACGGGTTGTCCTGCAATAAGTCAACCAAAGGACGATGGGCGCGGCACCAAGAAATGAACAGTATTGCTAAAAATTGTTGCGAAAGCGCCGGTTTTCCCTGTCAACTAGAACCGACCGGCTTATCGAGCAAGGACGGAAAAAGACCCGACGGGATGACGCTGATTCCAGTCCGCCATGGCAAACCACTGGTGTGGGATGTAACCAGTTGGTGCACGGTCGCAGACTCTCATGTCACCGGCAGCTCGAGGAAAGCTGGATACGTGGCTCAGCTCGCAGAGAATGCCAAGCGCCGGACATATTCATTTGTGGAAAATGGAAACTTTTTTATCCTTTAGTGATTGAGACGTTGGGAGTATTTGGCCCCGCTTTCAGTGAATTGCTGCATTTCATGGGCCGTAAAATTCGAGACTTAACTGGAGAAGCGCGTTCTACTGCTTTCATTAAGCAACGTTTTAGTCTCGCCGTTGTAAAAGGAAATGCTACGGCAGTTTTGAGCACGTTACCTTTTAACCCACGAGAAGATCGAGATTTTGGTTGCTTTTTTAATGTTTAAATTTTAACTATTAAGTAGTGTACCGGCGCTTGCAGTTATTGTTATCGTGGTGGCTATTGCCCATTAAAATTTACTGATATTTAATAATACGTTACAGATTCTATTTAAAATGATATATATTATTTATTAATATTTATAAATTGATATATTTGTTTAATTATTAAATTTGATTTATTATTTACCGTATTACGGCGCCCCGCTGCGTTTAAGCCGAATAGATGCTGGTGGACCGGCCCATAGTTACCGGCGTTGTGCAGTCCGGCATGTCAGAGATCGTCCTCGGACATTTGCGCCGTAAAAACAGAACGGTGGTCAGTCATGGTACGCAAGCCGTAAGAGTACAATTAAAAAAAATATTAAAAGAGCCTGTTCGAAGGCGCTTTCGTTTCGATATAGCGGTTTTCGGTGGCACCGCGTCGAGTTCCGAGGTTTAGGCCTCGAGGTGCGCCTGGACACGAAGGAAAGGTACCGGGCGCTGACCCGCATATAAACTCTTCCAGTATCATAAAAACTGGTAGATAACGTTCGTACGACAAATAAAATTTTGCTGTAAATCGTATAATGCAATGCACAGAACTTGCGAAGCCGATATATCGATACGCCTTTCCAAAAATTTCAAAAGTTAAGACAATCTGACCAAAAGTCACACGCTCAACCTGTGTTTCCGCGTTTCAGTTTATCATTATTTCATTTACTTTGTTTCATAATTTCCAGGCTTCCGCTCTGTGTTTCATGCCTCGTGTTTGATATCTCCCTCTGGAGATCAAGTTATGTGTGTTACACTGTTTCATGTTTCTTAGGTTTACGTTTCATTGAATAAGTAGTTCATCTTTACACTGACTTGCGCGCGGTTAATATAATATCTGCTCTTCAAGATTTCGTTATAACATTCGCTTCTATTAAACCGTGCAAAATTAAGCGGACAATCTCCCGCTTTTTTTTACATGCCTGTACCACCTATGTGTTTTTGCAATGGATAATACCTTCAGGTAAAATATGCACTCTGCTCCATAATAATAGGTGCTTACTTGAATTTCAAAATAAATACGGTAATACATGTACTTACTGTCATCTCGTTTAGTCGTTATGCCAAACAACAATATAAACATTAAATTATGCTAAATTTATCTGGATTTATAGAAAGGTGATGTACGTGATAGTGTGCAAGGCTCGGAACGCCATTGATTGATCACACGGCAACTGATTTTTGACCGCCTTATGGAAGTTTACAGTTTTAAATTAAGCGTTTCCGTATTTAGCAGCATGGGGAATATCTGCGCGGTAATCCTGATGTGTGCTTAGAACGGAACCGTGATGCTGATCGTTCGACGCTGATCGTTTGGAATAAAACTGTATATAGTACGTAAATCACTTTGGTGCCATATTAAGGCTCACAATTTTTTGTTTTCCGACGTAAGACAAGATACATAGATTAAAATCTGTAGCGATGACACACCGGTGGAATTCTTTGTTAAGTCGTCGTATATTACGTGATAACTACATACGAAACTGTTTCTTACCACTGTTTCTTACCTTAACTACATACGAAACAGAGGCTGTTTCTTACCTTCTGGTACAATTATGTCACACCCAGCTGTATTTACAGACTATGCGACCAAAAATGGACTAAAAATAGAGCTGCGTACATTTTCATGTGGGGTATACTCGGTACAAGAACGATTTGCACGCTTATGTTTGCTCACGTGCGGCTTGAAGAAGTCTATCAATACTAATTCTTGTGATACTTGCAACAGTTTGCGTTTAATCATTTGGCAGTCTTATTTCACACATAGCTCCCCAATCGGATGTTGCCGATACAAACGGTTTTCACGCCAGGGTACAAGTCATTTGGGCAACCAAAATCATAAAAATGTGCAAAAAGGTGGTTGACATTGCGCGAAAGCAACCGTTTCCGTTTATGCATACGAATTTTAACTAAGTATCCGGTCAACTTATAGTTCCCAGTCTTCCTTAAGAACCTGCCAAGATTTCACGGTAAACGGTAACTTGACCGTAATATGTGGTAGTAGGTTAACGATTTGGTGGTCTCTTAATTGATCTCGTAAGCCGTTGCATCATCACTTGCATGGTATGGACATCCTATGCAACTGGTGGCCAAAATGATGAGGGCGCCATGCTACTAATTGTCCGCTGTTTTCACTGTATCCCCACTGGAATTACACCACCCTCCACCCTCTGAACAATTATCTTCGCAGTTCCAACCTTATTTCCTTGGCTGTCCACTATCCACGGGTCTTCCAAGAATGACGGCCCGTTCTGGAGATTTTCTATTAACGAAACGCAAGTGTAACTTTGTAGTTTTATAGCAATACTCGTATCAAATAATCTGTTCAGTTTTTCGATGCGAAGAACAGATCTAGGCGCAGACCGAATGCCTGGCACGGTGTAATTACACACTGCTTTGAGAAACTATCGTCCCCCTTTGTAGAAGCGCATACACCTTACCAGGCACTCTGACTCTTGGCGTCGTGCGGGGCAACGTTGGTCTCTCTGTTGCAGTCAGCAACGATGAAGTGGCTGAATTCGTCAACGGTGATGCGGTTGTAACCGGTTTCACTGTTGTGGCCTGATTGTCCAGTAGTTCTGACAATTGCAGCGAGCAACAGCTTGGTTAGTCACAGGCAGGTATGTTTTCATACATTATCGATCCCAGTAAAATTGATTTTAAAACAAACCTATGAAGCTGCTTGCCGCGGCTGCCGAGCATCCGAACCTTCGGTGGATTCGGGTGACATCCAGCGGGCTCAGGTTGTCATGTTGACCAATTCTGGATCGCCCAGATGTCGGGACAACCGTGGGAATTTCGCTGTTCCTTGCAAATGCGTTGAAAGGGTAGTGCATAATCGATTCATAGTCATAAGGAAGTCCATACGTGTTACCCGATTCATACTTTTCAAATTGATTTTTAGCACCTGCAAAATGCAACTTTACAGATGCTAAACATGGATATTTGTGGGATATCCATGGATATTTGTGGGATGTCCATGTTCGTCCATAGGCAAGTTTATCTGTATTGGTTAGCCCGTCACCTTGATCGTGATTGTCGCGACATAGCTTTATAGTATTTATCTGTATAGTCGCTGCTGGTACAGCACCTTCGGCTATGTTCTGCCAGATAATGGTGATATAGGTGTCTCTGTCGGCGCGTGACTGCTCATGAAGGAATCCGAGGGCATGCAGTATTTCGTGCTGAACATCGCCATGATGCTTCAGACAGCCGGAAGCCAGCGAAATTTGTCGCCGTCCTCCAATACGTCCAATACTGGACATACATCTGAAGGCGGAATCAAGCATGAGCACTAATCTGGAAGATAGCCATGTGAGCTTGATTTTACTGTAGACTTTTCTGGAACGTTATATAATCGTCTTCCGTGGTCCGGGGTCGCACTTCCTTTACGCACTTCCCAGTCATGAGGCTGATTATGCTCATGGATTCCAGAATAATTCGCGTCTCTTGAACAGCTAGCAAATAGATATAGAGCAAGAAATTTAAATCGGACTGTTAACATGCAGTGCTTTAGATCCTACTCAATGTGGCGAACTGTTTCCGGGTGAATTCGTACGGGATGGTGTTATTCGGCCAGAAAAGGACGGCATCGTTCATGGCGTTGGCTGCACCCTGCAGCATTATTTTGACAAGAAATACTTAAGACAAAATTTGTCTATTGAGGAACGCCAATGAATGTTGCTCGTACTTGCATCTGCGTTGTCTCGATCCCCACAATGTCGCCTTCCGCTAAGTCACTGTCATATCGCTCTGGATCTGCTCCGTCGTTTTGCGCTAGGATATCGGGATGGATAAAATCGCGCCAGTCTAAATATAAAAAAAACATCTAACGTTGAAAAGCACCATTAGTACAGAGGTTCTGGTCAGCAGAATGGTGCAACGTACTGTTCGGCAGCGCGCTGGAGCCTGCCGGTGTCCAGAATGGGCACAACGCGACCGCAGCCAACACGAGCATCCTGTTAACGTTGGCAAGTACAGTTGCAATTGCACTTGTCTGAAAAGAGTCTGCTCGACTTCGCAATCTGGCTGATGCAGCGTATCACGAGCCGTGTTTTAGCTTGGACAAAATTGCTTGTGGCCTTTGCGACTCAGCTGCATGGGCTGCTCGCTAGGGGGCACGAAAACCGGTATTTTTTATTATATGCATAACAGAATTTAATGTGCGATCCTATAATAATATAATACAGTACTCTGGTGGTCTACTTACATGTTCGTATGACATGCAATGGGCTTGACAATTTTGGTTGTTTTCCTCTTAGAAGACACGGGCGTTGAACGAAGCAAAAATTAATTTAGCATTCTCGCTTTGAGCAGCTCATTCTCGCTTTGAGCAGCTCATTCTCGCTTTGAGCAGCTCATTCTCGCTTTGATCAGCTCATTCTCGCTTTGAGCAGCTCGAATACGGATCTTAATTTTTTAGCACTGTAAAACCGTGTATCCGTGTACTGTATGTTAACTGTAGTGACCTTTAGCAATATTTTGATTGGAAACTTTAAATATCATGGGAAACCCCGAAGACGGGGACGACTCTCATGTGGAAGATTTATCTCACCTACAGTATGTTGATCTGATCAAGAAACTATCCGATATCATTGACGAATTGTACGACAACCTGCCATCCAAAGGTTCCAAGACCAAAATTCTGCCGATTCTGACCGATAACCAGGAGGCGTTGAAGCGCATTCCCTCCCTGCTGAAAGACCATCACATTCGCCTGTATGAAAACGCCCTGAAAACGGAGACCCAGCTGAGCACTGAGAAGGAACGTGTGATCCAACTGACCCGCGCAAATGTCAACACTGCCGGTGCTACCACCAACGACTACGATACGGCAGAGCCATCCCGCCAGCGAGCAACCTACGCCAAGGTGGTCACCAGCTCCAGGCCGCCAAACCAAAAGAAAGTCCTGCTGTTACAACCTAAAGATGCCGCCCCGACCAACCGTGCCCGTAAGTCCGCCAACGAGATGGCTGATTTCTGCAAAACTCTGACCGAAATTCTACCCAATGGAATGGAAACTGCTAACATCACCCATATGAGACCGGCATCAGGTAAGTCAGTACTGGTGGAATTCAAAAGCGAAGAAGATGCTGTGAGAGGAGAAGCGATGTTTGGTGAACATTCAGACAGACTTGGTGTGTCTATTAAAAAGCCCGCTTCCCGAAAATACAGAATGATCGTACGTAAAGTGCCAGTTGCCTTAACGGAAGATGAGTTTTTACGTGAGCTTTCGTCAAAAAATTTGCCAGAAAAAAGCGAGGTCAAAGTGGTAACGTTTTTGAAAAGTAGACGTGCCGATCGTAGTACTTGTGCAGTTGTTATCGAAGTTGACCTTGCGACAAGAAATAATTTGCTAAACGACAGACAAACTGTGAAATTAGGGTGGTTTCTGTGTCCCGTTTCTGATCATTTCTATATTCCTCAGTGCAAAAAATGCTGCGAATTTTTCCATGATGAGAGAGATTGTAAAAACAAGCCTTTGTGCGTATTGTGCTAAAGAGCATTTGTCAAGTGATTGTAAAGAAGATGATAATTTCGCTTGTGTGTGCGCCAATTGCCGTAAAGCCGGTAAATCGTCAGCTGAAAATATGCATTCGGCCTTTGCACACGACTGGTGTGATGTCTACGTAGATCTAAAAAGTTCGAAAACCTTTTACAGTAGCTATCGAAAAAACGAAGTAAGATCCGGGAACCTATGAAAGCTGATCCAACAATCATTGTGAAAGAAAATTCTACCTTGAAACCTGAAGTGAAAATTTCTAACCGGTTACGTAATGCTTGTACAGCTAAGATCCGTTATTCCAATGTAAGAAGTGTTAACAAAAAAGACAGCGAAATAAAATTTTTTTGTTCCGAAGCGGATATTATTGGTCTAACTGAGATTTGGGACGTTGATGAATTTGTTGATGAAAAGTTCGCGGATCTTCGTTCTTTTAACGTTTTCAGGAAAAAGCGAGTCGGTAAAATAGGTGGCGGAGTTGCATTAATTGTTCGACAAAACCTTAGACCCTTTAGGTTAACAGAACTGGAAACGGATACTCTTGAAGCAATTTTTGTTAAAATTTCTACATTTCTCCTGAAAAAGTTCAATCAACGATTCCGATCCTGTTACAGCATCTTGAAGAAAAAATTCCGGTTGTTAACATGTCTAAATTAATTATAATTGGTGATTTTAACATGCCAGGCAATAACTGGTTGAATATGAAAGGTCACTCACAAGTTGGCGATGATTTCATTTACTTCTTAAATGAATTTTCTCTAAGCCAAATAATTAATTTCCCAACTCGTGAAACAAATTGTTTAGATTCTTGCGTGCTTTCCCCTAAGACGTGCGTGGCATACGTGAAGCCAATCAATCCACCGTCAGTCAAATGCGATCACATCGCCTTTGAACTCTCCATTTCAGTGAAACGTAAAAAGTTTGTGCCGTATATGCCGCCGCGATGGTATATCTCGAATGCCGATGTACAAAATTTCGTAACTGATTTAACTGAGATTAACTGGACTGACCTTTTGAAATCTTCGAATACCAACAACCGTGTAGAAAAGTTCGAAAAAGTATTTATTGAAATTGCTGAACGATATTTCGTTTACAAGAGCGTAAAAGTTCGCGGCACCATTTTCTATCCGATAAACATAAAAAAGTCAATTAAACGGAGAAATAAAGCTTTCAAAAACTATCGTGATTTTATTACCTGCTCCAACGAAGAGCTAAAACGTCGCCTCAAATCAATATGGAAAAATTTATCGAGAAAAGCTGAACGGTTGATATGTAAATTTGAACGTTGGCGCTTGACTGACGCTGCCACAGCAAGTCGTAATGATCCTAAGAAGTTTTGGCGTTTCGTCAAGTCTACCAGTAATAAGATCGGTATTCCCCCACTAAAGCTAAATGATGGCAATTTTGTTTCTTCTGATCTCCAAAAAGCATCTACGTTAAATCATGTTTATGCTGAATCTCAGGGACCGTGCAAGGAACACTGCATAGGGTCAGGTCTAAATTTGAGTATAGAGAACGAAGAGCCGGCTGTAATATCCGAGAGCATGATCTATTACCATATTGCACGTTGTTCGTCCACGTCTTCTAGTGGTCCTTTTAAAATCACTAACACCTTATTGAAATTAGCTGCTCCAGCGATCATCAAGCCGCTAAAAGTTATTTTCGAAGGCGCTTCAAATGAAGGTTGCTTTCCAACAATATGGAAAAAGTCTTTTATTGTCCCCATTCCAAAAAACTCGAAAGACCATACAAATCCGAATAATTATCGCCCGATCTCCATGCTAAGCCCTTTATCAAAAGTTTTTGAACGATGCATAGACGAGCATATTCGTGAATATCTTAGAAAACACCTTAAATTAACTGACCACCAGTTTGCTTATCGCGAGAAACGCTCGTGCGAGCTACAGAATTTCTGGCTTATAAAATCTGTTAGTGACTTTGTCGAACGTGGTACCGATGTTCATGCCATATTTCTTGATTGCTCGAAAGCATTCGACAAATGTGACCATGAAAAAATTCTGCAAGCACTGATCAGATTGGGAATCTGCAGTCAGGTAGTTCACATAATAGACGATTATTTACGAAACCGTGTCCAGTGTGTTATTATAAATGGTAATGTTTCGGATTTTTTGAAGGTAACTAGTGGGGTCCCGCAGGGTTCTGTCTTAGGACCATGCTTGTTTATTTGTCTGCTAAATTTCCTTTCTTTTATTCTTACCCACGGCAGCGAACTATTAATTTTCGCCGATGATATTGCTGTTTATCGCCCAATAATAACAGAAAGTGATAAGAATGCGTTACAGGTTGATATCGGAAATGTAAAAAATTGGGCCGATGAGAATAAACTTTTCTTTAACGTTAGCAAAACCTTTCATGTCTGTTTCTCGAAGAAAAGGTCACTTACGAGTACGCATGAGTATTTTCTTGATGGTACTGCAATAGAGCGCTGTGAAAGTGTGAAGTATCTGGGTATCGTTGTAGACCGCTCATTAAAATGGAAGGAAAATACGGACGCTGTCGTTTCGAAATGTAGAAAAAGAATCCGTTGGATAAATTTTTTATTTAAAAGAGTAAATTCTGCTGCCCGCATTCAGTTATTTAAATCCTTAGTGCTACCTGTCTTTGACTATTGTTGTTCTGTTGTCCCTCCCTTTCATAAAACCAGCCGAGATAAACTTGACAAATGTATGGAGCGATTTCTAAAAACCGTCCCTTTGGGCCATAGCGACTTTAAAGGTCAATTAAATGAGTTAAATTGGGACTGTTTCGAAGTTCGCAGGATGAAGAAATGTCTAATCCTCGCCTACAAATTAATATTTTGCCGCATCCCGCTTGGGGAGAGATTTTATCTTCCATATGAACACGATTCCGCTGGTTTTGTTTCTGTTGCAGGTAACACCCGGTCCGTACACCGACTCCTAAATCACCCGTATCCAATTCGCCCAGCCCCGACAGTGCTTTGCGGAAATTCGGTAATACCGTCGCCGGAATCCTTTGTTCATAAAGTCTGTAAGCTATGGAACGAAATAATCTTACCGAAAGAATCCTATTCTTCAGTCAACACCTTCAAGGATGCCCTCGACAGAGTCACCTGGAGTAAACTGCAGTGGACAAAACTGCAGCGGACTAAGAAAAACTGCGATACCGACCTGTTGTACTAGATTATCAATTATATAATATTTCTTCTGACCACGAACGGACCTCTGACGACTGCTTCCACTTTGTTTATTGTTTGTCGGAATATGAGCATGTACCACGTAAACGTGTAATGACCTTTTACAAATTTTAAAACTTTTATTTTTGATAATGTCGACTTTTGTTGCTTTTGTCTCGAGAGTCAAATGCTTTGAGGGGACCGTGTCCCGATGCATAAGACAATAAATTCAATTCAATTAATTTAATACTTCTTAATTTAGCACAAAAATTGCATTTGTTAATATTTGACCATAACGCTATTACGAAACATCAGGTTTTAAATCCATAACAAACAAAATATGTTCACGTAATGGCTTCTCTATTATACGAGGCGAGGCGTATGCATAAATCTGATTTCTTTGACAAAAAATTCTTAAGCGCTTCTCATACAACAAATACTGCAGCGATCGGAATCAAAATCATCAAATTAAACCCCACAGACTATGTTTACGGAAAATTACACACTTTCATCGCGCAAACTGCGCAGCAACCACTAACAGCCTAAAACTGGTACGTTCATAATTATAAATGGATTTGTTATGAAATATCTCGTATACAGGTATCAAATAAGCGAACCGATATTTTACGCCTTTTTCTTTGTTACGATGTATCGCCTTCAATAGCATATCTACTCGTTAATGAGTAATGACGTACGCTAACAATAAGTACTACCGCAGACATTTCTGGCCATTACGAAAAAGCACTAAAGCAAGATAGGAAAGCGTTCTCTTTGTTGGATTACATGTCGGAACTGGAGGATCTGATGCCACTCATACCAGTGTGCTTAAAAAATTTCGGGGTTCCGGTTAAACAAAGCTCTCTTGGTAAAGCTGTAATGCTTAATCACAATCTACGTTAATTATCAAGGTAAGCACGGTAAAGTGTAAAGCAAGAAGTGCAGTGTAAAGCAAGCGTAATGCTTATCGATCCTTCCAGCTCGCATAAATTATCTGGAAGTCCCTTGTTAAAGTCAGTCACCACTTCCTTTAAGTACTTAAGTCAATCTGACAAAAATCAAATTTATTCCGAGATGTTGCACCATAATGGTGTATGTTTAGCCGGAAATGACGCAGCAACACCAGAACAAGAAAGCATGAGAAATTATGGATCGTTTCTGAAGAATTTTAATGCAATTATGACATTGGTAAGCGTATCGACTCACGTCACATAATACACCATTTTTAATCCTGCAAAAACGTGTGCGATTCTTCCTGAAACACAACCGCCGATGACATCAACATCAATCGTATCGTTATGCAACGGCAGAACGAGCACCTCCGCCGTACTCTCGGGTTATTAACTTTATAACTGCCGGGCATCTCTCAGCCCGAGTAATTGCGCGCTCTTACACCGGGTTAAACAGGATGGATTGATTGAGGCTCAGGTTTAATTCCCGGGTGCATCCCGCTATCGAGTAAATCGACCCCTACCGCCCACACCTCTATCCGCTGTCATTTGCGCGCTGTCACTCCGGTGCTCACTATAAAACACACCACTTATGGATTATTAATTGCCGGCCCATTGATTTCCTTTTGCGCGCGCTCCTCACATTTTGTTTGTCATACCGGCGCCATCGTTAATTTCTATCACTCCGATCTTCAACCGTCACGATTGATATTTACTCTTCCTGCCAAACACGACGAATTCGTCTTCCGGGATAATTCTCGGATTAAGCACGCCGGTATCTTCATTGACATTATGCACGAAAACACAGAATTTCTCGTTTAAAATGCCGGTGATAAATAGCTGTAATTTAACAAACGCTAATATTTCTTTCGCGCGCAACTGTTCACCGGCGATTAATGTCACCGTTCCCGCGATTATTTCAACATGGTATTTCCCAGCGGTATCCCGCGTGATTCTCTGCATCCTCCAACTAACGCTAAACATCGCTATGCTGTCAGCATTCATCATCCGCAAAGACCTCCGCACTTCCTTCACCGTGTACATAATTTTCTTACTATCCAGCAACGTTTTTTACGCTTTATGCGAGCATCCTCTGGAGATCATTCGCATCAGCTATTCCGCGTGGTGGCTGCCATCCGGCGCGTGTTCCTTATACCTATATTTACTGTGGGTGTCCTGCGCCGTCCCCATGCACACGCACGTGCTCATCACCATTAACCGCATTTGGGCCATCGCCTTCCCGCATTCCTACCGGCAACATCATTCTTCTAAGGTGGCCTGTTTAATGTGTCTGGGGAATGTTGTTTACGTGCATGTGGTGTGTTTACCGCTGGTGATGCTGGATCAGCTGCGGTATGCGGTCAATGCGGAAAAGTACGGCTGCTCGCTGAATTTCGATGTCAGCCAGGTGAACGACTACGCCAGCACGGTGCAGTTTATTGTGTACGATGGACCGATTGTGTTTGTGGTGTTGGCCTATCCGTTTCTGTATTATAAACAAACGCAGCGGCGGAAGATTGGGAGTAGTTGGAGTAGTGGGCGGCCCAGTGTGTCGCATCGCCGGGAGAGCACGAATCCCGGGGATGACGAGGAGTTGGGGGAAGTTGGGCAGAAAAAGGTAAATAAATACGCGCACGTCATAATTATAGAAGCAGTTATAATACAGTGTGATTGCAGCTGTTTGCATATACGACGGAATGGTAAAACTATGTGTGTCGGCGTTGATCTCCCACACAAACCGGTTTTTACCTACGTAATACCTTGGCTAATAATGTTAACCAGATGAACCAATTTCGCGCGTACGTCTTTTTGCTTCAGAAATAAATTCCTGAACATCGATTTTGTTTAACGTATGGATTATTGAACAGGCGTAGTAGCAATCGACATATTGCAGAGCGTTTACGATAGTCGAACATTTAATGCAGTTTCTCGTAATTTAAGACGCAGTTGTATACGCTATACGCTTTGCTGGTCCAATAATTTGTTTCTCTCACGATAAGCACGTTCCGTGTATGGGCAAAACATTGAAATTTAATTAAATTTCCATGAATTGCTTAAATTTGGATGAATCGCTTAACGATATTCCCGATGACTAATAATTATTAATTTTTATGTTTTCCAGACTCAGATAACGAAGACGATTACGACCGGCAAGGAAGCCTCGCGGCCCTTCGTCGTGCTAACGTTGTTGACAATTAGCGTGTTCATTTGCTGGACTCCGGTGATGACCTTTTGGACCATTACCTGCTTCGTCTCCCTGGATTCAGATATGACAGTGTTTAGAAATTTTGCCGTTGTGCTGTTCGCTTTACAACCTGTGCTGGATCCGATCCTGTTTGCTGTTAGTTTGCAAAGTTTTCGCACGATCGTTGTTCGCGGGTTGAGCAAACTGACGAAGTGTTGATAGCGCAAACGATCTACAAAATTGTGGGCAACGAAATCAAAGTGATGTTACACAGCTGTTCGTTCGACATTTTTCTGCCATGCAATAAGTAACTCCCGTACAGCCCATAAATCTGCTTGGTAAAGCCGGAAAATGTAATGAACAAAAGTTTTTTAAAAGAATGAAAATGACGAAACTGACAGTTTCCTAAAATTGCCGCTCTGAAGAAAAGGAAGCGCACACGCTAAAATAATAAATAGCCAATGCAAAAATAAAAGTACTTATTATCTGCTCAAAAATCACCGGCTTGGCCAAATTTTCTATCTCATCTCCATAATATATGCCGTGCTTGTGCTGAAAGAATCATGCACCATGCAGTTTATAAGTTAGACATTCATAAGTTTACGTACATAAATACTCTGTACACGATCTGCGTACGTACAGACTACGTACGTACATACTCTGTACACGATCCTTTTACCTTCATTACAATAATCGATTATCGTTTGGCGATAGCCCTAAAGAAATGTCGAAATAGGTCACTAAATCAAAATTCAATAGCCAAAAACCTAGTGAGTGCTTCTTCCGATTCTGCAACACGGTCATCATGCAGTAACTGGTTAGTGTGCAGTAATTTTTGGCCGGTGACAAAATCCCGGCAGCTGACATGACAACCGGAACATGTTCACATGAATGCACTTCACATCAGTGTACAGGCTGTTACGGACGATCATCTGCGTAGTGTGTACAAATGTTGTGTAGCACCTGCGCGTTAAGGAAACTGAGTACAACTGCAAATCCAATAAAAATAGTTAGTCTGTAAGTTATTAAAAATTTACGTCATGTTTTTTATGTTTGTTTAGAAAACGCCAGCAAGTTTCGATCCGTAACAAGGGTATTTAGGCGCCTTTAACATGAACAAATTAAACGCGTTTTCTCGATAGCATATGCAATGACAGCGGCTGCACCATGCAGAGAATGGCATTCCCATTTCCTACACAGCAAAACACCATGTGCATGTCGAAATGCATGCCGCCCGCAATTATTCCGTTTATTTAAACACGAATCCGGAAGCATTAAAACTATTCAGACAAGAAATAATTCTCGTCAATTTAGCACCAGACAAAATCACTAGGCGGTGCACACTGCGCCTTTCCGTGCGGAAATCGAACCACATCCCGGGCGGACAGGTCTGCACGGCCTGTTGCGGAGGATTGATGTTAGACCAGCAGTAGCACCAGTACGGCTGACACAGCGCCAGTCCGTACCACGTGTACGCCCCGCCCCGTCCTTGGCAGTTGGCCAGGTTGCAGGCTTTGGCAAAGATAGCTGGTGGAGGCGACGGCCATGACGCGTTGCTCAGGGGCGCCGGTGCCTTCGGCGCGCAGAAGGTGGCGTTGGGGGCTTTGCACGACAGCGTGGATTTGTCGAAATACTGACCGACATCGCAGCGCTGCCACGTGGGCACTTTGTTCTGGCAGTTGCAGTAGTTCTTGCTGCACGGACTCAACTGGTAGTTGCCACCGGCTTTGTCGAAGCAGAACAGAGGATCGCAACGGTCGTAACCTGAAAAATGTTGACGTCAAAATTTATTATTCTTTAGATACTCCTATGCTTTTTTCAGGATAGCATAGAAAAGCTGATCATAGCAAGCATCTAATAAATAACCAAAACATGGGGAAAACCTAATTATACAGTCCACTACACTTGTAGATACGTCATACCACACTCGTTACAGCAAGTCTGAACCAAAAATAAAAAGGGCTGTACATGCTAATTACATAAGATAATAATACACCTAATAAATTTTAGCTTAAGTACGGCAACAATGCATAGAATTACATGGAAACCACCAAAACCTTTAAGTAATAATTACCATACTGTATATCGGATACAAACTAAGAATGTACCAAATTGAAGACCTAATGCAATATATATAAATAAATTATGTGTTACGAGTATGGCTGGGTGAAGTACAGTTTGTATGGACAGCCTTACTGTGACGTAGTTCGCAACGGAAGGAAGTGGCCAGAAAGTATCAGCCAATTAGTAATGTGCTAAGTGTACTTTGATCTCTCATAAAACAATCAATAAAATGTTGACTTATGGTTTGTCTATGAGTGCTTTTGAGATGGAGGCGTGTTCTCTCGTCTTTCATATTTTGTATCAAAAATCACTGATGATTGCTCGAGGGAGAAGAACTTCTTGTGAATGAATTAGTATCATCTAGCATGGCTAGCAGCTCTGGAATATCTTGTCGGGAAAGTGTTCTCTGAATAACGTCTTAGCCTTGATGTTGTTGCACTGTTAGCTTGAATGAGTTTAGATAAAGGTCATCGTGATTAAGGTTGATTGGGTTAGCGTCAGCTTAGTTGTCATACAGCCGTTAGGTCATACCACCTCAAACATCAACTAACACCTATCAGTTGACAGATGCCTGATAAAATAATACATAACAGACGCCGAAAAAAATGCAAACGCATAAGAAAGCCACTATAAACTATGTACAGAACTAGAGATACACGTACCAGCAGGGCGACCGGCTTTGGCGGGCGTTGTGATCGGCGTCGTCGTCGTTGTGGTCGTCGTCGTGCTGGTCGTCGTCGACGGCCCGGTGGTGGTCGTGGTCTGCAGCGCGGTCCCCGCCATCAAATAATCCTCAATTCCTAAATGGTTAGTTCCCCGGAGGAACTTGAAGAACCCCCCGATCCCCCATCCAGTCCCCCAGGAATTGGCCACCAACCAGTAATCCACCCCGTTCTCCGTGCCCCAACCAATCAACTTGACGGCGTGCCCGCCTACCAGGCCGCCGGTCACGTGCTGGTACACTCCAGACTGATAGGAGTACAGATCTTGATACACCTGAATAACCGTCGTCATAGGCCCGTTGGACATGAGCTCAAACTGGATCTGTTTTATGACGGATTCGTTCTTCACGGACACCGCAGGCCGCCGGTGGGACCGCTTGTGAACAGGTTGCCCATACCGTAATAAGTTCCACCTGCAGATACGAGAGTGAGAATGAAAGGACCAAAGAAAACTGGACTGGTAAAATAACAAATACGTTTTTTGCACTGCGGACATTTTTGCAATATGGATTCGCGTAGCGGACACCAGACACACGGGATTCTCCGCGACGTTCCCCATGACAAAAACTTTTCAAAACTTGTTTACGGGATAATTATGTAAGGGCGGGCCGCCCCGCCCTCCTGAGTAGCTATTCGCTGTTTCTGGGGATTTTCACCCCGCACATTTCTGCGCTGTTTTGACGGACCTGCAGCACAGTTGCACTGGCTGCAGGATCCTTCCTCATTAGTCTGGTGTTGCTGCGCCACGGTGCGCATTAGATTCGGCAATAAAGCCTCATCCGGGTTCACCGCTGTTCGCTGTCGAGGATACGCGTGGCGCCCATACGGCCCCGCGTTATATGGTAGCAGATCTGGCTATCGTTTCCAGCTGCGCGCGCTCGTCGCGCCCGCAGCACCTCTGAGTTATGAACCCCATTTAACCCCGGGGTGTGGAGCTACATTCCCACCCCCACGCGGAACGTGATGGATCCTCCCAACTGACGGAGATGGACGCCTCCCGCGATGGATTCCTCCTCAGAATGGACGGAGATGCCTCCCCAGAATGGACGGAGAAGCCGCGGGGCGAGAAACGCCTCCTGCGATGCCGCGGAGCGAGAAACGCCTCCTGCGATGCCGACGGCGAACGCGACCCGGACCAGCGGGAAACCAGAACGGATACACCGCCAACAGCAGCACCAACTCCGATCCCAACGGCACGGATCGACCACCAGCACCACGCCGAGAATTCCCCCACCAAAACACTGCCCGAACTTCCTGGGACGGCGACATCGCCCCGGACGGAGCAGTGGATTTCACCGCGGATTTGCGTGCTTTGTTTTTTTTGCAGGGGTCACGGGCCACATAGACCCCAAACCCCTGCCCAAATTTCCCCAGAACGTGACCTTTCCCTTGCTGAAGAAACCACGGAATTTACCCGTTTCCGGGTTGGACCCTGGATCTGGCGCGACAGTGCGCTGACCCAGACGGTTGACTCGGACCGAACCGGAGCCGACCTGACCCGGAACCCAACCTGAGCCGAACCGGATTTGAGCCGACCAAACTGGAACCGAGCCGACCGGATTAACCGCCCGAACCGGACCGGCGGGGGGTGCGGATCCTCCGAATCCTGGGAGATTTCGCTCCGAGGACGTAGCGATGCCTGCAAAAGGGGTGTAAGGGCGGGACGCCCCGCCCTCCTGAGTAGCTATTCGCTGTTTCTGGGGATTTCCCCCCCGAACATTGCTGCGCTGTTTTGACAGATCTGCAGCACAGTTGCACTGGCTGCAGAATCCTTCCTTGCGAGTCTGGTGTTGCTGCGCCACGGTGCGCATTAGATTCGGCAATAAAGCCTCATCCGGGTTCACCGCTGTTCGCTGTCGAGGATACGCGTGGCGCCCATACGGCCCCGCGTTATAATTAGCGCTTTTGTACAAGCTTGTACACGAGATTATTAAAAAAATAAATATAAATAAAAAACTGCGTTTTAACGTGGAAAAACGCAGAGAATGCCGTTTCTCTGGTGTTCGGTGCGCCGGCTCGTACGCGAACCCATATTGTGATAATGACCGGAATGCAAAAAACCTCGAAGATTACTTTACCAAAAAATTTATCTTGCGCGTATGTCCTAGTGAATGTCGGATTCCAGCAGGAGCTGTTGCAGCTGGTGGAGGTGGTAGCGGTCGCCACTGCAGTGGTGAATGCCTGGTACGGCATGCAACCCTGGTTGCTGCCGTAATCTCCACCGGTGACGAGGCCTTTGTTAATGAACATGGTGTACGGAACGTCCACATAGCCACCGTTACTGCAATCAGGACAACGTTGTTACCACGTACGTATACTGTCGAAAAGGCGGATGGTTAAAATTAACTAAAATTCTTTAATTACCACAAATTGGCGCTCCCGCCACTGCACACTAGCGGGTCCTGTACAGCTAGTTTCGCGTAGACATTTTGTCCAGCCGATGCGATGCAGATACGGTCTGAGAGCACGGACACTCCGGCATGAGCCTACACAGAATTTTATAAGTATGCCACATATTAATTCAGGTACTTTGTATAAAAGGAGAACGAAAAAAACCAGACAAAGAGTAAAATCAAACGGTAAATAAACTTTCATCAATTTACACACCCAGCATGACCCGCACATGCCTTGATTGCGAATCTCCTGGATGCTTTGGCAGTTGGGCCAATTAAGCCGTGCATCAAACGACGGTGGCAGACTTAACCGTGACAACGTCGATTCTTTGCTGGGGATTTTACTTGGCTGTTTACTGATTTCGTCCATGGACCGGCTTTGGCTGCCGGACATTTTGGCCAGTGTGGCCATGTCGTACTCCGTCAAACTGGTCGGTCCGGCTTGCCATGTACTAGCCGGCAAATTTTCCACGTATCTGATAATCCCAAACCATGTTTAATTATTTCATGCATAACCACTCATAAAAACAGTTTTCGCTTACTCGATAATATCATCATGGCTGTTTTGCGCGGAAATTACCGCTAGGAAAACCGGGAAATAAAGTGCGATTTTCCACATAGCGCTGCCGCGTTATTTGAAGGGTTTCCGAAAAATCCGAAACTGATTCCCCATAACTGGAAAAAGCTGGAAATCACGGGACATTAATACCGTGTTTCCGTAAACGCCAAGAGGTCCTGTGTGATGAGTGAGCGTAATAAATGCCAGCGATGACGATGCGCTATGGTTTTATGAGTGCTCCTTAGTTCGGCTTAGGTAGCAGCAGTAACAGCCGCACCGCTCGTGTCGACCATTCTGATAAATTTGTCGTGCCTTGTTGACTTCGTCTGCTACGTGTGCGGTTTCACTCCACTCCAGTAATCCGTCATGTGAAACGGGAAATTGGCTTAGAACACAGAAACTTCGCTTCGCAGTGATTATACTGTCACTGCCGGCCGTTATACGTACACGGTACACACAGTAAAACACGCACTCAATGTACTGCACTATATTTACTGCAGTACTCACGGAATGTGGCAACTGGCAATTCGGTAACAATTAATAATGCTATGTACTTGGTAACGTCCTTTCTACTTTTTCGTGCTACCGGTCGTACTTCTTACCTTAGTCGTTCAGTTAGCTGGGTGCTGCCAGCATCAAATGTAATGTTATTAAAGCGGTACTTACTTATAACGGTATATCTGTATGCTACACATATCACAAGTCTCTACTCCATGTATTAACTTTTTACATCGATCAGAATTGAATCGTTAAAGAGTGGCGTCGGTAAAGCGATGGTGTTTTTTTCAAATCCACTAAGAGATTTAAACACGCGTTAAGTATGGTTTCATTCCTTGGTGGCTGACGAGAAAGCCAAGATGGATATATAAGATCCGAGCGTAATTACTTGATGTGTATTTGCTGCCAGACAGCAATTACTCCATTTGCCAAGGTTTCCTAGGAATATTCATTTATTGAACGATTTCTTAGGTACTGTAATCAATCATTCGAATCATGCGTGTTTACCAAGATTTCGATGCTAAATTTTTTTCTGTGGACGCCGTTGCTTGTTCAAGTACTTATGATATTGTACTTCAATTCTCAGATGAACACCATGGGAAATACGGACGAGACCGGGCGTTTCTGGCGGCCATGGTTGTCGGTAAATTCACCCGTCTCTTGCACGTTGCAATTTTACCGAGAATCCGCTGTTAAATATGTTATATTCAGTTTTAACTTAAAGCAGACCCTTTTTAAAGGTATGATTTGCATCGGTTTTTTAGCAACACGCCATGAGTATGGACGACCCGAAAAACGGTCAATCTGCTTTTAGACTTTTCCGCCCAACCGATTCCACCCCGGACTGCAAGATGAACGTTCGCCATCGCACTGAATGGCGACCTAAAGGCAGTAAAGCATGGTTTCGCCCGTACTGCGAAAGGTCGTTTGGACGGCACTCCACGGCTCTGCGACATCTGCTGGGTGCACAAAATGATCAAACCTTTCCGTGCCGGATATATCGCGAGTATCAGGACTGTGCTATGACGAAGCTGGGAGGACGAACTTACGAAGGGTGGAGGGAAAGTGATACAAACCGTATGATCCCACTGCTTCCCAAAGATGTGGAAGAAGGTATGCAACTGCGTTATACGGCACAACACCAGAATAAAGTGCCAGTGTCGCACGATTCAGCCAACAGTTTTAGAGAAAAGGTTCCACTGACGTCAGCGAAAGGCTCTAGCATTGCCGAATCAGCATCACGTAAGCGTCGCTCGTCCAGTGCTTCAGTGGAAATACTGGATGTGGTCCAAAGATCGCCAGTCACGATGAAGAGCATGCAGCGTTTACCGGAGCTCAGTGCGGTTCAAATGTCGATGGAGCCGGGCGACAGTTTCCTGGTTACGGTCTACAACGCTGACGGTACAACAGCTGCCCAGGTTACCGCATCCGCAGTTATATTTCCTCTTATGGTTACCGTGGCGAGACAGTCAGCGTTCCTACCGTTCAATGCAGCCGCAGAGCACCATCTGCCTCGCCACACAGCGGAACACGCAATGAACTTTAGGGGTTTTCAACTATGAAAAAGAGCAAAATTTCCATCATAATCACAGCTTTCTGGTGACTTGCTAGTGCGTGTATTGAGTTTTCTAATGAGTTTGTGAAATGATGTTTGTGCATTGTGTACCTTTCACCGGATGGTTAGATTGTGCAGATTGTGGAAACATAAAAGTCTGGCACCACCTCCCTGCAGTGATGCCAGACCATTACTTCAAGAATACTCAGATTACCAAACTTACTTTGTCCATACTTACTGTCCATGCTTACTTACCATGCTTACTGGGTACAGCGATGTATGCTGGGGTAGCACAAGCGTCGAAAGTATAGGAAAAAGGGTACTGCGTTGTACAGCTTTTAATCTATCGTAGTGAAAAGATGTATTAATTATTATCAGCCTACATAAATAATTATTTGGTTTGCGTCACTTTACATCATGCTCTTCGTGTTTGTTCAGAGACCGCCAGGGCGACAGCACGACACCATGCCGCTCGCAACAGGTGTATTACCAACTGCAAAGTCTGCAACTAACCGTTTATTCGGACTTGCAACTTCAAGCTTTGAAATTAACACAGGTACAATAACACCATAAGAAACTTTTCACCGATTTAGCACCAGACAAAATCACTGGGCGGTGCACATTGCGCCTTTTCCGTGCGGAAATCGAACCACATCCCGGGCGGACAGGTCTGCACGGCCTGCTGCGGGGGGTTGATGTTGGACCAGCAGTAGCACCAATACGGCTGGCACAGCCCCAGTCCGTACCACGTGTACGCCCCGCCCCGTCCCTGGCAGTTGGCCAGGTTGCACGCTTTGGCGAAGATGGCTGGAGGGGGCGACGGCCAGGACGTGTTGCTAAGAGGCGCGGGGGCCTTCGGCACGCAGAAGTTTTCGTTGGGGGCTTTGCACGACAGCGTGGATTTGTCGAAATACTGACCGACATCGCAGCGCTGCCACGTGGGCACTTTGTTCTGGCAGTTGCAGTAATTCTTGCTGCACGGACTCAGTTGGTAGTTGCCACCGGCTTTGTCGAAGCAGAACAGCGCGTCACAACGGTCATAACCTGGAAAGTTTTGGGGGCAAGTTATACTTTCAGGAAACGTTTTTCAGGAGGACAAAAAAGCTGCTTGAAAGACACCAACACCAGTATGGTGCGCAAGATTCGCTCTGAAGCTGAACTGAAAGCCAGCCTATTTCTGCTGTGACAGCATTATGTAAATACTAAATACTGCATTCATTGTATTATAGTCAGTACTTGACACTGTTTGCAGTCTGTAACCGAGTTCTTTGCCACGAGCGTTCAATAATAGCTATTTCTACCGTTCCCACATAAAGCAACGTAGATGATTACAAAAGTATTGACAAGTTGTAAGCAATAAATTAGTGCATTGTATTACCCATCGCTTAATTTACTCGGCGCAATTTGCGCCGCGTGTGCCGGTACCATAACACAGTCACAAATGACCAACGAAAGCTGCTTTATTTAGTAAAGGTGGCCGCTACAAACTGTTAACACGTACCAGCTGGGCGACCGGCTTTCCCGGGCGTTGTGAACGGCGTCGTTGTTGTTGTTGTCGTTGTTGTTGTTGTTGTCGTCGTCGTACTAGTAGGGGTCGACGGTCCGGAAGTGGTCGTGGTCTGCCGCGCGGTTCCCGTCATTAAATAATCCTCGATTCCCAAATGATTACTTCCCCGGAGGAACTTGAAGAACCCTCCAATCCCCCAACCAGTCCCCCAGGAATTGGCCACCAGCCAGTAATCTACGCCGTTCTCTGTGCCCCAGCCAATCAATCTGACCGCATGCCCACCTACCAAGTTGCCGGTGACGTGTTGGTACACACCCGATTGGTAGGAGTACAAATCTTGATACACTTGAATGACCGTCGTCATAGGCCCGTTGGACATGAGCTCAAACTGGATCTGCTTAACGACGGATTCGTTTTCACGGATGTCGCAGCGCCACCGGTGGGACCGCTGGTGAACAGGTTGCCCATACCGTAATAAGAGTCACCTGCAGATAAAAGCGTTACGACGACTGTGACCAGGAAACATTTGGACTGTAAAAATAACTAATCACATTACCAAAAAATTTATCTTGAGCGTACGTTCTAGTGAACCCGGGGTTCCAGCAGGAGCTGTTGCAGTTGGCGGAAGTGGTAGCGGCCGCCTCAGTGGCGGTGAAAGCCTGGTACGGCATACAGCCCTGGTTGCTGCCGTAATCGCCACCAGTGACGAGGCCCTTGTTAATGAACATGGTGTATGGAACGTCCACGTAGCCCCCTTTACTGTAATGGTACATTCGAGTCATGTTGGCGCATTTACTTCTCAAAGTATTTATAGGTCCACTACAAAAATTACACTTACCACAAACTGCTGTTCCCTCCACTACACACCAACGGGTCCTGCACAGCGAGCTTCGTGTAAACGTTTTGTCCAGCCGATGCGATGCAGATGCGGTCCGATAGCACGGACACACCGGCATGCGCCTGCACAAAATGTATGGGTGTGACCTAATTTTTAACCCGCGAAATCCGTTACAGTTTATGCAACATAGAATTCGTACATGAGATTAGTAATAATTAGTTAATTAGAAAACAGAAAAAAAGGCAGCCAAAAATATACCAGAGTTATACTATCATGTTGTAGAAGTCAAATAAAGCACATGTACTCGAAAGCTTCTCTACATGCACTGGATCAGGATGTACCATACGTAAAAAGCGCAAAATAGAATTGATTTACTCACCCAGCATGACCCGCACGCGCCTTGACTGCGAATCTCCTGGATGCTTTTGCAGTTGGGCCAATTAAGCCGCGCGTCGAACGACGGCGGCAGACTTAGCCGTGACAGCGTCGATTCTTTGCTGGGCGTTTTGCTGGGCTGTCTATTAATTTCCTGGAGCGACCGCCTTTGGGTGCCGGACATTTTGGCCAATGTGGCCATGTCGTACTTCGTTAGGCTGGACGGTCCGGCTTTCCAAGTACTAGCCGGCAAGTTCTTAACGTATCTAGTAATCCCGAACAGTACTAATTAATTCCTCTTAAACAATAATCCCAACAATTTTCGCTTACTTGATAATATCATCATGGCTGCTTCGTGCGGACATAACCGCTGAGAAAACCGGGAAAATAATCGCGATTTGCCACATAGCACAGGCAGATTGCCGAAAATGGAATGGTGTCCGAAAATTCCAAAAACCTGATTTTCCATAACTGGCAAAAAGCTTTAAATTACCGGGCATTGATATCACGTTTCCGTAAACGTGAGAGGAGATTTTGATGAGTGCGCGCAAAACAAAGCCAGCAAGTATGCTGCATTACGATTTCATAAGTTCTTCGGAGTTCGGCTCAGTAGTTGCCGCACCACGCGTGCCGGTCCATTCGGGTAAATATCTTGTTGTGGCTGCTAACGTGTGCGGTTTCACTCCACTTCAGATATCTGTCACGGGAAACGGGAAATTATCTTTGAACACAGAAACTTCGCAGCAATCATGCTGTCATCGCCGACCGTTGTACGCTGAATGTATTAAACAGACACTCACTCAGCGTATTTGCTGCTGTAATCGGAATGTGGCGGTCTCCAGATTCTTCTAATAATTATTATTTTTCCTGCTGCACTTGACAAGTCGCGTCACGACGTATTGGTTACCAGTCGTACAGATACTTCTTACATAATTCTGTAGGTCGTTCTGTTAGCTAGCTGTTGTCTGCATCAAACGAACAGCAAAATTAATAGAGCTATACTTACTGATTACGGTATATACAGTACATCATAACTGTACCGTAGTTGCGTTAATTTTTTATATCGAATCTTACTCAAGCCGTTACAGAGAGTTACGTCGCTAACGCGATCTTGTACTTTTAAATTCAATAATTCATCAAAAGATTGGAATCGGAGGACGTATTAATATGGTTTCATTTTTTGGTGGCCGACGAGAGAGCTTAGATGGAGTTACTGCATTCGAACCTAACCGTTACTTGGTACGTACCTACTGCCAGTCAGCAGTCTTTTGTCCAGATTTCTTGGGAATATCCATTTATTGAGAGCGCAATTTCTGTCGAGAAATCCATTCCTATGTTGCGATTTTTCCGAGAATATGTATAGCTCTCAAGTGAACCCTGCCCTTGTTAAGTAATGATAGATTTTGGTGTTCTACTTTTCAGGTGAACGTCAGGTGTAAAACGGACAAGAATAGCGGTCGTTTCTGGCGCCCGTGGGTGTCAGTAAATCCACCCGCATCTTGTGGTTTCACCGAGAATCCGATGGTAAGTTCTTGCAGCTTGAAGGTGGCGCCTTTTTTTTTAAATTTAATTATTATGTTTTAATTTTCAGGTAAACTCCGTGAGAATGACAGAAAATAAAACCGCTCGATCCGCTCTCAGTGACGTCGTGCCCTTTGAAGCGTTCAGACGTTTCTACTCACCCGATTCCATCCCGGAATGTCAAATCACTGCTGTTCGCCGTCACACTATCAGGGAAACTAGAGGCCGTAGAGAATGGTTTTGCCCATACTGCGACAAGTCGTTTGGACGGCGCTACTCGGCTCTGCGACATCTCTTCGGTGCCGAAATCGAAAACTGCGTTCCGTGTAGGATCTGGCGCAGTGGACTGCACGATGCCGCAGACCGACAGGATTATCTGCATGGTCGGCTGCCGAAGAAATGTCTGTACTATCGCCATTACCAGGATTGTACGGAAACGAAGCTGGGAGGGCGAACATACGCCGAGTGGAGGCAGTGCGATAAAAAGCGGATTATCCGATTGCATCCCAAAGATTTGGAAGAAGGCGTGCAACTGCGCAGTGGCGCACGACAGGAGCATAACTTGCCAGTGTCGGAGGATTTATGGGACAGTTTCGGTTTAACGGTGCCAGTGATGTCGACGAAACCCAATGTCGGTGCTCTAATCAAAAGCTCTTCGCCGATCACAATAAAGAGCATGCCGTGTTTACCGGAGCAGAGTGCGGTTAAAAGATCTTCGAAGCCGGGCGACACGTTCCTTGTCACGGTCAACAACGCTAATGGTATAACAGCAGCCCAGGTTACCGTACCCGCGGATACCTTTCCTCTGCAGATCACTGTGCAGAGGAAATCAGCGTTCAGGCCGGTCACCCGAGCCAAAAAGTAACGATACAAAGCAGCATATGTCTCGCCATTCTACGGAACAGCACGCGAATTTCGCTACAGATTCTCGATCACGAAAAGAAACAGTTATATGTCATCAGAACCCCAGCCTTATGATGACTTGTTAGATCGTGCAGTGTGCTATTTGATGAGCTTGTGAAATGACGTTTTGTCGCTGTGTACAGAACACAAGCGCTTTTCCCGGTGATTTGTTTGTGGGTGTTAAATAAAACATGGTAAACAAAGTTGTGGGTGTTGCTGTTTGATTTTGTTTTGAAATACGCACCGAAAAAATCCATAGTACATATTATACTCGTACAACTTGTACAACGTACTATGTATGTTAGCCATCAACGACCACAACAACATTTTTTACCGAAAATCACGGAGCCCTTTCCCAATGGCCACATTAAGAATAAATTAGGCAAGTACCCCGCAAGCCAGACATATAATCACTCTTTTACAAGAATCTTGCACAGACCGCGACGAAGATCTTTGACACTGAGTAACAAGGAAACCGGGTCGAGCACGGTCTGCAGTGAGCTGATTAGACTGGCGATGGGATACGCCGACAGGATAAATCTCTCGCCTCCGGCCATCTGCGTCACAATGATTGCTTGTTCCGGCAACCAGCAGACAATAGTCAACAGCGACAACAACGTCACGATGCGAAACGTCTCATTGGTCAACGATCTTAGAACACAGTGCGTATTAGCCGTACTGTGTGATCGACCGTCGCGTATGACATTCTTCCGGCTCCGTATGTATTTGTAGAACAGATATGGATACGCCGCCACAATACACAACGGAAGAATGTAAAAGAGAACGTACGCAAAACCGTTTATGACCGAATCCGACTGCACTTTGTACCAGCAACCAAATCTTTGGACCGGACGCGGTCGCACCTTCTCATTGGCCAGAATCTCATAGGAAAAAACGAATGCGGCATACTTTGCGCTGAGTACCGGTAAGTGGTATGCCGCAGCCACTTTTTAGGGCCATTAACTCTGAATAGGCTACCAAGAGTTGATATGCCGTGTGAGTCGCTTTAAAACGATTTCTATTGGCTAATGCTTACGAGCCAACCTCTTACTGCTTTTCCCGTTCCTATTGGACGAGCTCTTGCTATTGCTATTGGGCAGCACAGCTGCTCCCATTGGCGGAATGTATGAAGGTGCCGTTTATATGCTCTTTGCGATTTGCTGGTTTCATAACGAATAATTTTCCTCCCACCCGCTTAAAATTATGATGTTGCATAAAGGCATTGATTTATTAAGAACAGTTTGATTATATTATTGCATTATAGTTTTATAATTTTATTCACGTTTCCAGTACGGAGGTACGAGGGTCGGTATTGCAAACAGGAATTCCCGAGAAACATCAATTCAAGCGAGATTGTAGACTGAACCAATTCGGAGGACAAAATTAAGCACAACAAACAACAGTCATAAACTGAACGAAATATTCAGAGAGATATCTGGAAGCCAGTATCCTAATTAAAACATCAAATTGGAATTGGTCTTCGATGCCTTGATTAAAATCCAAACTGGTCTCAAACGGGAATTCCAGACGCCAGGTTACCTACAAGGCACAAACAGGGCACATTCACTACACTGGAAACCTTATTCCATTTTCAAACAAAATCATTTTCACACCAACGCCAGTCAGTTTTACATTTTTTATTTTGCATGCAGATGTAACTTACCGTTTTGATTTCATTCAGTAGAAGCGGCTTTCCCAGATTTAACTGCAAATGTAACGATGGAAATTCCCGGAATTCCTGTGGAGACAATAAAACACAACTGCTGGATGCCAAGATTCATAGATGCACATAGATTTTCACCCAAATAAAATTTTATTAAAATTGCATTTGCAGGGCTTTACTTTTGTGATGTTAAGCCATTATTTTGACAATAAGCAAAGTAGCACAAGCATATGTCAGGAATTCCCGCGGGATAAAAGAATTCTTACCAGAAAAATTTACCTTAAAGAGGACTGGCGCATCTTTTCGAAAAACGTGCTTTCTTGGTCGTGGAATTTGCCAGATAATTATTATCGTACGAGTTGCTGCCAAACAGCGAACCTCCAAATGAACGCGATTCCATATTTTTATTGGCGTTTGTCGGTTGAAACTCCAAGTTCCTCAACATTATCGTTGACGAAAATCATCACAGGAATTCCCGAACAACAGCAAACCACAAACAATCATATTCCAAAACACGACGGAAGCAAAAAGAACGTCAGGAACTAGATTCTATGGGTTTTTGAATTTGAAAGTTTAAAGTTTGACGTCCTAAAGCAGACTGCAACTACACAGTGCAGACGTTGGGTTTACAGTACTGGTTGCTACGGGACTGAATGTGAGTGTGCAAGACTGTACGTACAGACGTTCAAGTGGGCTGTACACGGCAGGCCGCTTGTTTGCAAGCCAATGGGAATTACAAAAACAACTAGGCTGCGGCATAGTCAGCCGCATAGTAACCGGCAAGTTATGCCGCTTACCACCTATCTATTATGCGCCCAGTCAAAATTTTGGCGTAAGCTCGATTTTCGTGTGAGAATCGCCGGGATGCCCAGAGCGTGTACACATAAAACAACGCCCGCACACAGTCCCCAGGTAAACCACGGGCCATGGTGGTCTTTGTAGCTGATAGGAAAAGTCATGGCCCATACCCTGTTTATCGTGATCAGCGCGTGTGAACATAGACATAAACTGCGGATAAGTGTCGTTCCGTAGATACTGGCAATACAACCGGTGTCACCGGGGAAGAAGCGATTATTCAGCGTACCCAGATTCGCAATAATGGTAAAGGGGAAGTAGAGTATGGTTTCTAGAATGTTGGAAATTAAGAGTGCGATGAGGTATCCGGAAAACGGCGAGCGAATACAGATATTTGGTCGGATGACGTAGAACGTTAAGACTTGTGTATTCAGGAAAAAGGCAATAACGGCGATAATCAGACGAATGACGGCGAACATGCTCCATGTAATCTCGAAAGGAAACACCGTCCATGTGGAATTGGTGGAAGATTTATTCATTATTCGCAAAAATTCGTAGCCTTTTGCGGATCAAATAATGGCAAAATCGTAACGCTGAAAACGCGCATGTATATTGACCTGAGAAGATATAGAAACAAAGTTTAAAAATGCAACATCAAAAACGCAGGGTGCTATGAAACGGCTGGATAGACCCGTTCGACGATGCCGTTACTTTCGGTTGCATGAGCAGTTTCTGTATCCCAGGGCGAACCCGACTGTGTCTCTCTAACCAAGCAGCCGCTATACCAGCTTGCAGTTCAGCGAGGGAAGCTTCCTAATAATTATTATCACTGGCATTACTTCTGCTGTCTGTTTCCGGAAATTCGATATGTTTCGGCTGAACAGACTCTGTAAGAGCAGGCTTCTGTTTGTTTCTGTAATCAGAATTTGGAACTAACCGGAAGCGGTACATTTAGGCCTTGATAATTATCCTAAGCGGAATTGTTGTTTCTGCATTTCCTCCAACATCGACGCAGTCTTACTGACACACAAGAAGCGCAACCATGCGCACGGTGAAGTGTAATTAGAGCGGCAAAGAAAGGTCAACGTAATTGCTAATTAGCAAAATATCGAGTAAAATTGTGCAGCGATTTGTCGTTTCAGTATATCCATTTAATTGGTTCGTCTACGATTTGTCAGCGTTTAAGACCGCTGGCTAATTCAGCTGAATAACATCTACCAGTTTCCGACTTTGGATTACTAGGACAGATTTTCCTAAAAAGCCCATATATTAGAAAGGAACAAGGAAAATTCTGGATTACGGTTTACTCCGTGCAAAGTGCAGTTTACGGAAAGTTTGTGATTTTCACGTACAAATATTTAGGACATATTCGCATTCCTTATCGGAAATGTATCATCCGCAAAACAAAAACACACGCACGATCTTTCACCTCAGTGTTAAATAATTCCTTTGTTTTAAAGTAGTTTCTTCGCAGATGTTGGCGCTTTTGCGCACCAAAAGCAGCGCACGGAGTGTTTACCCGATTAAAACAACTGAAAATCAATACTGTAAGCCCTTCCACAGGGTTCCATCAGCAAATTAAACACGGACTTCATGGAAAATTAACTGATTATACAGTGTACATCTTGCCAGTTCCAATGGATACACCTTGTAAAACACAAGCTGGCATGAAGCAGATCGGTATTTGCCGGTATCGACACTGTTCTTTCTGACGTGAACTTTCTTCCTCGCATTTTTACAATCATGGCAGCTTCCAGTCCTTGGAATTTAAGCTATGATAACTCCATAAACAGTAGCAACAAAGCGTTAATCTTTCCCAGCTTTGCGTCTTTGAGAAACCACACAGCCACTCAGCTCGTTCAGACATGGAATTTTACCGCTGTTTCACGGACTGCGCTGTGTATTTTACAGTTAGCTCTCAATATTGCGATGCTATCCGCCTTCGCTGCCCGCAGAGATCTCCGCACATCTTTCACGGTGTACATCATGTTCCTGCTGTGCGCTAATACGGTGTACGCGCTGGTCCAATACCCACTGGAGATTATCCGCGCCAGTTATTCCGTCTGGTGGCTGCCTTCTACCGTGTGCTCGCTGTACCTGTACTTTATCTGGGTGTTCTGCGCCGTTCCCATGCACACCCACATGTTAATTACGATAAATCGCATCTGGGCCATCGCATTCCGCATTCCTACCGGCAGTACCATTCGATGAAAGTGGCGTGTCTAATGTGTCTGGGGAATCTTTTATACGTGCACGTAATTTGTTTGCCGCTGATGCTAATCGATCGGGTGAAGTTTCCGATTGATTTGGATAAGTTTGGCTGCTCGTTAAATTTAGAGGTTGTTGCGGTCAACAATTATGCTACAGCGGTGCAGGTTGTGTTGTATGATGGACCGGTTATTTTTATGGTGGGCGCTTTTCCGTTTTTGTATTACAAGCAACGGCAACGGCGAAAGATCGGAAGCCAGATCCGATTACATGTGTCACATCGTGGCAGCACTATCTGTAGAAATGAAGAAGTCGAAGGCGGGGTTGAAGAAAATCACCCACACCATGTAATAATTATTGTTTTTGCGCTAGAACTTCCGGAATTGCATTGTTACATAGATTAATGAAATGAAATCTTGTCTAGTTTTTGCTGACTCACAAAATCTGTAGGTACGGTCGCCATCCACAATCGGCAACGTCCTTAGCGTGAGAGCACACAAGCGAGAAATGTCCCGGCCCTTTGTCGTTTTGACGCTGTTGACCGTCAGCGTGTTAATTTGCTGGACGCCGGTGATGACGTATTGGACCATCACATGCTTCATCTCGTTGACGTCAGATCCAGTCACCTTTCGGAACTTTGCTGTTGTGTTGTTCGCGCTTCAGGCAGTCCTTGACCCGATTCTCTTTGCTGTCAGTCTGCAGAGCTTCTGGTCAACAATTGCTCAGGCCGCTGCAAAAATCTACAACCGCTGAATGCAGGTGTTTTGGACTGCTCTCGCACCGTCTGCGTTGTTTAGTGGTCGCAAAATAAGTTGATTGTAATAAATTTAGGTAGTTAATGCGATTTTAATAGCGATATTTTACTTTATCGTCGCTTTGGGTGGCTTAAAATTAAGAATTTTGTTTTTCGTAGAACTCAATTTGCACTTACGTGTGATATCAATTTTATTAAAGGTTCCACTTCCCTCATGTCCAAAATGCGGCCGGGTATGAAGCACCTCGCATCTGCGCTGGTCGGCGATGATAAATTTCACGTACGAAACATACAGGCTGAAACATACAGATGCACTTTGCTTTATTTGGCGAATTGCTTCGAAGACGGCTTGTGATATAAACGTACTCAGCGAGTCAATACACAAAAGACAGACAGAAGAGCGCAAGTCTGCAAGATACAGTAACGTGTACTAAAAGGATCTTCTTCAAGAAGAGACCGTCAACACGGATCTATCCACCTGCTCCAGCTGGTTTTTTCGACAAAACAGGATATGCCGTTGCTCACAATAATCCGTTTATTTTATCATTTGAAAAGACTCCATTATATTAAAAATACTCCATCATTTTATTGACCTGAGTCAGTAGAAACTGGTCAAAAGTTTATTAGAAAGTTTGCTACGGCGAATTCTGCCGGTTTATGAGTACGGTCGTTAAATGCTGTTTATCGCAACCGGAGCCATTCTAACGTTAAAACTATTTCGGCGTTAACAATAGTAGTTTATCGCTTGCATTATGGAAGCACGCGGGAAAATGCTCTGTGTTGGTCTTCTCATCCTACTCGTATCAGTTTCATGCGGATTCATTAGTTACGAGCCGCCCATTATTCCGCCGGCCACCGGGGATTGCCACAACGGAGCCGCGGACAGTAATCGCAATATGGAAATATTAATTGACATTGTCAAGAACATCAGGTTTCTGCTCACGGCACCTTGTAGGATCTGTTACATAATTTATGGCAGAGCAAAGTAATTAAAGGTCACGGCACGGCTAAACCGGCCGGTATGCTAACATATGATAATATGCATTAACGGTAACAGAAAGGCAATGCGAGGCAAAGAATTGTTATTAGGAAAGAAATCAGGTAGAAGTACAAAGTGTACTGTCGGAAGTGGTACTGAATGAATGCAGGAATGTATTAGAAGTGAAGAACATCAGTATTTGTAGGCAAAACAAGTAGAGAAGAATAATATCAGATAGCACGAGTGAGCATATCGCTCAAATGAATCAGTAAACAGTAGCAACATCATAAAAGTGAATCAGAGCCGTCGCTTAATTATCTATATAAAAATCATTACGTGACAGATCTTATAAGTATTTGCTAAACAGCCGTTGACATTGATGTTGTACGTTGCAGCGTACAGATGACGGCGGTGGTAAACGGCCTGGCGGATCTCCAGCCTGGACTTGGAGCGGACGCTCGTCCCACCGCTTCCGCTCGGCAGTCTCTGCCGGCCAAGCCTTTGCCGACGGCATTCCCTTCTCCCGCAATACCACCGTCACCGAAACGTACGACGGTTTCTTCTACCAGCTGCTGGCCGGAGCGCGCGATGCCGCTGACATGTTCGGACTATTCTTCCTGACTGTCGTTATTGTCATTGGGGGTCAAATAATTCTCTTCATCGTTAGCTTTATCTTAGGAGAAATAGTGGATGCAGTACTGGAACGAGATCTGCAGCGCATCCGCTTTTATGGCCACATTAGTCGGGGTGCCGCTGTGTATTGCCGTCGTGGTGCTGGTGATCATGACTTTCGTGGCCAAGTTCATCTTACCCCCTCTTTCAGAGGTCTTCCCCCATTCGTGGACTGGCTGATCAACTCTATCAATACTTCGCTTTTACTCGCGTTCCGACCGCTTACAGAATACACCTTCACGTTCCGTCCACCTGTCTGCATTAGTAAACCCCCCTGCGCGCGATTACATTTTTCTACGTAGCTCAGCCTTCGCTTTATCGCTTACTTTTAAATCTGCATCATTCGCTCACTTCAAACGCTCATCCCCCATGCATTACGGAATAATATCACTCAACCAATGGACTAAAAGATGGAGAAAAAATTCACAATATTTTTGATTCCAAATAAGTTGAAATTTATGCCGATAAAGGAAAGTTATAGTCATTTTCCTTTCTCGTAGACAGACCATAGGATCTCTGCGTAGCTCTTCGCCGTTGATTGTATGCTTAAGCGCACGAAAGATCGCCGATGTCTATAACTTCTTTTGATTTCTATGAATTGTCACTAACTTGGGCTTGAAAAATTTATAATTTTTTTCCAAGTATCTTAAATTATTGTTTTAGCGTATTTGCTTCGTAGATTACGAGGGATGAGCATTGAAAGTGAGCCATACGATATGGATTTCAGTATTTTCAATTTTTCATTGTCAAAGCCTGCCGTCGCTACCTTTCAAATGTAACCGCGCGCTAGGGGGTTTACTAATGCAGACCGGTGGTCGGAACGTTAAAGTGTAATCTGTAAGCGGTCGGAACGCGAGTAAAAGCGAAGTACCATAATTAATGGTGCTGCATGCGCCCTTAAGTAGTACAGAATGCGCAGCCAGCTATGCATATGGATGCGTGAGATGTTGTGTTGACTTTACACGGCAACGAACGTGGATTTCAAAATAAGTTTATAGTTCATAACTTCAAATAACTTGTGCCGAATAGGTGTTTATGTTATCTGTTCTGTTGCTCTCAACGGTTTTGCGCAAAATAAATGTTATGCAGTGCCAGAAGTTAACACTGATTTTCGTATTTCAAAAATATGTTTAACTGTCCCAAACACATCGTGTCATCGACGGATTTCCATGAATTGTCTGAGACTGCGAAGCAGTACTTACCGGAGCGACTTACCGGAAAAGGATTATATTTTTAGAGCGAGTGCGTTCAGTTGAAATGTTACTGAAAATTCTTTCAGGAAGCAGAGCAACCAGACTGGATCATTACAGTCTTGCATACCAGCTTTCTACCGTGAGAGATACCAGGGTAAGGGTCCGCAACATTATTACCCGGCACTCTATACTAATTACTACTGTTACGCTTACACTATCCGTAAGACGTAATGAATATCGGGTTTTAGCCACTTTAATAATACTCAGCTAAGAACTAACAAATAACAAGTAAACATGAGCTTATATAACGGCCTAAGCCGGAAATAACAGGACATCCAGGGAAACGACCTAATATCAGACAATCACTCATTGTCAGTACATCTGGCTCACAAGGGCATGAGAAAGGCAAAAACATGGACTATGACCATAGGATAAACGCACACATGACCATAGGTACATGACCATAGGGAAAAACATATATGACCATAGGTTACATTACTACATGAGTAATCCGGTTATGTAACACTACATGTTTGCAGTTCTTTCCGCTAGTGTTGCTGGGAGTCAGAGGCTGTTTGAAAACATACTAGCGTAGCACGATGGAACACGGAGGCTAAAAGGGCATAGAGCTACTTCGTATTCACACCGATAGTAATGCTAAGCCAGATCCAGAAAGATGGCCAAATTTATATGGGTACAGAAAAGCGTTGTTCATGGGCTGATTGCAGTAAAGACAGTAATTCTAATTTATATTTGGCTAAAAATTAAAAAAGCCGCTTTCTGAAGGAGAGTGGAATAATTGCTAATGAAAGGAATATAGTGTCATAGCGAAAGCAAATGAACGGCGACTTTGCCGGCATAATGGTTCTAGAAATTAGTGCTAATGTGATCGTGCTTATTCCTCTTACTTTTCTCGTATCTTGCTGTACCTAGATTTTCAGAAGCGCGTGAACGACTGAATGTTCCACGTCGGAGTAACATCACTCTGATTACGATTATGTTTCATTGCAAATGACAACTGTAATTGTGCCACAGTTTCTGCAACGTTGTCAGCAGGCATAGCTCAATTAAACGGAAAAAATATGTTCTGCTTACACTGGGACGTTTTGCATGGGAATGAGAGATGTGCATTACGATTTTTATGAGAATAACTTGCGGACGATCCAAACAGTGTCTACTGATTCTGCAGAGTGATTCCAAATAATTGCGCTAATTACTATTGCTTCGCGCTAGGATCCTTCATGCACACCTGGCATCGGCTTATTGATGGAGAGTGGTTCAGCGCGGTGTTTGAACGTACAAGATTGTTCTCTGGAACTGCTGCAGCAAGCCAGAAGGAGCGCGATCCTGCAATGAAATGCTGACCACATTTTCAAACAAAGACGTCCAGCTCAGAAGTCAGAACCCACCGTCAGGTGCACAACTGTCCATGTCATCAGAGCACTGCACTATCGGACGCTTCTTATACTTTTCTAGACACGAACCGGGGCTGGCGAGCTCGTAACCTGTTGATGTCTGCAAAAAACAGGGAATCTGGGATCAAGTAAACGTGATATACGAGTAATAAGTGGATAACCTAAGATTCCTAAAGGCAGCTTCTTTTCTGTTAGGCCTTAGATTATAGTGTTGCTGTAGCGAAGTGTCACGGTGTACACTGTAGCCGCCTGTGATGGTGGTCAGGCATGGAAATGCCCCTGTTAATGGATTTCCGACTGAATTAGGAGTGTCTCTGATCTTGATTTATCCATTTTTATGTATTTTCTCCCATTTATGAATAAAAGGTATTATTTAGGGACACCCCACGTTTCCCCATATTGTAGATTATAGGATTTAGGTAGCACTACCTATGACAAATGGCGCTCCTGGTTTGAACAATGTATCAGCCTTTCGGTGGCTGCGGTCTTGCCCCAGCCCAATTTGGGTCGCCGATGCCGATGGCGTACCCTGCAGTTTCCCGGCCAATTCCGCCGCCTTCAGCGGCATATTCTGGATCTCCGACGTCTGCGTGAGAGCGTGTGGCTTCCGCATGCCCGACAGACGACATATCAGTGGATTACGGACTGCCCGAAACGAACGCCTTCCTCTACGGGGCCCGTGCCGTTCCACACCGTATCTCGGACTATTCTAAGGGTTCTTCCAACCCTTCTGCTAATGAACATCTTCCTACTACGATTCTCATACCCGAAGGAAGCTGCAGGGCTTGTTATGTGCCCGACATAGCCCAACAGGTGAGCCAGTACATTCCTTGCAGGGCTGGCTACGTCGATGGAATGGGACCCTTCGCAGTTTTCAGTTCAGGTGAGCACCGGGCCGCCCAAATGGAAAAAGAGCTAGCTGCTCTTAGGAAAGAGAAAGAGCATTACAAGGCGGCCGTAGTTCAGCTCGAACGAGAACGGAACTTCTACAAAGGGGGGGCTGAAAGAAGTCGAGCGCTTTTGCAAGAAATGCAGAGTGGCGCAACCCCTTCGAATTCTGTATCCATCAGTGGCGCGAAGCAGGCCACAACAGGGTATGTCCCTGTTTCGTCTCAACATGCTGAGCGCACCACTCCGCCCCAACCCCTGCGAGCAGTGCAAACTTTCGTCGAGCGCACAGGTCTGGTTACGCCACAACCAGCTGAGGGGACTATAATGGCAAACAGTGCCATTCCGTTAGCTAAACAGGCAGTTGTGGAGAAAAGCGCCATCTCGGCAGCTAGCAGTGCGCCGCCGCAAACCGTTGTTCGGCTACCGTCACCCTCAATGGTAGTCCGTACCATTTCGAGCAATCCCAGGGATATGGGTATTTGCCCATAATCCCGCCTGCCTAATTCCCACAAAGCAGTCCAGTTGGCTTGTGGAAAAGTGGTACACTGCTGTGCACCACTACTGGATCTTCGTACGAAGGATTTGGCTGCGGAACTGAGTCGCATTGCGAATTTAGAGCGACACAGTACCGCACGCGAGTTTCCATACGCGCGTCCGCTGCAGACATCGCGCGCTAGCACAGCTACGTTGCCGCGTTCAAAAAAAGTCTTGCAGCAGTAACCCGGAGGTTTACTGCTGTGTACGGAAGCAAAAGCCCTCCGATTTCGGAGGAGGCTAAGGCGGAGTGGAACCGCCTCCTCTTTGGATACTGGACCGTGATACGGGTGAATCCCTCACCGGCCATGGCAGATGTGGCCAATGTGCCTGCACGGAGCAGGGTGTGGAAGGATCCTGACAAGATGCCTTCTGTGATGGCAGCACAAAAGGGCCACAAGAGGCCCTTCACACCTTCCTGCTTCCACTCACCTTCTTCGGAGGACGCCAGCAGGACGCGAAAGGTCGCCCGAGCAAGAAGTAACTCTTGTTGTTCTGTTTTTGTATAAGAGCATGTGATACTCTTTGTGCTTTCTTTCTTACGGGCTGAGGGCAGCCCTTGTTGGGAGGAGGGGCATGTGTCACGGTGTACACTGTAGCCGCCTGTGATGGTGGTCAGGCATGGAAATGCCCCTGTTAATGGATTTCCGACTGAATTAGGAGTGTCTCTGATCTTGATTTATCCATTTTTATGTATTTTCTCCCATTTATGAATAAAAGGTATTATTTAGGGACACCCCACGTTTCCCCATATTGTAGATTATAGGATTTAGGTAGCACTACCTATGATCTCTGTAAGACTGATACGTCAGCCCATTATCTTCCCAAAACAAAAGAAATCTAAGACTCTTTTCAAAGTATATTAGTATGAAATAATCCAAAAAATTAAATTTCTGCTTTTGTTGACCTTTTGGTAAGGATAGCTTGATCGTTTAAGGATAACTTTGTTTTAAATACTATTTATGTATCATTTGATTTTTACAGTGGACATTGACGTTTTTTATGCTTTTTCTGCCGGTTTAATTTACCGGCATAAAGGTGAATCCGTCCCACAATTCCCGCCAGCCATTAGGGCATTCCGGCACATCAACAGTCTGGCTATGAACTGCAGCGACTGGCTGAGAAACGTGACACACTACGCAGCGGCTGATCTTGCTATCGGAATCCAGCGTTGCCAGCCAATGAGTTGAAATTTGCGATGACTCACTTTGCGCACACTCATCAGGCGCATAGCAATGCAGGTTAGGGGTAAAATGCGGCAGGCAGGATGCCGTCGCTCCTGGCACATAATTTTCCTTCAACGCAGCTGCTTTCAAGAAACCATAGCGCACTTTACCGAGGTCAATGTGTCCTGGTCGGTTTCTGTTATCGGATGCTGCGAAAGAGTACCCCGTCCACAATTGCGTACTGCTAAGGGGACAACGCGGGAGGTCTGCCGACTGTGAATGGTGGACAAGGTAACCAGTCACGGCTCCACCTTTTTCGTGGCTCGAGTTTCTGTTACGGTTCAAAAGAGTGGCTTATGAGTCCGTTCAGTTGTTGCCCAACTCATTAACGTACCTTCAATTTCTCGCTTCCGTCTCCCTAACGACATCATACGACATACAACTGTTAAATTCAAAGACAGTACCGCAGCAAGCGATTACACACCAGATAAACCGGGAAGACCTACAAATTCAGAACTAAATTGTAGACCGGTGGGTGCCACTGCTGTTATTAAACTGGGTAACGGAAAATTGTTTTGTTGACAAGTGGAATGACTCTTACCTGGGGGTCCCGCTAGTCCTGGCCGACCAGGAACTCCAGGCATTCCTGTGATTACACTGTTTTACTTGACCGCAATGATTGTTGATATGGTCATCTTACCCGTATCTCCTTTATCGCCTACAAAAATTTGAGATTGCGGCAACTTTCACTTCTGTGTCTTATAGAAGTTGGCTTAGTTTTTATTAAGATTGCCGAAACAAACCGTCTCGGGTTGCTTCATAATTTTGTAACCTCAACATGGTGATTCTCTAAAATCTATGGCAGCTGTGCATCTCAGCCAGCAGATGGCAGGCTGTTTCTTGTGAAGCTTTGAAAAACTGCTCATAATTAAACCTATAAGCAATTTTAGATGGCATCAGCACGCGGAGAATCGCACCAACCTTTAAGTCCAGGTAATCCAGGTACCCCCGGATTTCCAGATTCGGAATAGTACCCTGTACAATGTGTGGTTTACTCTTGTCAGATAGCAGAATTCTTAGAAATCATCTGTAGAATTTTTGGTTAATTGGGTTATTAATTTTGTGATGCATTCGGAAAGGTGCATGCATATGCATACGGTATCGAACTGTGAGAACGGTTAAAGTATCTAGAGAACAAGGATCGGGACGAAGCTGTGTATTAACTGTTATTTACCATAAATGGTACAGACCTGCATTACGCTCGGAGCAGCCACACGAACCCGGATCTCCTTTGGAACCTTTAATGAAGCTTTACAATTAATATGTTCAATCCGAGCAGGAAAAACATGGCCTTAACTGGCCAACGCTTCAACAAAATTTGTCATTACACCTGTCATACCGGGAAGCCCAGGGTAGCCTGGCGCTCCTGGCAACCCTACGGAAGGAGCTTGATAGGGATGTATTTAGGGAATGTTTTTGCGGAGTTAGTGTTCTTGCCTGGCTCTCCTTTGGAACCTTTATTAAAAGCACTTGCACGACATGCATCTGACACCAAAAATGTCTCAAACTTCATGTGTTTGCAGCGTTTTCGATTACTTGAATAACCTGGCAGTCCCGGAAGCCCGGGACGTCCGACATCACCGGTTGATCCTTTCATACCAGGCAGGCCGGGCGCACCAGGAAATCCTGGTCTGCCGGGCAAACCTGGCTCACCGGGCAACCCCATGTCACCGCGCATGTCCGACGAACTGGGATGTCCTAAAACAGTACGATCAGTCATTAGGGTTCAGCTTGATGGAAAATTCAGTTATGTAAACTACATTTGCCAGCCATTGTTTATCACCTGCAGTTCCGTTAACTTTTACACCAGTTACAATCAGTCAATGCAGATAGCATAGAGGAAGTGTTTCTTTTGTAAATGCCGTTTTGTTCTGGTGCATAGTTTGTACTCGTACCATGATACTTATTAAAGGTCTTTTATTTATTTAATGCAGATGAAAGCGCAGCTAACGGATACTTCTGCTCATGTAACGTTATAGTATAACAATAATGCTTTATGAGAGTACTTATGATTTAAGATAATTCTAACGGGAAACGTACTTATTATGTCACTGGTACATCCACACACGCCCGGTTCCCCCTTGGGACCTGAAAATATCTTCATATTAATTTATAGAAGCACCAACAATAATTTTTCATATGGTGAATTAAGTGAACTGCAGTTGGAAGCCCCGGCGGCATTCCACGGTAATACTGCCAGGCTTAATTTAACATTTCGGTAATGATAAAAGTATGCTGGCTTTGCGTGATAACCTGGAAGTCCTGGGAATCCCGGTTGACCAGGAAAGCCGCCTGAAAACAATCGAGTGAGGATGCCGAATTATTGACGGTAGCAGATTTTGTTATATAACTGTAGTCCACACCTTATGCACACCGTTGCAAAAGATGTTATTCTGACTTGTCAAACTTACAATGGAACCGGTTCGATTAATATTCCACAATAAATAATTATTATGATTAACCAGCGCAACATCTTCCACAATTTACCTTGTGTGTATGCCCGTGTATGCTCACGTTCCTCATCTTCTGGCGCCTGTAATCCATACATTTTTAGCTTACTGCTACTGGACGAATTTTTTTGCGCTTTTTCTGTTACTGTGAAGAAGGAGCGCTGGTTAGCGTACCGGAAAGGGAGGCTGCATTAGCTCACAGACACCCAGTAACATAACAATAGCCGTTGTACGCATCCACATTCTGCAGCAATCGTAATAAGTTAGCTAAGAAAAATGCTGGCTACCTATTTGTTGTATACGACTAGAGAGACTCTGCAAGGGGAAATTAATGTAATTAGCTCGTGAGTTGTAACTGTAAGTATGTAACGCACAAGAATAGCGACGGTTACTGAGCAAATGCATGTTGAGACTGTGCGCACAATCCCAACATGCATTTGCTTGTCGATCTTAGTACGCGATATCAATATACTGATATCGCGTACTAAGATCGACGGAATTTACGTTCACAATGAAAAATGTTCAAATACATTGTAGGTTTTAGCACTCGGCTGAGCGTTTCGAAACTGATAGCATCAGTTAAATAGATGCTAAATATGATACAAAGGCATTTTTTTATGCTATCAGGTCTCAATCATCCATGTTTCTTATTCATGCGAGGATGGCCACCGGAAACAGTTGTACGGAAACAGATGTATGGAAATGTGTGGAAAAACTAAGAAGAACAACCCAGTTTTTCCACTTAGTTTTATGAATAAAACATTGGAAATGTTGATTTTATGGGCCACCGACATAAAGTGCAATTACTTTGAAAAGCCCTTCGGAAGAAAACTAGCATTACGAGGGCGATCACTTTATGGAAAATGGATATCGTTACTAAGACGCTTCTTAAACAAATGCCCTAGAAACGTAGATGTACATTATATACTGTAACTTCGTCTGTATCCAATATAAACATTTATGATGTGAATAAATAATATTAATGCAGTATGACGTGATTTTTTTTTGTTTCTGCTATTTGGAAATGTGGCCGATTGTACTGGGATGTATGGCATCAGGCAGATCGTTATCGTTATTGAACAGTCATTTTGCTCCGCATTTCCGAATAAAGTAGCAAATTTCCGGAAAAAGTAGCGACTGGAATGTTGAATGCTTCCATACACGGCTTTTGTAGCGTCCCATGCGCGCGTACTCGGTGGCCTCGATATAACACTGATTTGGCCGTCTCTAGCGGTGGCGGCATTTTGTCACATGAAATACTCGTATTCTGTTACACGCCTACTGTTGGTACAACGCCATGAATAATTTGTGAGCATGACCGAAGGCAAAAGAAAAATTTCTGACTTTGAACGTGGGCTTAGAAGTACAACGGCTCCTCTCTTCCAAACTCCATCTCAAGAATGCTGTTGGCTTTTGCATGCTCACGCATCTGAAAGACAACCTTCTTGCCATCTCTTGTCTTACCGTTCTCAGTCGAGGATTCGTTCAGTGCGCCAGGAAAGGTCACTCAGAACTTGGAGCATATAGTTTTTACATGACTTTCCGTTTACGATACGTTTAAATTACCGGTATCCCAAATTCCTTAAACTTGTTATTGCTTGCAAATTGCCTGACAACAATTTCAACGATAAATTTAAAATCCCAGATAAATAGAAAACATCCACAAAGGGGATAACTTCATAAAAAGTATTGAGGTGGCTAAAACATGTGGTATAGCAAGACAACCGCCGGCATTTAATTGTAATTTGTACTTACAAAGTTCTGCAGTCCAGTGACTAAGAAACAGCCGAAACACCAACACGTATACCGTTATACAGCGCACTTGCAGCCGGCAGATATCTACTCCAAGACGCAGGCCGATTGAAATTTTAATCGTTCGCCGTCTAGGAGTTTGCCTATGTGGGCTGAGGGAAGCGCATTTAACGAAATACCAGCTTCCGGACGGGACTGCGCAAGAAGACGTGCTGTGTTAATGTCGTTTACAATTGTACATACTCAGCCAGTCGTTACTCAAAAGACAGGCAGAAAGTGCCAGACACAGTGACGTGTGCTAAAACACGTTTAACACGGGCACTGCGACATTTCGCCGCCGCCAACTCGTCGCAGGACTTTTGGTCGTAGACATCTCGCCTCGCGACGCTTCGTCTCGGGACATTTAACCGGGAGGACATCACGCGGGAGACATTTCGCCCGCAGGACAATTTCGACGAAAATTCCGTTTCCGCAGATGAAAGCCCTATTTAAGAAACCTAAAAATAACCAAAGTATAACTAAAAAAACCTAAGAAACTTAAGACACCTAAGAAACCTAAGAACCGTAAGAAACCTAAGAAACCTGATAATAACCTAAGAATAGCCAAAGAATAATCTGAAAATAAACTAAGACTAATCTCAGAATGACCTAAGAAACCTTTCAATAAAAACCTTTGAACAACCTAAGAAGCCGAAGAAAACCTCCGAAGAAACCCGGAAACCCTGCGGAATAAGTATGTCGAATTCTTTTGCGGCGAAGTGTCTGCGACCAGACGTCTTGCGTCAAAATGTCTCAACGCTAATTGTCCCAAACCGAACTTGCCCAGCGTCAAAATGCCCCGCGGCGAAATGTCTTTGCGGCGAAAAGTCGTGCGTCGAATTTAATTGCGGCGAAATGTCACACTCCCAAATGTCCGCGTGCGGCTAAAAGGATGTACAGTATGATAGAAGAAACGGATCCATTATATACTGTACGGATCCGCCAACACGGATCTATATACAGTACTGTACCTGCTCGAGTTGGTCTTCTGTCGACTCAACAGGATGTGCCGTTGTTCACTTAATCCGCTTTTCTACCAGCTTAAAGACTGTTATTAATTATTGAATATTATGTAACTCCACAGCAGTGCAGCAGAGTCAGTAGAAAAAGGTCAAAAGTTTATTAGTAAGGCTGCCGGTTTAGGAGGACGGTCGTTAAGTGCTGCTTAGCGCAACCAGAATCGTTCTAACTTTAAAATTAATTTCGGGGATAGCAGTATCAGTCCTCTGTTTGCATTATGGAAGCACGGGGGAAAATTCTCTGCCTTGCTTTTATCATCGAGCTCGTATCAGTGTCATGCTGTTACGTGGGGCCTTATGGGCGCCCACGTACCTTCGACGGCGAAACAGCGGCGAACCCGGATTGAGGCTTTAATGCCGAAATCTAACTCGCGCACCGTGGCGCAGCAACACCAGACTAATGAGATCGGATCCTACAGCCAGCGCAGCTGTGCTGTAGGTCCGTCAAAACAGCAGCAATGTGTGGGATGGAAATCCCCAGAACAGCAAAACACAATGGCGAATGGCCAATCATGAAGGCGGAGCTATCGGCCTTCACAATGCGGATTCATTTACGAGCCGCCCATTATTCTGCCGGCCAGCGGGGATTTCCACGACGGTGTCGCCAACGTTAATCGGAATATGGAGATATTAATTGATAGTGTCAAGAATATCAGGTTTCTGCTCACCTCACCTTGTACGACGTTATACGTATGTGCTAAACAGCTTTTGAAATTGATGTTGTTCTTTGCAGCGTACAGATTACGGCGGTTGTGGACGGCCTGGCGGATCTTCAGACTGAACTGAGAACGAGCCTTCATCCAACCGTTCCAGTTCAGCAATCTCCGCCGGCTGGTCCCTTGCCGACCGCATCTCATTCTCCCCGCAATACCACCTTCGATAAGGCTAATGACGGATTCTTTTACCAGCTGCTGGGAGCGCGCCGCCCCGCCGACATTTTCACACTGTTCCTCCTGACTTTCGTGATAGTCATTGGAAGTCTGCTCATCCTCCGCGTCATCAACCGTATCCTTATTGGAATACTGGAACAAGAAAGCCTTCTTGAGCGCATTCTCTTTGTTGTCGTATGTGTCGGGGTGCCATTGGGTATTGCCGCCGTAACGCTGGCGCTCACGGCTTTCGTAGCCAATTTCATCTTACCCTCTTTTCCAGAGCCCTTCGCGGGGTCCTCTTCGTGAGTTAGCTGGGCAACTCTATCAAATGTTCAAAACCGTCATTAATGGGGCTGCATGTTAAGTACTACAGCATGTATACAATGCGTGGCTACCTATACTGTTTGTCATGTTGAGTCGAATTTACATGGCACCGGATGCCGACTTCCAGATTAGTTTTTTTACTGACTCGTGCCGCGCTGGTGTGTATATCAACTGTTCTCTATCATTCACCGGCTTTATGCAAAATAAATGGTACGCATTGCAAAAAGCAAACACTAATAAATTATTTCTTCCGCAAAATATGTCAAATTCAGTTCGAAATGCAAACTTCTCAAACATTAATTTTTCCGTAAAAAGAACAGCAGGCATTTAAATACACACTGCACTTCCACATACATACATTCTTTGCCTGCTTCAATTCAGATCGGCCACTGCACGTGTACAGAAGGCGGGCTGTCAGCGAAGGCAACCGGCATCGAGTAAAGATATCCAGTGTCAGAGAACGATAAGATCCTTTGGTAAAGTCTTTGAAATATAATCCGCATAAACTGGGCCACATCCATGATGATTTGTAGGTTTGGAAGAGAATTTCGAAGGGGGTGTTCGGCGCCGGCGTAAACGATGTTACTGAAGAGAATGTCGTGCGGATTGCTTTTATACACGTCGGTGACCCGCCATTTCGTCGACAAAACTTCATCGACCGTCACTTCATCGAACAGACACGATGCCGACCCGTCACGGCATCGAACTAACTTTTAACTATACCATCTCAGTTTTCTTAGCTTTCTTATGTTTCTTAGGTTTTCTTAGGTTTTTTTAGGTTTTTAGGTTCTTAGATTTCTTAGTTTTCTTACGTTTTCTTAGGTTTTTGTTCATCGCCCTCGTGACGGTTGACGAAGTGCGGTCGACACTGTGCCGGTCGACGAAATGTCGGTGAGCCATATACGTCCTTGCTGTACCATCCGCGTCACTTACTGATAGAATATGGTAAATAATTCTGGCTGTGTTATTCGCCATCACGTGAATGGATCCAGCAAAAACAATTATCGAGATTTGAACGAGGCATTCTTTTTTGATTGGTATTCCATTTCTATAGCCTATACCAATGAATCAGTGCGTTGTGCGAGTAATACGAATGGTTACGAAATCAATCATTCCGTGAAGGATACTGGAAACGATGTACGGTAAGAACTGTAGTAAAGAAGAGCGCCGGAACGAGAGTTGTCTGTTTTAACACTCATTCAACGGGAACGTCCATATTACCAGCTCTGCACGAGATTGGCCACAGGTGTTGTAATAACTCGTGTTCTACTCGTGCTACATAATTTATCGTATTTTTTTTACACGGCCAATTCTTCCCGTATTACGGGACTGTATAAACTGCTGCAATTGTCAGCGTCCTGCGAAATCACAAAGATTTATGACCAGAATGCTAGAAAGAATGGACAGAATAACTGTGTTCAAGCCCTAGCAATATGTGATAGGCACCACCGTGAACATTGTTGTAAAAATTTTATAAGCGGAAAAATGGAAACCTCTTCTTCCGTGCAAGAAAGAAAGGCGGCGGTACAAGATGCCACTTGCAGCTGGATAAGATGCTGAGCTTTTTTTTGTGCCGCACATTTTAGTAAAACCTTTTCCTCAACTTGAAGATTGGCTATCATCCACCCCTTAGCTGCTAATAGCGCGACTGGCCACCACCGTGTCTTTGTGCACGGACGAAGTCATGCCTACACGTCCACTTTCATGCTGGGCACTGGTCCGGTGTCGCTTGCACGCCAGTCGGTGTAGCTCGTCACGATAATCTTTGTTCATTACGAAGCAAATTGGCTGGAAAATGAAGTTGATTATCTTTTTCAATTTATCTTATAGAAATACTTTCCAAGCTTTGACAGAAAACTCACTGGATTTCCGGCGAATCCAATCAGCTGGACAGCCGACAGCCACAACGCCAAAACATGTACGGCTTCCGATGTGATATGCGTGATAAACGCGCTGCCAACCGGCAGGACAATTGAACACAGAGCATTGCACAGGTACGAGACACACATGGTGTTCGTCGTGCGCATTCGCTTCTGCTCGAGACGTCTCGTCGCGACGTTCGGGTTGCTAAAAGTAACACGGTTTTGTCTATTATACCTTGCGTACGAATAGAGCGCTATATACGCCGCACCGGTAATCGCGGCGGGCAGGTAGAAACCGGCCACAAAGACCATCACGCCAATACGACTACTGGGCATCTGGACACAGGCACCTAGCAGAATAACCGTATTCGCCGTACCCACGCGAAACCAGCCAAGGAGAGCCAGCAGACCACCGAATAACCAAACAGCGATTACCAGCCAGCGTTCGAGATTCTTTTTGGAAAGGTCACGGTAGTGATACGGGTAGCAGCGCGCAGCCAGGCGGTTAGCCGCGATTAGCAGATCCATCCCCGTGGCTGTGTAGCGCGCTGTCATCTGGATCCACTGGATGATGTTGCAGTCGCGCGGATAGATTTTCCAGCCGTAAATCTGGCGTAGGTAAATGCTCACTGCCACCACGGGGAAGCTGACGGCGCAGAGAATAGTGTAGGCCGCCAGGCAATGAACTATTAATAAGCCGCAACCGATCCGCAGTTTACTGTTGGTCAGGATCAAGATCATAAGTAGGCCGTTTCCCAGTGACCCTTCGAAACACAGGGATAGATGAACGGCCGTCCAGATTTTGACCATCAAAGCGGAAACAACGGGAGATTCAGGTTCGAACGGCTCGGTGCCGTTAACGTTATGTGATTTATTCAAAAGGTCCATGTTATGTTATGGTTGAAAAGATTTTAATAATTTTTGAAACTAATTTTCCAGTTTAAAGGCAAAGAAGCCTAACCGAATGCCAGATTCAAAGAGTTGAATTTATACTACATTGAAGATTTCATCCGTAACGGGATAATGTTGTACCTCTTGTACCTCCACGGTGCATACAGAAAGCCCTGACTTGCAATTACTCGGACTTCCGAAACGAAAACGCTGTTCACTGCGGTAATAATTAAACTGCTGATTCTAAGAAAACAGTGCGGTTTTGCATAATATGTGGTTCGGAAAAGGGGCAAATGTGTTTCTACGGCACGGAAGGGCTGAACTGAAGTTTAAATAACAATACTTTGAACTTACCACACGGCGACGCATATTATTTTGTTTTCGCAACATTCTATAGCCGCCCAAACTGGATAGCGGTATGCCAAGAATATTCAAATTGTCAGTGAAATTCGGCCTTTCGGTAGATTACATTATAGCCTCCTTCCTTGCCTCCTTCTGCTAAACAGATGGTTGGCAGCGGTTTGCAATTAGTAATTCAAGCAGTTTTCGATGCCGCTTCCTATTAATTATTACCGCTAACCATGTAGTACATAATTCAAAGCCTGCAGGTCTTTCTCATCACTGAATTGACGCATGAGCTAAGAATTGAGCTGCTCCCAGTCCGTAAATAACGTATAATAAAGGGAAGCGATTCATGTGTGCTGTACTTGTATTTTATCGGTTCGTCTGCTCATGTTGCGTGGTTGTAATTTATGGTAACATGGTTATAGGACGATAATCCCATAGAAATTTCTGATGTTATCAACAAATGTGGAAAGGATACCGCTTTTCAATGATTGCTGTTACGAAAATGGCTGTATGATTAGTGGCTTATCGCTGCTACAAGTAAAAAATACATTAATAAGTAAAAAAAATAAATTATTTTTGGGTCCACCAATAAGCATGGGGCCATGGGCTCATCCAGTGAGCCGAAGTCGCCAATGCTCGTTTCGAACAGAGAACGTTTGTTTGCGCAATACGCTCTCAAACGAAGTACCAAAGCAACTTTTTTAGTCCTGCATTTTATAGATATTTAGATCGTAAGTGCATGTTACATGATACTTATTGAGTGTACTTATTGCATCTTACAAAAAGGCGGGAAATTTCTTCTGAGGGAAATTGCCCATTTACTCGGCACTCAGCCCAGTGACCTTAAAGCGCAATTGATATCAACGATTTAATTTCCGATCGGGTTTGTTAGCAGTATTGTATTAATTTTTGATGCACGCGCTTACCGGATGGTTTGTGACGTTTGACGGAATTAGAGCCACAGTGTGCTCCTGCGCTGGAATAAGCAAGTGGTTTTCCGCTGTTGTGGATGCGACCGACCCGGTTGAGCGCCCTTCCGTTAGCTCCCCGTTGCCAGTCAAACTGGCTTTATCTTATAAGTATAAATACTTAACTAAGAACACTGATCGCATGGACTTTTTCGAACACAAAGTCTCACTTACTTTATAGCACATGCAGTCACTGAATTTTCCTAATGTGTAAGGAAACGTGTTTTATAATGTCTAACGCGACGGATCAGATCATGGATTTTTCAGGCGAAATTATCTGGACGGTGCCGGCGTTAACGCGTTGCAGTATGTGCGTAATCCAAACACTACTCAACTCAGCCATGATCATCGCGTTCATCGTCCGCCGCGAACTGCGCACCTCCTTCACCATCTACCTAATGTTCCTCTTCTGCTCCAACATTATCTACGCCCTGGGCGGGTACCCGTTGGAAGTGATGCGCCAGGGTTTCCCGGGACGTTGGTTCTTGTCGCACGCCGCCTGCGCTTTCTATATCTACCAGATCTGGGTGTTCTGTCCGGTGGCCATGCATATGCACGTCTTGATCACCCTTAACCGTCTCTGGGCTATCTACTTCCCGGTCTCGTACAAGAACATCCATTCCGAGAGAGTGGCGGTGCTGATGTGCGCCGGGGTGGCGCTGTATTGTCATGTGATATGCTTGCCGGTGGTAGTTATGGATCTCATGTATTACCACTTGCCGGAGAAGCAGTATGGGTGCTTGTTGAATGCGACAGCGCAAAGCACATTCACGTCAGTGGTGGCTGTTATTAGTCAGTTTATTCCTGTTGTGATCGTGGTGGGAGCGTATCCGTTCTTGTGGTATAAGCATTTGAAGAGGAAAAAGATCGGGTTGGCCAATCCGTCCCGGAGGGATACGATTTTCGTAACTAATATTGATGTGAGTTACCGCACTTATATTCTCACTTCCAATACTTATTTAGAATGCTCTTGCTAGCAGTTGACCTCAGTCGATGGGCCTTACACGCGATAGATTACAAATTCATTTACTGGGAAATGGGGAGAATGTTTTTCTAATATTAGGCGATGATACGTATGTAATAACTATTTTCAGACGCGTAAACTAGCCTGAAAAGACGCATAACAAGACAGCGGCTCAAATGAAGCGGTTGAATTACGCTATCAGATATCTTCTGCTTTGAAAACATGGATACAATACACGTCGATTTGTAACTATACAGTAAAGCCTTCATGCATTTGTGTAGACAAAATTGGCGTTCAGGAAAATCGAAGCGTCATCCTCACGTCCTTTTGTCGTGTTGACACTTTTGACAGTCAGCGTGCTGGTGTGCTGGACGCCGGACCAGACAGCATGGACCATCTCTTGTTTCACCGCCGTCAATGATTCTCCCGGTCTGCGTTACACAACCAGCGTCCTGTTTACCCTGCAAGCGGCACTCGATCCCATTCTCTTTGCACTCTCCCTGCGGACCTTTCGCAACATGTTATGCCGAACATTCCGCTGTCACAAAAGGTGGGGAAGTATGCCGATGCGCCAGATGAGCATTAAAAGTTTGACGCGGAGAGATGAGCCGTAACCGATTTTCGCTCTGTAATGCGGAAATTTCCATTGTGGCGGCTGGGTACGGATGTTCACGATCAACAACTGACAAGTGACACGGTCGCTTCGCCGTATACGACCCGAATGCTTTTTGAACGTATTATGCTTTTTGAACTGATTTATTTTGATCTGCGTTAAGGACTGCCAACTGTATAGCTAGCACGTCGCTTCGCCGTAAACGACCCGAATGCTTTTTGAACGTATTATGCTTTTTGAACTGATTTATTTTGATATGCGTTAAGGGACTGCCAACTGTATAGCTAGCACGTCGCTTCCCCGTATACGACCCGAATGCTTTTTGAACGTATTATGATTTTTGAACTGATTTATTTTGATCTGCGTTAAGGACTGCCAACTCAGTAAGGATGGTAATATCCAATATCTAAAAGTGTATCCAGAGCTTAAATATCCAAATATCATATCCATATCCCGAGCTGTCTCGAAAGATACGGATATTTTTGGATATTTGGTGGATACAGTGGATACAAGGATATAATAGGATATTGACGGATATAAGACAGATCCGTCTTATAAAAGCATACTTTTTCCAGAAAAGGCATTTATAAATTATTACTATACATGCTTCGACTTTTCTCAATAAAGGATCAGCATGACTGAATATTTTGAAAATGGATCACATAGTTATTCAACTATTTTGATAGTACAAAAATTTAAGAGCAACAAGTTTTCGTAGACATCAATATTCAATATCATCTGACGTTTTATTGGTGTCTCCACAAAATAGACAGTAAATGTGCAAATCACAATGACTGATACTTGATTTCACGCTGAAACAAAATTTTTGTGTCAAAAACTCGGAGCCATCGCACTAATGCTCCCATTGGAACTACGATTGGCAAGTGTCGGAGGTAAGGCGGAAATGGCGGGCACGTCGTACAATTAATTCTGGTACTGGTAATATTTTTTTGCAATTAATTTACCAAAATATGTGGGTAATCCGTCGTTTAAATTGCACAGTTAAACCTACCCTAATGTCGAGAAAAGTGAAAGTATGACGTGTAGTCAGTGTGTTTCTTGTTTCTATCTAATATCTAAATTTGGCTTTGATTTAGTGTGTTGGGCTACCCGACAGGTCGTCGCGGGACATTTGGTTTTACGGTCATTTCATCTAAGGACAACTCGTTTTTGTAGCAGATAGTTATTGCCTGTTCGTTTCCATAAGCCAGTCGAAAATGTTTTGACTCCCCAAAAGTAGCGCGAGCAAATGTCATACAACAAAACGGCTGCAAAACGAGTTGTCACAAAACAAATTAGCCGCTGCGACGAAAAACGTGTGGTGAAATGTCCAGTGACGAAATGTCCCGCGACCACTTGGGCCGTCACAGTGTGTTGTATGATGCTTTACTTTCGTATTTAACCTTTTGTAAGGGTTTTTCCTAAAAAAACATGCTATTGGATATATCTGGATACAAAATGATATATCCACGATATTTCTGGATATATCCGGATACGTTTTGAATATATCCCATATCCAGAGGCTCATGGATATTACCATCCTTAGCCAACTGTATAGCTAGCACTTGACAGTTACTGCCACTATCTCGTCTCATGCTGTAAGGGATAAAGCCATAAAAGTTTAACCTGGGTTACACTCGCATTTATGAGCGACACCTGTCTGCATAATACTGAGTAAAGCAGTAAGAAATTAGAATCAAGTGGGCCACAGTACATGCCTTTTATTAAGAAATTTAAAGCGCTTCGAATTCTACGAGAAGATTTTAGTGCCTTTATACACTGCGCCACAATAATATAACTGAAAATAACATAATTTATGCGTACATTCATATAATATTTGCTGTGCATCAACAGCAATTTATTCCGTATGTTTAACAGAAGGCAACGCCTACTCAAGTAGCGTTTACGTATACGTCATTTAAATGAAGAATCCCTTCCAGTTAACATGAGATGGAACAGTTCTCGAAGCACTCTGAATATTACCACGTTGAATATTACCACTTAAACGTTGGAAAAGAAAACAGGTGGAGCGGCTTTCTCCCGTTCGATTTGCCGACTTCCCTTAACAGGTTTCTCTTTAATCGGCATCTGCCATTACACATAAGAATACGCCTGCGCGGGTTTACACTAATAAAAGTTCCGAATTTTAAACATTGAAAAAACATCCAAAATTATTAGCGTCTTTCGTGAATTTAGTACGTGCGTTAAATGTACCCAAAACAGCTGCTGCATTCCCTCTGACTACAGCTAAACTTAAACGTTGTCTCAAAAAGGCTGTAGATCGAGGCTCTCCGGTAATGACACGAATCGTGCGGCCGACGAAACGGATTACCTCCGAGAAAGCCAATCCAAATGTCCCAAGTGTCAGGACGGCCAGAGCGTAGAAAAGATATCCCAAATCCTCGACGAAGGCGTATTTCCGGTGCTTGTAGTCTTCTGCCATCTGCGCTACACTTCCGGCTTTCAAAGAACTAGCGTGCACGTGAGAGACGGCTACAGTGTCCCAGCACGTTGCATCCCACACAACCGCCTTCCCATCGCGTACAGGAATCAAAGTCATACCATCGGGACGTTTGTTTTCTTTATCTGACAGGCCCGACGGTTCGGACTGACAAGGGTAACCCGCAGTCTCCAAGGAGCGTTTAACTTCGTTGTTCAATTCGGTATGACGTGACCATCTCCCCTTGCTGCTTGAACAGGAGAGACCGTGATGGCCATTTACTTCCACGAGGCTTCCGCAATTCGCGCAGTGATGCTCTTCTACCACGGGAAGTCCAAATCGAAGGGCGACACCCACTCTGACTTCCTCGTCTCGTAGGAGTGTATGCAGACTTGGTGCTGGAAGGGCATTTATCCATGCGCCGGATTCTCGATGAAGGGCGGCAAGGAGCACTGCTTTGTCCGTTTCGTTCGAGGCAGCCGACTTCAGCGACAAAACGACCAAGTCTATAGCTGGACGATCCCAAGTATGCTGAAACATCCTACAGTCTTCGGCTGGAGGTTCACAATTAGTTCCTTCTACCCACTGCTGAACAACTGGATCGATGAGAGCTGCCGTAGTGGACTCGTAGATTTTCGAAACCAACGACACTACCGAATACGCCGATGCCAAAAAGGCAGGAAAAACTAGCGATTTAGTAGTCCGTAGTCCCAATCCACCATCCCTTACTGGCAGCGTCATTTGGCTCCACTGACGATCATTAACCCGCACATTCAGGATTAATTGTATGCCGGTACGTACGCATTCGTCCATGACATCAATAAGGGCCAAATGCTCGTAGCATCTAGCTGTACGAAAACCATACAGCAACTTTGGGATCAGCAGGCAGTTTTTCAGCAGGTATAGACTGATGTGTGCGGGTATTTCTTTTAAACGGCCAAGGAAATCTTTCAGTTGAATTGATTTGCTGCGTAGAAGCTTTTCACAAGCTGCTGACGTTAACGGCGCTCCCAGCAACACAAGATCTTCTTCCTTGGTGGCATGCATTGCTGGCCAGACATCGAGCACCATCTGTACGGCGTGCATGCGATCCGCGGAAAAACGTCCCACACCGTATAATTCACATTTATCTGGATTCAACTCCAGACCCATCTTAAAACCAGGAGTAATGATGAGTCGAATAGCCGCGATCACTTTTTCCGCATGTCCAGCTAGCGTTACATCGTCAAAAAAACCCACAGATACTTCACACGGCCGATCTGAATAGAGTGGAAATGTTGCCAAGCTGTAGCCAAAAGGACCATTCGGGTCACCTTGCTGCACTCCCGTCTCTGAAGACAGCTGAGATTCACCGCAGGATAGGTAGGACGGATATCGGTAACACTGCCAAAAATACCGGTAGTAGGCTGGAAATCTAGATTTAACAGCGGCAAGAAGGACATCACCGCGTATTGTGTTGAAAGCATTACGAAGATCCAGCTTAACAATCACCCGAGCGTCAGTGTGATCAGTCTCCATGTAGCTTCGCACTGCATGCACCGCCGCTTCGGCTCCTCCTCGAACCCCAAAGCCAACTTGCGAAGGGCTGAACAATGCAGCTGCTTCATCCGCACATCGCTTGCTAACAATCTTGGACCACAATCTTCGGAAGGTGTCACCAATAGCTATCGGCCGTACACCGCCGTCCTTTTTCGCTAGTGGGACCAGATTTGCCCCGAACAGAAATGGCCTGATATCTTCGGGCACATCTCTACGCAGCACCATAGTGGCCAAATCCGAAAGCCCTGTACAGAGCTCGCTTTGTGTGTCGTCCTTTCGGCCAAGGAGATCTTTAAGGTGCTGTGGCCGGAGGCCAAAAACTCCTCCGGCTGATCCGGGCGGGAAACTAAATACCGCTGCCATGAGTTCCGCTGGCGAAACAGCATGAGTCTGTATAGTCTCCTCAGGTGGCGGGGGGAACAGGCAATCATCTGGTGCAGGAGGATGTTTAGCGCGAAGTGACTCCACTGTACGGGCATCCAACTCTGCGAGCTTGTCCTCCGCAAGTAGTACTCGTATAGCCCCTTTAACATTACCATCCTGCATCATAGATATTACCTGGGAGCGCAATCGGTCGGGCTTAGGGTTTGCTTTTTTTCCCCTGTTCCCGGCGGGGTACCGTTTGGCGCTTTTCCAGGGACAAATCAGCCAAGTTTTTTCTCACAACTGATGCAAGGGACTCTTTCCGTAGGGACCTTGCCGGGGGGAGCGACAGAGCAGATGGTGCGAACAGCAACAGAGCGGTCCAGCTCGCTGAATTATTGGTGCGCACGCAGTCCCGGACGAGTTCCGACAGTGTTCGAGCGCACTGGTGCCGTACTGCTTTGGGAATTCATTTGGGGATGTGATAGCGGCCTCCTTCAAGAAAAGAAAGCAGGGGATGCTTCTGGGGACCTCGAGGAGGGACTTGTGGAGGAAGAGTGGACGAGGAACCCGAGGCCTGCTTCTGGGAACATGCTCGCACGTGTAGCTTCAGGCCAGCGCCCTGTGTAAAAGTCTTGGGCAATGTGGGCATGGCTGATCACGAACCATTGTCAAAACCGAAAGTAGACCCACCTAATGCGTCATGAAGAAGGCAGGATGCCTCAGAGGATCAGTCTGCCGCGAGCAGCATCCCGTTCCGTGGCACTTTCCCTCTCCGTGGTACGGTGCCACGGTTAGATCACTCCGAAGCCACCCTCGCAGTTAACAGGAAAAAAAATCGTCTGTTAACCCGTCGGGAAATTTGACGCCAGTTAAAACCAACAGTCCAGAAGATAGAACATTCAAAACTGTCAACAGTCAACTTAACAGGTTAACAGACGCGTTGCCCCATACAGCAAAAGTTTCACAAGACAACGGAACGAAATTACAACGATCAACAACTGACTCGTATTTTTCACCAACGCTTGTTCGGCTACCGCACGTGCACTTTCGAAGTCGCTTCGATGTAAGAATCGCACATGGTATCGCGACACGTGACATGTTACACCAGCGGTGCATTCTGTGCATTCTCCAGAGTTCTGCTATAGAGATCTGTAAAGCTTTACGGCAAACTAACACTATATAAAGTATAAAGAAGAGCAAACCAACCCTGTTCTTTGGTGTTGCATTTCCGAAAGTCAGGTCCCAACTTTAAGCATAAAAGAGACAGCAGTTGGCCATGGTAAGAGAGACAGCATATACGGAGAAAATAGGATGGATGACGTTTGAAAATTTTTTCTTTGCAACGCTCACCCACGGACTCAGTTCATTCCGGAGAGGTGGAAATTTCTTGAGTCTCATGCTGAATGGCAAATGCGTAGTCGTTTAGAAGTGCATAGGCAATTGGGTATTGGATATCTGATATGTGGGTATCTCAATTAACAGCAAACCTTTTATCAGTTTTGCAATGTTAGCACTTTTTCTGAACATTTGACTTTCAAAATTGAATTGATATTTATTTTTGGACAACAGTACAATCTTCTTTGCTGCGTCAACTGGATGCAGGTTATACAAATATATAAAATCTTCTGAAGAATTTCCTCGGTTTTATTGAACCCCCTTTGTGACATCCCGAAATGATTCCGTGATGCGTGGGTGGTATAAGCAACGGTCTTATTAGGTAAACTCAAGGCTCCTTTTGCATTGCGTGTGAAATTCCAACAAATAATACAACTCCATTAGACGGTGATTACGAACACTTTTTTACATAACAATCTGATTAGCCTCATCAAGGGCTTCCTAATACTCAGACCGGATGTACCAATTATCACCGGTCTGCGGCATCGTTGTAATCCAGACACAGCAGCTCCCGTTTTAAACTATCCCGAGCGGTTTCTCCGTTTACATTATTGCAAAGCACTTCTTCTTCTGAACTGTACCAAATTTAAAAAAAATATTTTCCTGCCGCAAATATGCTGAACAACACTACGGAATTCATCCCAAATACCACACTGCTGGAGCAACCATCATGGTCCTATATGAAGATCATCCGCACGACATTCTGCGCCGCTCATCTCCTGCTCAACACGTCCATGCTGCTGACCTTCTTCGTCCGCCGCAATTTACGAACGTCCTTCACGGTGTACATCATGTGTCTGCTCTTCAGTAACATCGTTTACGCCGGTGCCGAACATCCCTTCGAAATTCTCTTCCAAACTTACAAATCATCATGGATGTGGCCCAGTTTATGCGGCTTCTATTTGTACCTGTTCTGGGTGTGGTGCGGCGTGCCCATGCACATCCATATGCTCATCACTATCAACCGTATCTGGGCCATCGCCATGCCGCACACCTACAGAAAATACCACACCATGAAGATGGCGTTTGTGCTGTGCGGATTGACCACGTTGTATGTGCATACTGTGGCGTTGCCGTTGATCGTGTTGGACCAGTGGAAGTATGCGGTGTCCGTGAAGGAGAAAGGCTGCACGTTGAATTTCAGTGTGGCGCTGGTGGATGATTATACAACCGGGGTGCAGATCCTGATATTCGATGTGCCCATTGTCGTGGTGGTGCTGTCCTATCCGTTCTTGTTGTACAAGCAGACGAAGCGGAGTAAGCGTAAATGGCTGGACGAGATGACCAAGTCGGTGGTCAACCGGGTGCAGCCAAGCACGCGCCTTTCTGGTGGAGCTCAATCGGGAGCCACCGAAACTGCTGTTAATAAGGTACAGTTAGTGGCCTTATTGATTTTGCAGCACAAGTATGCTGCTGCTTTTTTTAAGAAAAACAATATAAAATGCTCTGGTGAAAGCAACAAACGGAAATAATACAGTTTCAGTTTTTTGGTTTCACCAAGGGCATATTTCACTTTTTTTTGTAAAGGAAAGCAGCATTACAGAAGGAAAATAAGGTTGTGGCTGAATTATTGTAATAACTTGATCTGTATAATTATTTTAGCAACAGTTTCAAAAACTTGTTTAGTAACAAAAGATATACATATGTCTCCGATTTTAGGCGCCCCAAGAAAAGGCCCCAAAGAAAGAGTCAGCGCGCCCATTCTTAGTGTTGACCTTACTGACCACCAGCGTCTTCTTGCTATGGACCCCGAATCAGACATACTGGACCGTAGTGTGTTTCGTCCCGCCCACCTGGGATGCCCATGCCGTGCCCATTCGTAACATCGTCTCTGCGATGGGCGCCTTCCAACCCGTGCTGGATCCGGTATTATTTGCTCTTAGCCTGCAGAGCTTCCGTACCGGGATTAGCCGGTTTTTCCGTGCGTGCCAAGGAAACGCATAGAAAACGTGAAGAAATGACAAAATACGCTTTAAAAATCTAATCTGCTCTGTAAAACACGTGAAGTTCATATCTGTAAATCTCATCGATCCCTAAGAATTTATTATTTATATATGACAGATGATAATTTCGTTGGGATCGATGAGATTTACTGATAACCGTTTTCGGCGGCACGAGAATGTTACGAGAAAGCAGGACCGATGTGATAGTATGCCGGCTCTGTGGATGTTCTAAGAATCCAGTTTCTTTATCCATCTTTCTTCCGGTTCTCTGATTCTACCGTTCTTATTCTACCGTTAACTTGTAAAACAACAGGAACAGTTCGTCACGATTTCGACCGCGATTGGCACGGTCAACAATAAAATCATATTTTGTGGTCCACAGGCCACAAATTTCTACCGATTGTACATACATACTAGTTATAGACTATACAGGTTTGTACAAGTAGCATTGTTCTGTGTTTAAGTTTAATTTTTTAACGTGTCCGCACAGAATTTGAGTTAGACCCAATCCGAGAGTGGAGACACGTCTTAAGAAAAACATAAACAGAAGAACGTTAAATAAATAAAGACGAACAGAGAAACAGACAAACAAAAATAAAGACAAACAAGCATCCAAATTTCGAGCAACAGCACATGATCAGCATATTAAAACACCAAACTTTCATGACTCGTAAAACTCAAAACTGTTTTAAGTCTAGTCAAACTCGCATAAGCTTCTCTAAGAGGCTTCTAATTGTTCTGGATGTTGTACATTTGCGCTTATAATATTCGAGGAAATGTATTTTCACTTTGTAATTTACGTATCTGTAATATTAGTATCTGTATTTCTCTGCCAGACTTCCGCAAGTCTTTCAGTTGGCAGCACCATTAACCTCGAGTAATAATTGTAAGAACGTGCGGTGGTTCACGGGTAACACAGTTATGTGACAGATATCTGATATACCGAACAAAGCGACCTTTATCAAAAACTTTGTAATCCAGAATCCAACACCGCACGTTGAACCTGTTAGAAACCACATAGCAATTAGATATTACATATCGAATAGCTGATACGTACGGATGATCATGACGAAACTTGCACGGGATTTTGTTCATAGTGCCTCAATGGCGTTGTCACGTCAGTACTTTTTCTAGCATTTTGATTCCTACAATACTGATATTTGATTCCGGCATTGTTAGCATCACTATCGTGTTTCGATTAATACCTAGTACAGTGAAGAAGGAATCGACGTAATCTGAGCCTGTAAATCGCGTGCTAATTATTACTCCCACCAGCCGATAGTCAGCGGGTATGCTCGCCAAATAAGGTAGCATTTTTTTTCGATCCGGTGTCGGCACCCAGCTTGTACCAGCGTCTCGTCCAGATTTCTCGAATTAATATGGTGCTTGACACGATTATCGAGGATCCTCTCACGGGCCACCCGATAGCTTGATCCTTCATTACGGTTGAAATGGCTTTACGACCCGGCGTTATAATCGCACGCAGACTGATCGGCTTGATCAAGTACAACCGGCTCACGTGATAACCGTTAAATATTCTTTTGACAAAGCATTATCGTTAGATTCTTCCTTCCGGGCTCAATTCCTCGTCCGAGACCGGAATGAAATGTCACAAATTCTGCCGTAGCCATATAAAGCTCAACATCTGACGAATCACGAAACGTTCTATCAGAGAATGTTCTAAGCAAATTTAGTCTGCCAGCACTAAGCGGCACTTAGAATATTCTTCCGTAGTAAAGAAAATAATTTGCAATGCATACCGCTTACATACTGTCAGCAGGGAGAACCTACAATGTACAGATGAAGAAAGTGATTGTCAATTTACCTATAGATGTTTGGATAAGAAAATTAATCCCGATCAGATCCTGCTTTGATTAAATTCATCAGTAATTAATTATGTTTTAATTTCCTATCATTCAGCCCTATAGCAGCCTAGTGAGCCATGGCAGTATGTAAAGTGATGCTTGTCATTGTACGGTAGCATGTAGCGTACTGGGGCATTAAATTTAATAGAAGTATTCCAGATACAGAGACATTCTGAATTCTCTTTATGAACTGGGATCGATTCTGAAGAGGCAGTAGCACTTTCAGCATAACACAAAGCCAAAGGGCATCTGAAGAGGCTGCCGAAGAATAGACTTATTTTGCCGGCAGTGCAGAAACGACCATGCGCTCTTTTCATCTACGGTTATATAAATTTGCTCGGTACTCCATCGGAATATTTTGACGCAATAGGCATCTTGATCTCTGCAACAATGCACCACGCTGCACTCTTTGATCTCGAAGCACAATGCGCAAAATTCCGTCTCGCCGACGTAACGTCCCTACAGAAATTTAAAGTTACTCAGCGTTTATTTTACTGCTTATTTTACTGCCAAGCTGTATGTTACGCCGCTATGGTTCCCTAATAACAAAACGAAGCACAATTTCCGGTTGGGAACATCGCAGGTGAAAGAATATCTTTCCTGTATCCACCGGATCAAAGGTGACAATTAACAGAATACATAGAATATGAAACGAGTGCATCGGCTGAATGGGATCTACAGATACAGCCTCTTTGCGGGATCATCCATGAATGCAGAGGAAGGTGAAAGCCGGAATTCATTTTCTAAATTATGCACAATGCCGGTTCACAAAGGGATGCAAAAATCGATCGTGGCTGCGAACACAGTTACTGCATTTAAAGAGCTACTACAGCATACTGCACTCTTAATTTCAGCCGATTCGTTGTGACAATTACAGCTATTTATTTCGGACTCAGTACCGTCCGTGATAATTAAAGTATTACAGAAACTAGCTCAATATTGTCAGAATGGCTCATAATGCGACTAATGAAACTTTTACCGGCATCCCTAGCGGCATCGTCTGGACCGTGCCGGCATTAACGCGCTGCAGTATGTGCGTAATCCAGACGCTCCTTAATTCGGCCATGATCATCGCGTTCATCGTTCGCCGGGAACTCCGTACCTCCTTCACCATTTACTTGATGTTCCTCTTCTGTGCCAACATCATCTATGCCCTGGGCGAGTACCCACTGGAGGTGCTGCGCCAAGGTTTCCCAGGACGCTGGTTTCTGTCGCACGCCGCCTGCTCATTCTACATATACCAAGTCTGGGTGTTCTGTCCGGTGGCCATGCACATGCACGTTCTGATCACGCTGAACCGTCTCTGGGCGATCTCGTTCCCGGTTTCATACAAGAATATCCATTCCGAGAAGGTGGCGGTGTTGATGTGCGCGGGGATGATTGTGTACGTCCATCTGGTGTGTTTGCCGTTAGTGGTGCTGGATCTACTGTACTATCATTTGCCGGAAGAGCGCGCTGGGTGCTTGTTGAATACTGTAGCGCAGAGTACATATACAACAGTGGTCGCCATTGTCAGCACGGATGTACCCATTGTGGTGGTGGTTGGAGCGTATCCGTTTCTGTGGTACAAACACTTGAAGAGAAAAAAGATCGGCACAGCAAAACCGTCGCGGATGGAAATAACTCACGCTGCGGGTGCTGCAACCGGCGTTGTATCGGTTATCGAAGTAAGTGGTGTTCAGTTGTGCGCTGTTATTTTCTAAAGCTGACCTAACTTTAATTCCGAAACTTTACTGGAAAAATTTATTACTGTAATGACACAGGTTTAAGGAACGTAGGGGAGGCGTGGTCAGCGCACCCGGACCCGACGGTCTCTTTGATCTTCAAAGGGGCCGACGACTCGTGTGCGCTGCCCGGCCCCTGGAGCGTTCCTTAAACCTGTGTCATTACAGTAGTTGTAGACTATAGTACTACAATACAAAAAGTACGTAGCATGTTGACTAGCATCTGTTTTCACGTTGCAAGACTGATATTAGGTGGGAAAATTAATTATTTGGTTTGAAATTCCCCTTGATGATTTATCTCACCATCAGCTGAGTACTTTTAAGTAAATGCTGAACGGAGAATTTTATTTACCGTTATTAGCCATCAGATGCCGCAAGATTATCAAGCTACTCGTATTTTTGAGGGATTCATTAGCTAATGCAGCAATCCATTATGTTTACCCGACTTTAACTGTATCGAATGTTTTGCAGACCAAGTCGGCATTTAAGAGAATCGAAGCGTCATCCTCGCGTCCTTTTGTCGTGTTGACACTTTTGACAGTCAGCGTGCTGGTGTGCTGGACGCCGGATCAGACGTCGTGGACCATCGCTTGTTTCACGGCCGTCAACGATTCTCCTGGTCTGCGTTACACAACCAGCGTCCTGTTTACCCTGCAAGCAGCACTCGATCCTATTCTGTTCGCCCTTTCCCTCAGAACCTTCCGGAAGATGTTGTCACGGCTCATCTGCTGCTGTAAAAGAGGAGGAAACGATTCGCGGCATGGGCTGAAAATGAGTTTGACGCAAAGAGATGAACAATAAAGATGTACTTTTACTGTAAAAGGGAGTTTGCCTTATGCTGACCTTGACAGGAGGAACCGATCTGATCTTTCGAAGTATTTTGACAAAATGTACCTGGCGAGCCACACAGTTTTCATGCTGTCAGTGAACTTTGCATTAGTACCAGAATTCCTTTCGCTTTGTTTGAATGTTCGCTAAAAAAGGGGAGAAAATTGACAAATTTCATTAACTTGTCTGAATCCTAAAAATGGAGGTAATTCTAATTCAGTATTGATAGTGATGTAAACATCAATGATATATTGTAAATAAATTTAGAAAAAAAAGGAGTAACACAAAAGAGCGGGCTAGAAGTGTACACTGTTTTTTCAGTTCCCCTTCTGATAAGCCAGTGAAAACTGAAATCCTTTTCGGGACACATAACTGGATGCATTAGAGATGATCGATAAGGCTGAGTTTTGATTACCGGTGATTGAGAAATGCCCAAATTGCTCACATGTTTGATAACCACCTGGGAATTGTCGTTTCTCTTAAACCACCAGCATTATGAAACCATTTTCTCCCAGCTTCCTGCCAATTTCCTCTGACTAAGCTAATGTTCGACTCTGTCCTTATTATTTTTTGGGTATATTTTTTTTCATTACTTTTATATGGATTTCCTGTGGGTTACGATGCTGCTTTTTGTATTCTTAATCTCACCGATCGTTGATGGATTCAGTTATACGAGTACAGCGAAGCGTGCAATTGTACAAAGTAGTTAATCTTGGGACTATCAATAACCAGAGTAATGCTGGCCATGCAGTATGTAGATTTAGGCTAAGAATGTCGCACTGCGCAGCGGATAATCTAACTGAACTGTTCCATTGCAGTAACCGGAAGTACAGGAACGAAAATATTTATACCGGAAACCGTGGCTAATATTACCGATGCCTGTGCCGTTACGGTGAAGGCCCGCGCAGCCAGTTGCGTAGAACACAAGAACAACGAATACGCCATCAACATCAAGTACGAACAGGCGCAGATTTTACACTACGTAGCTGCAGCAGTTTTTTCCTAATTTTTTCGATGCGTAATTTTTTATGGCTACGACCATATACTGCCGAGCACGCCTTTAGTTGCATTAGTTCACCTTAATCTTGACCAGTATTCACAATGGATTTATTCTATGTATTTGAGGTTCGTATTGGACAATGTATTACAAGAATATCAGTTAACAAAAACCATAACACCATTTCCGTTCCGCTAAAAGAAAGGCAAAGTACACATCTTCCTACTCTACCCTGTCGCTGAATGTACCGAGAACCGAAACTGCATTTCCTTGAATCTCAATACCAATTCTTTGGTGTAAAAACTCTCCTGAGCGGGGGTTGCCTGTACTGTCGATAATCTTTCTCGACAGCTCTTTGAAGAATTTCTTCGTCAGTGGTCCGAACGTGCCCGTAGTTTCGAACGCCAGCGGTTGAACGATATAACGATCTGCCAGCCCGCTATACTTTTCTAACTTCCGATTTTCGCGTATTTCCGCTGCACTTCCCGGCACCCTTGACGTCTGGGCGATGTACGTTTGGGCAAATGTGTCCACCACGGTTACATCCCTCACTAGCGGCTTTCCATTTTTCCAAGGGAATGTTGTCACTCCGGCGGGCCGCTTTCCGTCGTATCTGCCTAAACCCGCCGGCTCAAGTGACGATGGCACTTTTGCCGAACTCAATGCGCGCTTCGTTGATTCGATCGTTCAAGACAGCGTGGCCGTGTCTTCCTTTCGCTAACTTGCATACCAGTCCGTGGAGATCTTGACCAGAACGTACGTAACTGTATTCTGGAAGCATTCATTAAAAAAAATCTTAATTATAAAATTTAATAAACTCTTAATATCTTAATTATAAAATTAAATATCTTAACTATTAAATTAAAATAATTAATAATAAACTCCAAAATTAGTGGTAATATCATTATATTTTGTATTATTTTGATAGCTTGTTTTTTAAAAATAATTTTGTAATTCAGCGACGCATAGTACTTTAAAAGCATGTCGGATTCTTTAGTACGTCTCTTCTGAGCGCCTTTTTATTTCCCGCTGGAGAGTTTGGTTTACCCCACGAAGGCCACGATGCAGAGATGAGCACCTACGACGGCAAAACAAGCAGCTGGAAAACGTTGGAAAAAGCTGGAGCGGTGCTCAACTGTTGCAGAATATCAATCCCTGGATTACTATACGTTCCGCTTGAGGCCGTAAATATCGACATGAGGTATGAAGTACGAAGTAGGATAAACGATAACCTCAGCGGCATGTATCTGTTCACAGATTGCGGTGGGGAACGCAACACGTGGCGTCGTGCACTCATGGGATTCGTTAGCAACGAGCGCAGCTGTGATACGCTGGATGACCGGGTCAACTGTCTCCAAGTATCGGTGGGTTCCATGAGCTGAATGGAATTCAGAGATACAGCCACTTTGGGGGATCAGAAGTGAGTACACAGGACGCAGAAAACCGGATTCTGTGTTCTAAATTATGCACGGTGCCGGTTCAGAAAGGGATGTAAAAATCGATCACGTCTTCAAGCGACGTTTAAAGGGCTATTACAGCATATAGCAATTGTTATTACAGCCGTTTCTCTCTGACAACTACAGCCGCTTATTTCTTATTTTATTTCTTATTTCTGACTTTGAATCTGCAGTACTAATTATAATACAAATATTAGAGTAGGGAAAATAATTAAATATAGTCATGATGGCTTATAATGCGACGAACCAAAGTTTTACCGGCAGCCCTAACGGCTTTGACTGGACCGTGCCGGCGTTAACGCGCTGCAGTATGTGCGTAATCCAGACGCTCCTTAACGCAGCTATGATCGTCGCTTTCATTGTCCGTCGCGAACTGCGCACCTCCTTTACCATCTACCTAATGTTCCTCTTCTGCGCCAACATCATCTACGCCCTCGGCGGCTACCCGCTAGAAGTGCTGCGCCAGGGTTTTCCGAATCGCTGGTTCCTGTCGCATGCCGCCTGCGCCTTCTACATCTACCAGGTGTGGGTGTTCTGTCCGGTAGCGATGCACTTGCACGTCTTAATCACACTGAACCGTCTCTGGGCCATCTCCTTCCCGGTCTCATACAAGAACATCCATTCCGAGAAAGTGGCGGTGTTGATATGCGCGGGAACTTTCGTCTACGTCCATCTGGTATGTCTGCCGTTAGTGGTGCTGGATCTAAAGTACCACCATTTATCGGACGAGCGTTATGGGTGCATGTTGAACACCGCTGCCCAGAACGTCTACACGACAGTGGTCGCCATTGTCAGCACGGATGTGCCCATTGTGGTGGTGGTCGGAGCGTATCCGTTTCTGTGGTACAAACACTTGAAGCGGAAAAAGATCGGCACAGCAAAACCGTCGCGGGTGGAAGTACACCAGACTGTGGGTGCTGCAACCGGCGTTGTATCAGCTATCGAAGTGAGTGGTGTTGATATGAGCGTTCAGTACCGCTATAGCGGTACCTGCCGTTTTTATATTTAGCTAAACTTTGTTCCGGAAACGCATTTGGGTAATTTATTAATAGCTATAGTTTTACAATACGGTGGGGGTTGTTTGTGCTTTAAGAATGACTGTTAACGAAAAATAAAGTAATAAATTTTGAACTTCATCTTGCTGATAACTAATTAATAACTGAATAAATATTCAACAAAATGTTTTGCTACACGTTAATTGTTATTCGCCACCAAATACTGCGAGATTCTGAAATTAAGATCGTCTCTACTGGCTTATGAAGATGTCCCCTTTTTTCAGCCGCCTGCAGTTGTACCGAATGTTTTGAAGCGCAAGTCGGCGTTCAGGAGAATCGAAGCGTCATCCGCGCGTCCGTTTGTCGTGCTGACACTGTTGACAGTTAGCGTGTTGGTGTGCTGGACGCCGGATCAGGTAATGTGGACCATGAGTTGCTTCAATGCCGCCAACGATGCCCCCGGTCTGCGTTACACAACCAGTGTCCTCTTTACTCTGCAAGCAGCACTCGATCCTATTCTGTTCGCCCTTTCCCTCAGGACTTTTCGGAAGATGTTGTCACGGCTGATCTGCTGCTGCAAAAGAGGAGTAAACGAACAGCCACGTGGGGTGAAAACAGTGATCAGTTTGACGCAAAGAGATGAACAATAATGATATATTTTTACGGGAAATGGAACTTTGCCCAATGTTAACTGACCGCTGTTGGAAAATTTGCTTATGTCGGATTGTTTATCAGCGATCTACATGTAAATTAGCGATCCACATATTTTCATGTTGTCATCAACCTTTTCATTACTGTCAGCATGGCGCGGTAAATCGTTTTTATTATACTTGAATGTACGCTAGCGAAGTAACGAAATGATCATTGGAAAGTTTTATCTACAAATTTTATTTACTTGTTCAATGTTAAAAATTTAATTGCTGTTACGTTATGTTTTAATAGCGACAGTATTTTATAAATAATTTAGAAAAAAAGCAGAACATTAACAAATGCGACGGGTCTGTAAATAGCTGTTCGGATAATAGCGTATTCTTTTGTGAAAAATATACCGGATCAACCTATGTTTTGGTCGGCGGTAATTAAAAAATGCTTTTATAAATGAACGGTACTGCTGTGATGTAAGGGCGATCTACATTCATCGGTATCAACTGGTTAAAACGCCGTACACGGACTGCTGATAACGACGTTCACGACTTAGGCATGCAAGCATTCATTAACAGTCAAACCGTTATCAGGAAGCATTAATTAAAGGCATCATGGATAACCGATAAAGCTGAGTTTTGATTACCAGTGACTGAGAATTCTGAAATTGCTCACCTGTTGGATAACCGCGCAAGAAAGTGTCATAGCTCTTTTGCTATCAATATTAGGAAACCATCTTCTCCCAGTTCTCTGCAAATTAGCTCTGAGCATGCTAATATTCGAATCCATTTGCATAATTTTTTAGACTATGGATACACGATGGGTCACGGTCCAAGTTTTTGTATTCCTCTTCTCGTCATTCGCTGATGGATTCAATTATACGACGAAGAGTGCGTGCAGTTGTACAAAGTAGTTAATCTTGGGACTATCAATATCTAATACTTGCCATAATAAAAAGCAGCAGGGTAAAAGTAAGATAGTAAAAACGCTGCACTGGATGTTATGTAGATTTGCACGACGAATGTCACACTGCGGAGCGGATAATCTATCTGAACTGTCCCACATCGGTAACCGGAAGTGCAGGGACGATAATATTTAAACCAGAAACGGTGGCTAATATTGCTGATGGCTGTGCTGTGACGGTGAAAGCCAGGGAAGGCTGCACGGGAGACAAGAACGACGAATACGCCATCTACATCAATATCAAGTACGCGTGATCGCAGCGCATAGTCAACATTTAAAAAAATTCTGATCATAAACTCCACGTGCAAGAATTATAATATTTTATCTGTTGTTTTTAAAGCTTTTTATTACAAATGGTATTTCTAATTCCAGAACAGCATTTTAAGGTAATATCAGTCAAGTATTTTTAAAAGATATTTAAAGCACAGCAAAATATTCAAAATAATGGCGAATTCTTTACCTGATTGCTTATAGCTTCTCGTTTCAATATTTTTCAGAGCGTCGCATCTACCCCATGATTCAGAAATGAGTATTTACGACGTCAAAGAAAGCAGCCCGAAAACGTTAGAAAAACGCTGGAGCGGCGCTCCATTAGGGCAGAATATTAACCCGACTTCCGTAGGACAGACACTGTCCTTCTGGGCCCGAGAACCAGCCCTCTCCGTGGAGTATGCACACAACCAGCTGTCAGTCAATGCCTCGCACCAAGTCATCCTGGATTATGTTATCGTGGAGCGTAAGTGTCGGCGTTTGAAGTATGCAGTATGATAACCATGCATTAACCGATAACCACGACGGCGGCATGTATGTGCTCACAGATTACGGCGGGGACCACAACACGTGGTGTCATGCACTGATGGGATACGTCAGCAACGAGTACATCTGCGATACGCAGGATGACCGGGTCAGCTGTCCCTCCCGGTATACCCATTCTGTTAACAATATGGAACCGGCGACAGATCGACAATCTTGCAGTAAGCATTTCGGCAGAATTACTCGTTAATAATTAATAAAAAAACGGGAAAACTGAAACCGACGGAGACTTTTGAAGATTTATTCCACTTAAAATATATTATACAGGATTGATTACGCTTAAATATGTTACACATCGGCTCACATTTAAAAATATAAGGACGAAATGTTAATATCATTCTATCTTAGAATAAGTTAAAAAATTTGTTTTTCGACTCCAGTGCAATCAGCGTGCTATTTATCAAAAAATAATTTCTCTTACGGGAATTGCGTTAAATTTTAGTAATCGCATTTTCATATTTCTCTGTTTTCTGTTGTTTTTGTATTTCTATGTTTCTTGTTTTTATTGAATGAATTTTAAATTGGAAATTTAAAATTATTTTATTAAAATATGGAAGCCAGCCAAGCCTATAAATTCTCGAAGCCAGTGTAGGCAGTTAATAGGGGCTTTTGTCAATTTTTCAGCTGCCGGACTGACCGGAGGAGAAATTGCCGGCATCGTCATTGGCTCAGTCATTGGTGTGGCGATTCTTGCCGGCATTGCAGTGGCATGCGTCAAGAAAAGCCGCAAACGGACAATCAAGTCGAATCGAAAACCACGGTGTCTTTTACGAATAATGCGCATTCTTCTGGAAGTCGTGTCACGGTAAATCCTTGATCTGGATTTACCCTTATGCTGCAGATCTTTCAAATAACTTCCTTACACATTGTGACAGTAGTGTAGGTGGATACCGATGCGCAGTTGTAATTGTGTAATAATCTGTATCCAAATTTTATTATCTGAATTTCGGCATTTTCACGGGTGAAGATTTTCATACGTTTCTTCGTTTTATACGTTTTTATACGTTTCTTCGTTAAAGAGGTGGTTGTTTGCTCAAAATAACAGAATACGAGAATAACAGAAAGCTCAAAATAACAGAATGCAGAATACGAGTATACAAAAGTTTAGTAAAACTTCAGCATCTAATACTACATACTCTAGTATTTTGCAACAGTGCTGGCGCATTGAACAAGTTCAGGGAATTTTGCCAACAAATGCATCATGTAACATACATCGTTAAAGAAATAACTGTATAATAACAAAGAAATAAAGATTATAATTCCACATGTACCGTAGAAGGAGGATGCTCGACCGTGCATGTTCATGTACTGATGTAGTGTAGTATGTACATGTTTCCTGTTACAAAACTCGCCTGTAATTCGTATTCTGATAGATGCCGTGAAATTCTAGAAAACCGAAAACAGGAAAACAAAATTTTTTTTAAAAAAATTATCCTTTAAGTTTTAAACTACTCTGGTTTCGCACAACCCTTATATTTCTCATCCGCGGTCAGGTAAAAGTGATTTCCTATTTACACGACTGATATAATGTTGTGCTGCAAGATGTGCAAGTTTTAATTTTTTAAGTATGCAAGTTACAGTTTTTCACCTGTACATCCTACGCAGTATACACGATAAACCAACGCACATTCTACACGTGTACAGTATTATAACGATAAATGTAAAGTACGCATGTACCGAGCATGTATGACAGTACCAGCCGGGAAAATGCCGGTACTTATAACCAGTAGTCACAGCGACAGGCGCTGAGCCGGTTTCCGGCGGCTGTTATGAAACGTATGCATGTACATATAGCACAGCACATATCGCATGTACACCATTCAGCCATCGCAATAAAAAGTTGCATCCAGTGCAGACGAGGTAACTGATGAGGTCGATCTAGATGTTGATGTTGCTTCCCGTTGGAGGAGCAGAGCAGAGAACCAATGGCAGTGAGCAACGTGGCTTTATCAGTGCGCAAGCTATCTTGATCTTTACATTGCAATTTGCAACAACTACACGTGTAATCTCGTTTATTTTGGCTCATTATGCAAGCACATCAAACGAGAATGTATGTATTACATCAGTTTGCTAATAACTTATGTCTGCACTAGAGCATAACCATGAATTACCTTGATCTGGGATCTGGGTGCTCTTATATATTCCATGTATCGGGAAATATGGTGCAGACATTCTCGCAAGTTAAGGAGACTTTTTCCGACACCAACCAAGTTATCCCAACATGACGTTTTCAAAATCTTATCACATTTTTTTCGTTTTATATGCGTTAAGCACTGCATTTAGTGGAATCACTGCTGTGCCGTACCAAGATTACAGTAAGTGCGACATGCGATACAGTTTGACTGTTACCAATCGAGGCACTTCCGTTTAGCTGTGCGGACATGCGACGAGAAAGTATTCCTGGATTGCCCGACCGCGGGTTCCGGAAGTGCCGGACGAATAACGTTCTATCCACATATTACCGTTAACTCCACGCCGAATAATTTCCCGTACAACAATTACGGTTATACGGATCACTGCGATCCGTCCAGTTCGTGCAAGCTGACGGTACTGATCGACGACCATTGCGCCAGCCTGATGGCCCAAGGTGACGAGTATGCCCTCTACTTAAACCTTAGGTACGAACTACGAACACAAACCACTTTACCAAATGCAGCCGTTGTATTGTGAAGGAATGTCCAACAGGTCCATCGATATTCCGGCGTTTTCCAGTCTGGAGATCTACGATGCGGTCCACCATGGTGACCCCGTGCTGCGGCGTTCCTGGGATGGGCAACGCGGTTGGCAGAATAAGAATCCAACGTCCTTCGCCCAGTTCCGTTCGCAGTCTATGGAACGTCTCAATGTGTTCATCGAGTACCGTCATGGCGGGCTGTGTCGTACAACGCGCGAAGTTGTATTTGATTTTGTGATAGTCGAAGGTGAGGTGCAGTTTACAGATACATTGCTACATTTATTTTTAAGTCACAATCCGTTTATCTTTAGCAAAGCACACTGTGAACAACACCTACTGCTACGCTCTGAATGGCTACGTCAATAACAAGTATATTTGCGACACGACGGATGATCGTGTGAATTGCCCGACAATCCTGTCAGATACGACGAAAGCTATGGAACCGGCGTACGCGCGACAGTTTTGCTGTAAGCAACATTTACAACGTTAGTCCAAAATTAAATCGGTCTTAAGTATAGGTTCTTTTGTCGTCGAAGGAAGCGCGCTGGCAACTGCAGCATGGCGAACCTAAACAACAATTAAATGATTGTTATTTCGCTGTTTAATTTATAGGGCCGAGTTACTGGGTGATGGGCGGAATTGTTGTAGCAGCGGTTGCTGCCGTGGCCCTACTGGTCGCAATGGTGGCGCTGTGTCGTCGTCGCTGTCGCAAATGTTCATGTAGCTGTCGTCCGCGAAAGATTTGCAGCTGGTCCAGTCAGCGGCAGTGCGATGTCTGGAGCCCGTACTGTACTTGCGCTATCAAGTATGATATCCAGTGTGATACCGGGACTGATGAACGACTTCTTGCCAAGAAGAACCGATTCTGAAGACTAAGTTCTTATTAGATTGCAGCCCGCATCGGGCCTGCAGTTCAGCAACTGCAGAATCTGTTTGTTTTTTGACTTTTAATTATTGTTGTGTTTGTTATAACTTTATTCCGTACAAAGCTTAAGATATAAATGGCATTCCATCTATTTTACACATTTTTCAATATCTGTTTGTTATTGCTGCTGCAGTTTAAATTAATACAGCACATTGTGTTGCATCTAGCTGTACTCGCACTTTAAGTATGAATATTGCTAATTCTGCTGACCTTATAAAAGATATCCATGGTAGAACGTGCTTCAAGATCAGTTAGTAATGACAAATGTGCTGCCTGTCAAAAAGGCTTCCAAAAAACGCTGTACCGCTTTGTAATGAGCGCAGTAATAACATCGTTTTGTAATAACATCGTTTATTAATACGTAATTAATATTAGCGCAGTAATAACATCGTTTATTAATACGTTTCTGGTATGCTGCAAATTCGTGGTGGCAAGTACATAATATGTGCAAATTCGTGGTGGCAGTGGCATTCGTGGTACCTGCAAATTCGTGGTGGCAAGTACATAATATGTGCAAGTGCGTGGTTATTAACACTCTCACTAAGTTTCATTCGTGCTGCTGACACTCGCCTAATTGCCGGAAATGAGTGACAATTTTTGTTACAACAATACATACACTACAATAATAACATCGTACATACGTCATACACATGTTATTGTACGTCATGGTACATGGTCAAGTAAGTGTTGGGAACTTGGAAGCTTTATTTGCCGGAAATACAATGATAATAATTTTTACTAGCAACGATTATTATTGTTATACAGATTGTTTTGTACGTAGCAATTATTATTTTCCAGATATGCTCTATGAAATTAGTGCAATAGACCCAGTACATATAGCCACGTACACATGCACACCTGCATGTGGGTATACATACTATGTGGCTGTGTTCTCTATAGAACATTGCCACATGCAGTATGTACACTGTACATCGTAGCGGCACGTGCAGTAGAATTACAGTACATATCGTTCTGTGCTACATGAACAGTATTGATCTATTAACGATAAACAGTTTTGAGCAATGTGCCGAATGCCGCTGATGTGGCTTACCAGTCAACGAGTTTCAAGCCGGTAAAACATAGAATGATGAAATCGCTATAACTTGCATATACAATGTACGACAAAAAGAGGTTGAACCGATCAGTCGGTCCGCGGTTCAAAATAACCTCGCAACGACACGCCACCACTAAAACTTGGACGCTTACTCACTACTTTCAGACGCTCGCGCTCCGTGAATATCAAAGTGCAGCTATACTAGTTGCATATCAAAAGGTGTAGAGAAAAATTTGAAACTTTTTGATACTAAACCTGTGGCTGTTTATGGCGAACAGCACAAATTCTAGCCATTTTGCTTTCTCGTGGGCACAGCATAGGATCTGTGCGCATAACCGTTTGGCTTGCAATCAATGCTTAAGTCTATGGAAAGCAAAATGGCTAGAATTTATCTTCCCAGTATATCAAATATTCAAAAAGTTGCGTGAGTGGCGTGTCAAGGTTTTGACCGACTGATCGGTTCAACCTCTTTTTGTCGTACATTGTACACCATCCAGTTATCGCAGTGAAAAAGCTCTATCCACAAGACCATATGCTAACGAGGTACTTTCTTGTTGGTTAATCTTGATGCTGGTGTTGCTTCCCGTAGATGAAGAGCCGACACCCGAGGACCAATGGCAGTGAATTACGTGGCATTGCCAGTGAATCATTATAGTTGCAGCTACTCTTGTTTATTCTGTCCATTAACGAAGCACCGTAGTCGAGATTGTAATGCGAATGTAACCACTGTATGTCGATGATCGTGTGGCTTGTGGTTGTTGCATCAGCTGTTCATTCCCGATCTACAAAAACGACGAAAGGAGTCGTAACCGTCTAGCTAAGTTCATACTCGGCCACGAAGATATGTTCCCAAATCATAGCTGGGATATTCGGAAACAGATACGCCTTACACCGACTAACTGCATAATCGAGGCAGACAGTCGCAAACTAACTTATTCCAGAACTAATTTGCATCCTCCAAGCGGTCCACCATGATTTTTGCTTTGCTGCTTTATCTTTTTTCATCAGCAGTATTAACTGGAATCGGCGCTTTGACGTACCAAGATTACAGTAAGTGTGTACGCGAAGACAACACCTGATTTATACATGATTGCATCCTTATTAGGGGTGGACATATGCAATGAAGTAGTTGAACTGGATTGTCCAACTACGGCATCCGGAAGTGCCGGCCGAATAACCTTTAGGCCGCATATTGCCATCAGTGCGACGCCCGACAACTTCTACAATATTCCCGGCTATACTGAGCATTGCGAGCAATCCGGTCCTTGTAAGCTAACGGTCATGACCAACGGAAACTGTGGAAGTTTGGACGAAGGACATGCTGTCTATTTCAACGCTAGGTACCGTACAGCTCCTAGCGTAATTTCTATCACAAAAGTACGCGAATTTAGGGCGACAGGTACACTAAAAGGATTGTCACTGACTCCATACACTACGTCTACTGTATTTAGATTTAAGATATTTATAAAGGAGAAATGTGAATATTTTATTATTTGTATCGATAGTTTAGAATTTAGAACGGTATTTGGCATGCATCAGCATTCAGCCGTGCCAAATGCATGTACAGCGTAAATAGTATGGTCACTATGGTTGGACGCGGTGTACTATGGTGTTTGGAGTGATGCTTGTCGCTGTGTTAATGGATAAGCAATTACGGGATAAGCTTGTACCTGTTCTATCATCATTTCTATGGAACATATCATATTAACTTAGCTAACCGAGCAGCCATCGTGTAGGTCGCTTAATATTCCGGAAGGATCGCGTTTGGATATCTACGACAGGACCGACCACGGTGGTCCTAAATTGCGGCGTTCCTGGGATGCGTACCGCGCTGGGTGGTACCGCAATCTGCAGTCCGTCGCGCAGTTCCGCTCGCAGTTCACATACCGGGAGCGGCCGACGATTTTCATTGAGTATCACCACGGAGCAGCGGCCTGTCGTGAGTCACGGGAAATCGTACTAGATTTCGTGATGGTCGAAGGTGAGTCGCAGTCCTTATTCTGAAGTTTTTATAATTTGTAGTGTGTTCGTTTACAGAAAAACGCACGGTGAACAACACATACTGTACCGCTCTGAATGGTTACGTTAACAACGCGTATATCTGTGATACGACGGATGACCGTGTAAACTGTCCGCAGATTCTGTCGGATATGACGAGAAATATGCAACCAGCATGGAAGCGGCAGTTTTGCTGTAAGAGGAAATTTTACCCTGCTGATGTGTAGTCTGTGTCATGTACTGTACAGAGAATCTCTATATATGTATACATAATATTATGTGTTTACCGTAGATGGATACAGGTTTCTGTGTGTACAATAGTAGTATGTCTTTGTAACTGTCGCATTTACAACAAAAATATAGGCAAATTGGGATTTGTAGGGCCAAGTTTCTGGGTTATGAGTGGAATAATTATCGCAGCTGTCGCTGTTGTGGCTCTACTGGTCGCAATGGTGGCGCTGTGTCGCCGTCGCTGTCGGAAATATTCATGTAGGTGACGACCTCGAAAGAATTGCAACTGGTCCAGTCAGCGACAATGTGATTTCTGGAGCCCGTACTGTACCTGCGCTATTAAGTACGATATTCGGTGTGATACCGGGACTGATGAAAACTTCTTGCCAAGAAGAACCGCTTGTTCGAGGAATAAGTTTCTGTGCGCCGGTTATCGACTTTGTACCAGAATTTGTTTTCAGTTTACCAATAGTTATTTACCTAGGCTCTCTGAAGCACACCACAGGCTAATTTGCTTCTTGGGCATTGTTTTCAAAATTTTGCAACTGTGCTGTTTTTCGACCGTAAAGCTGTAGAAACCGTTACGGTATACTGCAGCCAAAATACTGCACTACTGTCAACATAAATGTTCCGTGCTCCTCTATGTGCCAGCATACGGATTTTTTTAGACGTTTTTCTTGTTTTTTCTAAATTAATATTCTGCTTGTTCTGGTTTTACATTTGCAATGCTCACTCCAAGTTGACGATGTCAATTTTGAAGTCGTACCAACATGTATCACCTAAAATGTCTATGTACAAGTACTCTGTTAATGTACACTGTACATGTATTCGTGAATTGCATACTAAAAAAAACCGTAAATGAACTATTATTAGTACTGCTTTACTTAATTGTAATGTGTACGTTACGGTATTATTGAAATATATGATGTCGTGAGACTATGAATACTTACACAGTTACATTGATCGATTTTTCCAAGCTTAATTAATACGAGTTACGTATTTTTTTAAGACAGATACCAGCCATACGTATGGCTTGCGATATATATGGTAAGAATTAACTAAACGGTCGGATGGGAGAAGTGAAAACGAAAAAAACTGTTTATGAATCGTTACTTTTTCATTAGTAATGAAGTAAATAACTACATAGGCTGCATAGTGCACATACATGGATGCACATATGTACATACCTGCATACGTACTGCTTTGTGATGTTAATAATAAATATTATTAATTTTTTACTAAAATGTAACTAAATGTACATTAAATGATTGACGTACGTGTGTTCTTCGTACGTACGTACAATACTGTACGTATATGTACAATACAATACACAGTCGCTTCTCATGTACATTGGGACAAATTCTTCATTTGATTATAATTGTTAAGCGAAGCTCGCTTTGTACATATTGAGAAATAACGTCACTTATACACATGTATCTATATGCGTACGATCCCTTGATGAAGAAATCGAATTGTATCCATAAATGTAACGATATTATGAAGTACCGTAATTGCGCTGTGTATTCCGGTTCCGGATCTCAGAACACATAATTCAAAATCAGTTACGTTTCTTCTCGCACATTGCAGTTTTACAATTCATCAGTACTTGTATATTTATATACATAAGTGATAGATGTCTTACATAATCTTCAGTAGTTTACTAGATAGCAAGAACTGTAATAAATGGACGTTAATAATAATATTATCATGCAACATTTTATTTTCAAAAACAGCTTGCTCAAAAAACGAAAGTACAGATACAGTTAAAACTGCAAAAGCAAAAACAACACTGTGTAAATTTAGTATACCACTAGTAGAAATATGATTACAATATTATTATTAATTTTCACTGTATGTACGATGCAATGTTGTTAAACAAAATGTTTTAGTCTGGATAACGTACTCTTGCGTTAACCGGAAATCGATGAAATGTTGTTCTCTAGTGGAATGATCGTGTTTGCATGCGGAGCAGCCGCTGAACGTTGCAGTGGTATGCTGCGACTGTTAAGTGTTAACCAGTCCTTCCGCATTGGAGAGACAGCACACATGTACATATTCCGATATCTCAAGCTGATGAGTTAATACTGTAATCATGTTCCTGAACCTGTTTCAATGCGTGACAGCGTAAGCTTATCAGCGACCCAACAGAAATCCACATCGCGGCTTGTACTCAAATTTACTGTATCGAGTTTACCTTTCGACATTCCCAACAGCCAACATGACTTTTATCGCCTGTAATCTTGTTTATTTTGACTCATAACTCGCTCGAACTAACTTGTAAGCGAGAATTGTAAGCCAGATATTCTGTCATTTCTTGCACCGTGATCCTAGCAAACGAGAGCGCAAAAACCGTAATCCATTCAGTTTTGTTTCAGTCGTTCCCGTTTGGTTGTTCATACATACTTGAAAACGAATTACCAACGACATACCAGCGGAACTGGTCTGGTACCGTAGAAAGGATTTGATACGAAACGATCTCATGATGTCTGCATCCATCACTCCCTTTCTTTTTCTGTTGATTACTCTGATCTTGGGGATTGGAGTCCATGGTGTGCCATACAAGAATTACGGTAAGTCCAGATGTTAGTAATGCAACTACGTATGCAACAGAGATAAAACAGTAATTTTCTAAACGAGAACTGCGGGTTGTAGATATCCGCAGATGCGATGCAGTCGTCCTGCTGGATTGTCCTACCACTGCGACAGGGAGCGCGGGCCGCGTGACATTCTATCCCTACATTTCCATCAACACGTCGCGTGCCAAAACCGATACTCGTTACAATTATTACGAATCGGATTATGGCGGAAACTGTGAGCAAACCGGTCCTTGCAAACTGAAAGTGCAAACAGTAAAAGAATGCGGAGATCCGCTTGGAAGTAACTATGCTATCTACTTCAACGTCAGGTACCATACGTTCTTTTGGTTGTCAACATCAGCAGTCGAGTAGGTGATACGACGAATTTAATTATCTTAGAAATTTCGAGATTCCGCGATCATCGCGTCTGGAGATCTACGACGCCTCCGGACAGGGGGAGCCCGTGATGAAACGCGGCTGGAACGGAGGAGATGGCTGGCAGCATTACAATCCGACTTCCGTGGCGCAGGTGCGCTCTGACTACGCCCGCCAGCCGGCATTCTCCGTTGAGTACTACCATGGAAGGGCCCAGTGCCGTAGCGCGCGGAAGGTGGTCTTCGATTATGTGATCACTGAAGGTACTTCGGCGTTTTTCGCATTCCGCGCATTTTTGCAGTTAGATTTCGCGTATGTATCGGACAACGGGTCACAGTATTTTCCGCGTTATTACACATTGAAAAACTTGATAGTTTATCGTGTATATTTATTAATCTCGTGTACAAGCTTGTATAAAAACACTAATTATCACGTAATCAATTTTCGAAAAGTTTTTGGCATGTGGAGCTAAACGAAGAATACCGTGTCTCTTGTGTCCGGTATGAGAATTCACATAATGAAAATGTCCGTGATGCGAAAAACATAGATGTGGTAAACAGCTTCCGGTCTCCCGCGTTATCATGGCAACTTGTGAATTTTTTATTGCAGCGCTGAGCACGGTGAATAATACATACTGTACCGCTCTGGACGGTTATGTCAATAGCCAGTATATCTGCGATACAGCCGAAGATCGCGTTAACTGTCCGGCTTGGATATCCGACAGTATGAGTTCCTTGGAGCCGGCATATCAGCGACAGTACTGCTGTAAGTATAGATACTTCGCTTACTGCCTTATATGGGCTCCCCATGTATTACTCTCCCTTATCTGGGCTCCCGAGCAATATGAGCAACCCTCTACATCGGCGGTTACGTTATTACTCACAGTTTTGCAGCTGTTATCAGTGTTATGACTGAATGAAAATTTAGATTTATTTAAAATACTGTGAAAAAAAATAATGTGATATGAAATTTCGGCATTTTTTAGTTTGTTCATTGGCAAATCCAGTTGAAATTAATGAAAAATATATATAGATAATATAATTATATAAATATAATTCGGATGTGATATTTCGGAATTCTTTGGTGTGCTCACTTGTAAATCCGGTTGAAAGAAGTAGAAAAGGGTTCTGCTATAAATCCGATAAATAATTTGACGGGTATTGCTCACTAGCCGAGAGCCCAGATAAGGGAGAGTAATGTAAGGGGAGCCCATATAAGGCAGTAAGCGAAGTATTCATTTTGTAAGTATATTCATTTTTAGAACGGGTGTTTTACTCGCCTTTACACCTTCATGGGAAAACTTTTTTTCTCGTAGTGCCTAGTTATTGGATCATTGGCGGAATCGCGGCGGCCTCGGTGGTGGGTCTAGTGATCCTAATTGTGCTGTTAGGGCTGTGCCGTCGTCGCTGCCGAACGTGTGCCTGCGTGTGTCGTCCGCGGAAGATCTGCAACTGGAACAGCCAGCGAAACTGCAACTTCTGGAGTCCGTACTGTTCCTGCGCCATCAAATACGACATCCAGTGTGATACCGGAAGTGATGAGAGACTTCTTGCCAAGAAGAACGATTTGTTGGAGGATTGATTGTGATGCAACAATTGCGGGTGAATCCATTAGTGATTTTTCTACCTGCAGAAATGCGCACTGGAGGTTCCTTTTATTGTTTTTAATTTCGTTTTTTTGCCTTTTTATTCGTCACTAAATTTTTAGCCTGCTTTTTCTCGGGGCAAGAAAAATAGCGTTAAATTAAGTTTTTCCGCATACCTTTAATAAATATCCTATTCCGGATACAAACTAACCAGGGCACATTTTCCGGGTCCAAATTCAGAAAAATCTGATCTTTGGCAGAAACATAGTATACCATCGTAGTATTTAAAAAAAATAATTTCAGCTACTGACACTCAAAGGGCGTAGGAACAAAATTAATAAGTAAATAATACCAATGCACTAGCGCAATACCCGCACAGGCTTTCTATAAAATAACAGCATATCAGGAAAGTTTCACCTCTTGCAGAAACGTAGCATTTTGCCACATTATGGTTAATGAAAAATTTCATGCGAACGTTGAGACGACACAGTAGAAAAACCATTTTGTAGCTGCGATTCTTTGCGGTAGTGCAACAGTACGTACTTACCACATACTGCCGCTGTATTTGGATTCCGGATTTTGCTAATTTCCTCACGGTGTGCAGTGTGCCCCCGGAACTTGTTAAATATTAAAGTTCATTAAGCGTGCTATAGTCGTACACTGTCAATCGGCAAAAGACGAGTTCCTGATTTATTATTATACACTGATACAAACAGCTGTTCGAGTACTACACTAGTGCAGTCACTGCAGTGCAATAGTATGTACTATTACAGTATTACTTACTTATTACTTTTGTTTGTCCACGCCCTTTGAGTGTCAGCAGCTGAAATTATTTTTGTTAATATACTACGATGGTATACTATGTTTCTGCCAAAGTTCAGATTTTTCTGAATTTGGACCCGGAAAATGTGCCCTGGTAAGTACCAATAAAAAATTTATAACAGAAACACTTCCGCTTTGCTATCCTGGTCAGGGATTGTTCCCATTACCCATATTGCATTTCCACGTTGTATTTGGATAGATAGTCGCTGCTTAAAGAACTCTTTCGCCCGTTTCTGGCCGGTGGAAGCTGCCAGAAACGGTCGAAAGTTGTTCCTAAATTAAGTTGTTCAAAATTCAGATGTAGTGGATCTTATTAGTCATTCTGCTTTGTTTTTGTTACCGAGCGTTTGTATAAAAATTTAAAACAGTACTTGTATCGGTTAATGTACAATACAGCGTGACACAGTAATTATTCCCAATTTATTCTGCTAGTAACCAGTAACCACTATACCAAACCGTCGCTTGGGTCATTGCCGCCTTTTGTAGACAGTGCACATATATGATGATAAGCATCTGGACTCTTCCAGTGCAAAGGTTTACCGAGCCGCTTTTGCAAGAGCTGTGCTTCTGTTTAATGAAGATAAATGCCGGTGTTAAAGTGGCGGTATGTTTGGACTGTCTGAGTTATAGGGTATCGAATACCGCTATATTAATTCTACAATACCGAGGTGTTTATGGACTCTGGTAACCACGTGGATGCGGTTCTTGAAAATACTTCCTTGGCCCCGATCATATCTAACACCGTCGGTTAAAGCAGATGGTTGTATTATTTTGGTATTTTACAATAAAAGATATTCTTCTGATAGCTGCTTTACTTTGATTTATTCATTGCATAAAACTATACCACAATACTTGACTTGTATCCTCTCTACCGAAGCAACACAATGATTTTCTATGCTCTATTATTAATGGTGCTGGTGGCATTCATCGACAGTTGTTGTGGTTCCATGTACAAAACGTATAGTAAGTGGGCGCCTACTTGATTTGTCTCTGACGAATTTACAGTAATTTCTGTTAGATTCCCGCAATCGCTGTGGTGATGTTATCCACCTTGACTGCCCGACAGTCTCCGCGGCCAGCGCCGGTCGTATCGAATTCCGACCGCAGTTAACTGTCGTTAAGATGAGCGACAACCTTACCGATTACGGTTATGCCTACGATGTGTGTCACCAGCGGGAGGCGTGTAAACTGACCGTAAAAACAGCGCAAGCGTGCGGAAACACTGGAGATGAGTACGCCATATACTTCAGTCTGCGGTAATTCAGCCACTATCATCCCTCCCGCTTCTGTAAACGGTAAAACCAACGTTGTCTATTGACAGAACATTCGAGTTACCTCAAGGTTCGCGGTTAGAAATCTACGATATAACTAAGGACCAGAGCTTACTCAGATCGTGGAGCGTTAAACCGAATTATTTTCCGGCTACAACCACTGTCAAGAGCGCTGTGCCGCCAGAAGTCATCGGTCAGCTGCTGTCGGATTTCACTCCCCAACCGGCCCTCTTTCTCGAATATTTGCACGGAACGGGAGCTTGTCGCGGTTCACGGAAGGTGGTCTTCGATTACATTATTGTTGAGAGTAAGCAATTTAGCATGTAATTCAACATTTTGAAATACACTGTATCATGTTGTGTGTGAAGGCCAGAGTACGGGAAACAACACCTTGTGCAAAGCCTTGAGTGGCTACGTAAATAACGAGTACATCTGTGATACCTCCGACGATCGGATTAACTGCCCGTTGCATTTATCGGAATCGACTGAAAATATGGAAGAAGTTTACAAGCGTCAGTACTGCGGTATGTTGCGATAAAATTGTCTGAAAGTTTAGGTATGCGAAAGTAATGTTACAGCAGTATAAATCGGTACGAGTACACATTCAATAAAATTCTTCAAACTTTTTTGTTCAGCGCCGACTGGATGGGTCATCGGTGGAATTACAACCGGCGCCGTCATCGCTGGCCTGGCGCTGATAGTCCTGGTAATCCTTTTGGTTGGCCACTGTCGCAGGCATCCCTGCACTTGCCGCCCTACAAAGTTTTGCACATGGTCCAGCGAACGCAAGTGTAATTTGTGGAGCCCGTATTGTTCGTGCCTGTTTCGCTACGAGATTCAGTGTGATACTGGAAGCGATACGCATTTGCTGTCCAAAACGAACGATACCACCGATGAGTAGCTACTCTGACCCGAAATAGAAAGTTTAAACTGTTAAATCTGATGTCGCCTTTAAAATTATTAAACATTCCGGAGCAGGAACGGAGTGACTACCATCAAAACATACTTCAACACGTGATTCTGTTAAATGCTATGCAGAAGGCACAATCCGTATGCGGTTAGGCTAGACCTCAAAATAAAGACAGACGAAGGGTTTCTTTTATGTTTAATGTCGGAAGAATTTACGGTCTACGTTTACTGGTGAACGAAAATTGTTACGTTTAAATTTATCTTGACATGATCAACCCGAAATTTTATTGCATTAAAATTATTCAACAACCACGCGAAGCTGAATCAGAACTGCGCACTGGCAAAGTACCAGTAATAAGCGACAACAGACAAAATTCACGACCGAAAATCTAACGCGGCTGAAGGGCTGCAGGGGCCGGTGCATCTTCCTCCCATACGCGCAGAATATTGTTTGCTTCGAAATCCTCCGTTCCGGCCGTCCACTCCACGGCCTGTACGCTCACGTGATCCCGAATTCTACAGTCCACAGTGAATCCGTATGCCGCACTACGAAAGATTATCCTCTCCTTGCAAACAAATTTTATTTGAAGTATCGTTATTAATTCAGTTACCATTTGTAGTCTTTCTGTACGACAGCCCGGATAAACTCCAGCACTTGGTTCAGGTAGCTGATACTGCGTCGCTTGCTCCAGTGATTGCAGGTGGCTAGAGGGCACTGCAGTACATGAATAGTAAAGATACTTTACATATACTTCAAGTACACGTTGTAATAAAAACATTATTACAGCAAAAGGGCGACAGCAGAGCACAAACCTGCGTCTTATCTGGAATGCCTGCTGGCTGGATCATGTCGCAGCGGATCAGCTCGTTGTTTTGCGTGATGCCAAGGACCACCCGCTTCGAACCACTGACCGTGCAGCGGTTCCAAATTGCTCTGTCGAGGGTTTGATATTTCCTGAAAATCGATTTCCCTATTTCCCGAACGCCGTACTTTCATATCCGTGCAACATAAGACATTCGAAAGAAAGACTCCACAGAACGCTCATGTACAGCAAATTGAGCACGGTAAAAGTTTTTCAGGCTCAATTACTTTAGCAGCTACGACGGTGCTTTTCCCGGCTGCTTAATGAAAACACGGGATCTGCCACATATCGGTATTTTGAATCTATGACGTGTATGCGACTATAGAAAACGCTTACAGTGGACAGCGGGGTTTGTCGGGCCCGCGCGCTCGATGATCTTCAACAACACCGAGATAGGTGTAACTGCCCGGTGCAGCGCCCATACTTGGCTCGATACAGTCGATCTTGTGGGAGTAGAGCAAACGCGTTGAGCCGATCGTCCAGCCCAAAACTGAGTAGAAGTAGTCGATCGAAATGTTCTGCGCATTGACTTCACTGCTCTCGGTCGTCACTAGATCAAGCTGTTGTACTCTGTAAATATCACGGCTCTCCAGAGAAAACCGACGCTCAAAAACTTCAGATATGATTATGCGCACAGATTCAACGATAAATTAATGGTCTTTGAAGAATTGTGATAAATAAAATCTCGCATACCGTTGAGAATGGAGCACATAACTTACGACAAAATAGTCTGTGTCAGTCTTACCCGGAAGGTTTCGCGCCGTTGACCGCGGTCGGTTTGGATGCGGCATTCTGTTGAGCGCACGCGAAGTAGACGATGTTTTGGCGTCGACAGGCCACGAACTGATGGCCAGTCTTCTTGTGCGTGGTGTTCGGCTGGTCCAGCAGCAGTCCCACGGCACGGCCACTGCACACGATATGCGGGCTGCAACGAGGACAGCACAGTCGTCGATCTGGTGCACTGACACACCAAAACGTTCACATTTACGTAGAGTATATTCATGCTAAAAGCAGCAAAACCTTACAGAAGCAGTGAGATAAAAAGCGCTGACAAGGAAAACAAGTCATTAGCTATACGCGTTGGCGGCTTTGCAAACGTCCGGCACATTTGCTTTCCAATTAATTTTGCACTGATTTCATATGATTACCGACTGCTCGTCCGCTCGCATCCCACCGCCGACAGCAGCAGCGATCTGAGCAAGAATTCCAGTTAATTCAAATCTAATTTGAAATTTTTAATGAGTATCTATCAGCGCGGGTTTGTGACGTTAATTGGATATTGCTTGAATAAAAACAAACATAAAAAACTGAAGCAGCACTTACCAATATGAATATAATCAAACTTCTCTATAACAAGCACTAACTATCAAAATTGGGCACGTTAAGAAGTTACGAATTTGTTTACTATAGAAGTATTTTCGGTGCCTTTGAGCATGTTGGGCTTTTTTATGAATGAATGGACACGGGCACTTGTCGCCGCGCATAGTCAGCCGACAAACAATGCCGCACTTTCTCACGGCTTTGACTGTTTGACAATACGACATACGTGCCGACTGAATCTGTCTCACGAAGTGAGCGGTCTATCAGCGCGTACAGTGATTTTGCTGGGTAAGCTATGATTTATTTTGAAACCAGTGAAATACTTTGCTTCTGATTTCCGATCGTATGATCGTATTTCGTATCTGCACAGTAGAATGCGAATACATCTGCAACCGTACCTAAATCGGTCAAACGCTGCCCGATTGTGCTCCATCCAGGTGCGCAGGTGGATCAGCGGGCGCCACGTTCCTGTTGGAAAGTGCGATCCCTCTTGCTTGTACTGTTGCAGACGAGTGTCGGGATCCATGGCGCATAGAACGCTCCACTGTACCGCCAAAGTGCGCAATAGTTGTCGATCTCTGTCGTCCACGTATTCCTTACAATCCGGATCTTCGTGCTGGTTCCGCAAACCGAACCAGCCCACTTCCACGACTGGCGAGCGCTCGCAAGGGACGAAGTCATCGGTAGAGCGGACAAATGACATCTCGCCGACTACGGACATCCTGAAGTAGTCGTGAATTACAGGAAAATGAGTACTGGCAACCCACTGTCCAGAGGAAACATATGGGGGATGATCAGTGAGCGGAAGATCAGGAAGTTTATTCTGGTTTATAACGTTCAAGAAAATCGTAGATAAAAGGCACTTACGGGAACGTCGAAGCGCTAAATGGGGCTGAAATATTCGAAGGCTTTACCCAACATAACGTAGTGAAATGCCGTTCGGCATGACGACGTTACTCAAATTGTTTCGGAAGTACCTCCCATTCGACGCGCTCGACCAACCGGTTTCACTGCTGCTACGTAGACTGATTGCACCTAGGTACTGGACTATTCGACCGTCTAATGTCCCATTGCCTCAGCAGTTAACCCATTAACCAATTAAATTTGGAATGGTTTAAAGTAGTCCTACTTGCGCAAGCTCGTTGTTTATCTGGATTGACTGCTGCCGAATAACAAGTTGTACGACTGGATGGATTTTTGCTACTGTAGCGGCAATTGCCAACAACTGCAGTTTCTTCGGCAATGGTTACCAGAAGGGCGAAAAACCAAAAACCATGCATTTTACTTTTTATCCAAAACTACATACATGTGTCGAGTGAATAATTATTTCGCTTTTCTTTACAAAAATCAGAAGCGCACGGAAGTAAAAAAAAATCGACCTGCTAATGTAATACCAGAAACCCATTTACACAGCTGCACTGTGACATCCAAGTTAATTATCAAAATCGGTGCAACCTTTTAACCCGAAAGAGCTCTAGCAACGCCGTGTATCGCATTCCACAGAGATCGCGATGTTGCCGAGGGGTCCAATCTCGTATTAGGAATTGTTGTCCTCCGCCACTGTCTTGGCGACGGTGTTGACGCTGATCTTCCGTTGACCCCACCACAGCTTCCACACGTACCGACTGGCAGCGACGCGGAAGCCGCGCATACTCAACGCAAAGAGAACCGGGTCGAGTACGGCCTGCAGCCCGTACAGGACCATCATGACGCTACGGCCACTGGAATTGTCGCTCAGCGTGGTGAACAGTGTCACCGTCCAGTATGTCTGATCCGGCGTCCAACAGATCAGCACGCTAATGGTCAGCAGGGTCAAAACGACGAAGGGGCGGGGTCCTTTGGGCTGGCTATTTTGAGCCTATAATAAACGAGGTCTTTCGTGTTAAATGCTTTAGTACGCTCCTTTAGAAAAATCATATGGCGTTTGGCAGTATTTACTTATTTTACTTATTCAGTTCGCTGTCTTTCTAGAAAAAGAACTTGCCAGAATTACCGCGCATCTTAATGTTAAAGTTAAGTATAAATATGGGGAAAATCAGCTAGCCGTTTAGTTGATATAAAACCCTTAATGCACTACGTCTACCACCGTAACGTACACTAAGGGAAAAAGCTTAACTTTTATTTCCATATCATGACAGCTGCACTCCCGACAACTGTGCCGCCTTCCCACAGTTGCATCAACTTATATACCACATCAATATGCTGAATTGCTCATATTCGCATACAGCCACAAAGCTAGAAAAACACATGCACCAATCCCATCACTGTGTTTCACATTAACCACATCTGCAGGCCACATTCATCCTGCCTCCTTATTATTCCCACTTGACCAGCAGTCAGCGATCTTACAGAGATAAGGAACGATACGGTAAAGATATAAATATCTGCACACACATATGGTCATAATTAATACTCGTACTAACGAGCACGCAGACCATGCACATTGGCAATTAATTAAACCATGATAGCCGCCGTCCACTTGTCAACACCACGGCCGTAACATTACCCTCCGCTTAGATTCTTCGTCCCGAAGAATAGGTCAGCTGATCTGAATGCACCATCAAGATCACGGCCATCCGGAGAACGATATTGCGCTGATCCTTAATTAACTGCACGGAATCCAATTAAATAATGGGCACATTAGCCAACCCGGCTACACTGCCTCGATTAATAACCACTATTGTCTGTGCACTGTTGCCACATCTTCCTCCACCGCTTTTAATTCACCTGCGGCTTATTGTTCGTGCATTGGGCCATCAAATGTCCAACGCCACCACACTTATAGCACGACCTCGCACCGCGTTGTGCTAACCTTCCCGTAAACTTTGAACCCCGTTTTCCGTTGTCCCTTTGTCCACTGCCACCCGGCTCATCCCGGCCGCCGGCATTATACACAGTGCTGCCCGCACCGGCGCCGCCACTGTGCACAACGCTGTTGTCCTCAACCGCGTCGTCGCTGCATGCACTAGCACTATCGTCATCACCCGCATCACCGACCTGTCGCTCCCGCGCGCTATCAGTACTGTCTTCATCCTCTTGACGATCATCCCGCTGCCCGTAATATTTGCGGTAGTGCTCATGTTCTTCCCATTCTTCCTCGTCAGACGCCACCGGCCCAGTGACGTACTTATTCTCCTTACGCTTACTGCGCTTCACAGCAGTTTGTGCAAGCACCAAATCAGCGTAAAACTCCGTAGGCGTAGTCGCTTGAGAAAGCACCACATAACCGTAGTACGATTCAAGTAATCCATCTTTCAAATGTTCGATAACATCCGCATCGTCCATTTTCGGATTAGCAAGGTAACATTTCGAAACTTTCTCGTTGAAATACGTACTTACGTCCTCATCCGGCAATTGTTTCCGGCGTCGCATCTCACGCTTGTAACGCTGAATCATGTCCTTAGGACGAAATCGGGCAATTAATGCCGTTTTAAATGCCGCCCAGTCAGCCCATGGAATCCTCGCTCCGTCACTGGTCTCCCTATCATACCAGTTGGCTGCAAATGCACGCAGGTATATCGGCGCCTGCTTCAGCAAGACAGCATCCGTCCACTCAAGTGCATTACCTATGCGCTGAAATTGCCGGCACCATTCCTCCACCACTTCTTTAGCTTCCCCGCTAAACAACGGTGGCTTGGTGTCACTGGCCAATTTCAGATCCGTAAACTCCTTGGCTAACTGGCGAGAGTTCACATTCACTGTATACTTCACACCGGCTGCTTCCACAGCGGTGACCTTATCCTTGTCGCCCATTCGTTTCCAAGCGATGATCTCTTCCTATATTGTCGGATATTATCCCAATATCTCAACAATATCAAACAACACAGTCCACCGTATCCGCAGCGGTAACCTTTTCCTCTATCATCGGATATTAGCCCAATATCCAACAATATCCAACAACACCGTCCACCGTATCCACAACGGCGACCTCCCCGTTAATTGTCAGAAATATATCCCGATATTCCGACAATGTCAAACAGCACGGTTTCCCGTTCCCACAGCGGTGATTTTCTCCTTCCGCTATATTGTCACATATTTCCCAATATCCCAACAATATTCAGCAACTCGGCCCACCGTTCCCACAACGATGACCTTTTCCTCCTCACCCGTTATATTGTCGGATATTATCCCAATATTCCCACAATATAGCACGGTTTCGGCACCAATGATATAAAACCCTTAATGCACTACGTCTACCACCGTAACGTACACTAAGGGAAAAAGCTTAACTTTTATTTCCATATCATGACAGCTGCACTCCCGACAACTGTGCCGCCTTCCCACAGTTGCATCAACTTATATACCACATCAATATGCTGAATTGCTCATATTCATACAATACAAAGCTAGAAAAACACATGCACCAATCCCATCACTGTGTTTCACATTAACCACATCTGCAGGCCACATTCATCCTGCCTCCTTATTATTCCCACTTGACCAGCAGTCAGCGATCTTACAGAGATAAGGAACGATACGGTAAAGATATAAATATCTGCACACACATATGGTCATAATTAATACTCGTACTAACGAGCACGCAGACCATGCACATTGGCAATTAATTAAACCATGATAAACGCCAAGACTTCACTTTATTCAAGAACACAACAAGAACACAACTTGGGGTATCAAAAGGGCACAGTAGTGCCGACAAACAATACGGTGCGAAGCGCCCTAACGACGCCACATGGGGGAAAAAAAAATTTTTCCGTAGCAAGCGGCTGGATCGCGCCAGTAATGAGCCGGCTCGGCGAAGGTGACCGGCTTATATATGCGCGCTTCCAAGCGGATGTGCAGATAGGCAAAGGGGCTGGGGGTAGGCTTCGCCATGCAGTGGCAGAGAGGCTACGCGTTCAGTGGGCGTTTATCAACAAATTTCACCAATAGTGAAATCTAACCCATAAACGCCAAGACTTCACTTTATTCAAGAACACAACAAGAACACAACTTGGGGTATCAAAAGGGCACAGTAGTGCCGACAAACAATACGGTGCGAAGCGCCCTAACGACATAAAATCCTCAAGTTGGACGCGACAGTTTTGGCGAAACGGGAGCGGAGGTTAGGAGCGCGGTTAGCGTAACGCTCGAAGCAGTGGCTGGCCCAAGTTCCTTGGGCCTTTAATTCGTCAGTCGTTGCTCCCATGGCAGCGGCAAAGGTGGTGCCGCCTCTGCGGAAGCTGTGTAGGGAATAACCTTCGGAGTTGTAGCCGGCGGCTTTAAGCGTTCGTTTAAGGAAGTACTGAAACTTCCCTGCTGTTAGCGGCTTAACTTTTCCTCTTGCACTGACATGAGAAAAGGGGGAGGCGTGTGGATATGGGTTCAGCTTGTGCAAAGCTGCCCGGACCGCTTGAACGGGGCACAGCGGTGAATCTTTAACCGTAGGGATCGGCAGTGTAACCGAACCGTCAGCGAAGACGCTTGTTTTGATGGCGGGGACGGTTATGTCAAGGCCGCTAGGCGTAAAACGTATACCGCTAACTCGCAAGAATTTAGAATTCTTGTGGAAAGGCAGCAGGTTGCTTTTTCGAAGCAACGAAAAGAAGGCGACCAGGGCGGCTGCCCAGAAGGGCTTGCGGAAGCACTTTGGAATGGTGGTTAGGCGACCTTGAATTTTACACAAAATCTCAGGCGTGATTGGAAGTCGGGCGTTGGGGGTTTGTGCTTTCGTACGTTTGATAGCGCGCAACGTCAGCTGTATGCGGAAGTGGGAAAGGTCGGGGGCCTCAAGTCCTTCGCGATGGTGCAATGAGACAACGCTGGCAAGGTAATTGCGCACAGAGGAATACTGCATTTTCGGCGAAAGATAGGCAATAAAGCGGCAGAGCGTCTCAATGTTTGCGGGGCATGGGCGCGTTGAAATGCTTTTGCAGAAGTGCCGGTAAATCTTCCACTGGCTCTTTCTGGTGCGCAGCGAGGACGGTGCAAGTGAGGTTTTCCACAATTTCCGCAGCCGTTTGTCCAGTTCCTGCGTTCGGATACCTGTAAATAAAATCTCCAGGTAATTCAGCAAGGGCAGTGCGGCGTCCGGCCATAGCTAAGTCTAGTAAGCGCGGGTCAATGGTTGCGCGGCTTAAGGCGTCAGCTGCAATATTCTCCTTCCCAGGAAGATAGGAGGCTGATATGCGAAAATTGTAAGCGACTGAAGCATAAAATACGAGTTTCAGCCAACATAAGGCTGCTTTGCACTTCGTCGTAGCTCGATTTATAAAGGAAACTGTTTGCGTGTTGTCGGATTCAATAACAACTCGGAAGCCCGCCAGATGCGGCGCCCATACAAGCAGTGGCAAGCAGGCGGCAATTAGTTCGAGGAAATTGATGTTTCCTCTCAAGGCGTCCTCTAGTAACGGCGAGGTTAACCAGATAGAGGAGACAATCGCTGGCGGCAATACGTTAGCCCAAGATCCGGCAATTGCACGGCGGCCCATTGTTGCACCAAAGCCGGCGAGACAAGCGTCTGTTTGGATGAACACCGATTTCCTGGGCGGGGAAATCAGTGACGGGCAAAGACCGTTTAAAGCAGGGGAGACATCGTGCCACCACTGCAGTTCTAACTTTAGACTCGACGTCAGGCGTGTGCGGTGGTTAGGGCGAGACAATGGTTTAAGGGCGTCTATGAATATCCTCGCGAAAGGACGAGCACCGTAAATGGCTTTGGCGGCAAAGTTAAGGCGTCCAACCAGCTGCTGTAGTTCCTTCTTTGTGGCTTTATTGCGGCTAAGCAAAACACCAGTTTCCGTGCGGAGGTTCTGGAGTTTCTCTGGCGGTAGCTCAATGGTCAACGACACGGAGTCGAGGGTGACGCCCAAGAATCGGATGCGAGTTGTTGCGGAAATAACTTTTTCCCAGTTTATGGCAAAGCCCAGGTCTGTTAGAGTAGTTATTAAGCAACTCAAGGCGGCGGTGCATAGGTCAGCTGTCTCTCCTATAACGAGGAAGTCGTCCAGGTAGCACACAATCTTGTAACCTTTCAGGCGAATAAAGCGCGCAACTGCTGAAGATAAGCGGAAGAAAATGAACGGAGCTATCGAGAGTCCAAAGCACAGGAAGTTGTCGATAAAGTAAGTTTCGGGTTGTTCGTCGAAACTCCAAGCAAAGCCCTGCAGCTGGCGATGCGGTGGGAAGACTGGCACATGGCGGTAAGCAGACTTGATATCGACCAGGGCGTAATGGCAGGCGTAGCTGCTTAGCGCAAGGGCGTCGTCAATAGATTGTAGGGAAAATTTTCCGGGAAAAATATACGAATTCAAACTGTCCGAGAATGGGCGGCTACAGTCTGTGATAGGGCGGAACTTCTCAGAATCGGCTTTTTGGACTGCACCAATTGCATGCACGCGCTTAGGCTTACTATGGGAGTAGGAAATTTTCCCCTCGGCGATCTCACCGCGGAACAGTGTGTCCAGAAATGGTTTAGCTTGTGCCGTAAGTGCGCTGGAGTAGTTGTGGCATTCTGCTGAAGCTATTTGTTCGGCATTTTCTACCAGTTTAAAACCGAAGGCAAGACCATGTAAAATGAAATCTCTATCCTGATCAAAACGCAAAGCCGTATTCCAGTTATTAATTTTTCTTGTTAAAGAACAACGATGGTAAAGGTCGGCATCAACTCGAAAGTTCCCCACATGCAACATTTTCATAATAACCACTGCTAAACATGCGATTTCAAAACGTACATTCTCCTTGCTGTTATACGCGATTTCAAAGGGAAACAGGTCAGTTAACCAAAAACACGTACAGCGACATGGGCATATAAAGAGCGAATTCGACGAAAGTATGCCACATAACAATAGTGATTGTCATGCTGGTTACTGTTAGAGGGAAAAATAACCGACCGTTGCGGATGCAGGTTGCTTTTCGGAATGGACAATGGGCAGGCAGACTAAGTGGGTCAAGCGGTTCCGTTATTGCGACGCAATTGGGGGCAGTTAATGCGGCCATGTCCTGTTTGGTTGCACTTGTAGCAAATATGGCGGTAGTTGCACCCGGCACACGATCCATTATTAAAACGGCCACAAATTGGGGGCGGATTGCCGGCATTACGCGTGCTTCCGCTGGAAGTTGCGGCGGCGAAGGCGGTAGGCTTCCCTGCGGCGATTACCATGGCGTTCTGGCAGGCGGTCTGAGAATTAAAGTGGCTTGAGGCAATATTTTCACGCTCGATGGCATTATCCAGGTTCCACTTGTGGTCCTTAGCACGAATGCGGAAGTCGTGATCGAAAGCCAGAATAGCACGGGCATAGTAGTGGCGGCGTTTTTGGGCTAAGTACTCCAGGTAGCTGCAGTACTCTAAGGCGACTTTGGCATGCTTCGGGCTGGAGGACTGCAGCAGGGTCTTCAGCGTCTCCATGCTTCCGGCCCAGAACTCGTCTAAATTGATATCAAATGCGCCGATTTTGCTTTTGGACTTGCCGTTGGCTCCAAGGCGGGCTTGAGCAAAAACATGCGTATGTGGGCGGCGCAGGCGGCGGGCTTCCGACTTCAAGATTTTATCGGACTTACCACTGGAGGCGCTAGAGGTGCTAGACGCGGAGCTGGACGAGGAGGAAGACGAACTACGGGAGGATTCCGAGGCGCTGGAGCGCGAAGCTGAGCGGGAGCGGCGTGGCTTCTTTGCTTTGACCTCCTTTGCGCCAGAATCCAGCAGCACGTTGCGCTTATGGCCGGCATGGCTGGTGACCTTTAGCGTTGTTGTGGGAGAGCCTTGCTGGGACGCTTGGAACTGTTTAATGCGGGAACGGTCGCCGATCTTCTGCACGATTTGCTCCACTTCGGCGTGGGTGAGGAGGACCAGGTGGTGGCTTTCCGTGATATTCTCCTCCTCCAAGGCCTCAATAGTTTCTTTGCTCAGGCCAAGGCCAGACAGCGTTGGTAGAGCTGGCTGCGGTTGGGGCTCCGGCAGAGCGGGCGGAGGCGGAGTGGGCTGATGAGAATCCAGCCTGAAGTGGGCTATCAAGCGGTCGGCAAGGGTGCTGTTCCTGCCTGTAACGGAAAGTTTAGCGGCCTGGCATTCGCTTTTCAAAGCCGATTTGGTCATGGCTCTAATTTCGGCAGCCGTAAGTACCATGGTGCAGGGTGTGTCAGGCAGTTATGTTAAAGGGCAACTTTAAAAGAGTAAAACGAAAATTTTTCCGTAGCAAGCGGCTGGATCGCGCCAGTAATGAGCCGGCTCGGCGAAGGTGACCGGCTTATATATGCGCGCTTCCAAGCGGATGTGCAGATAGGCAAAGGGGCTGGGGGTAGGCTTCGCCATGCAGTGGCAGAGAGGCTACGCGTTCAGTGGGCGTTTATCAACAAATTTCACCAATAGTGAAATCTAACCCATAGCCGCCGTCCACTTGTCAACACCACGGCCGTAACATAGTGAAAGAAATTGACAAGCGACTTCAACAGCATACGGGTGAGCCTCGCTCCCATGAGTATCCGTCAACGTCTGTCGCTGGAAATTCAGCGAGGCAACGCTGCTTCCGTTCTCGGTGCAATGGAAGGAGCGGCAGCATTAAATGAAATTTTGTTAATTTGATTTTTCGAAACTGTGAAGTATAAATTTGCTATTATATAGGAGTTTATTGGTTTAAAACGATTTTGGAAATAAACAGTAGACCGACAATATCAAGTATGCACACTTACAAACCCTAACTCTAAATACACTACACACGTATACGTCTCCGTTAACTACGCATCTCGATATCTATACCAGATTGTTGCAAAATGCAGCTGAAAAAACAAAAAAACTAAGAGATTCACAAACGTAGTTACAATCGTTTTGCTCACCATGACAATAACGAGATGATGCGCCGTTTGCTGGGGATCGGAAATATGGATACTCTGTCGATTTCGCGTCAACACATCCACCACCTTCGTCTCGCGGCTTTTCCGCCGCTGCAGCTGCTTGACCAGCAAGAACGGATACGCTCCAACCACATACAGAATCGGCAAGACCTGTGTGACAATGGCCACCGCCGTCGAATACCACGGTTGCCGGTGGGTGTTCAACGAACACTCGCTGTTATCCACGCGAAAATACAGCTCATCCCGTAGCCACAACGGCACCGCCAAGATATGTATGTAAAGCACAATCAGCCCGCACATCCCGCACGCGCTCGCCTTACTGTGGCGGTTGCGGTAGGAGACGGGCAGGGCGATGGCCCACACCCGGTTCAGGGTGATCAGGACGTGCATGTGCATCGTCAGCGGACAGACGATCCAGATCTGGTAGAGATAGAAGGTGCAGGCGCTGCGGGAGAGCGGCCAGTGGGGGTACAGTTGGCGGATGATTTCGAGAGGATACTCGCACAGAGTGTATGTCAGATTGGCGGTTAACAGGAAAATGATGTAAATTGTGAAGGAGGTTCGAAGGTGCGGTTTTATGACAAATACTAGGAGCATGGAGGCGTTGAAGAGGAGCTGAAGAAGCCCGATGGTCAACCGCCCGGCGGGGCCGAATGTCCATGTTGCCGGGTTGCTGGTATTGGCGAACGCGGGTTCCCAAGATAGATTATTCTGTGGGAAATCAAACAGGCTTGTATTCATGGCTTTCACAATACTCACAGAAAAATCCGTCGTAAAATATGATAAATATAATGCATTATTATGGTGATTTTCGGTCAGCTGAATTAGATGGTGATAGATTGGATTTGTACATAAGAAAAACTTTAGTTCCGGATCAATATACCCGTTATGAATAAAGAGCGTTGTTGAATAATCGTAGCGAAGAAAGGGAGAATCGTTTCTAGCTGGAAATTATAGATGAGAAATGCACCATGTAACGTCCATCTCGTTGATGAGAACGACATGCTTATATACACGGATGATATTGATACAGATACTTGAGGCTGTTGTTTGGAAACCCCTTTACCGCTGGAAATTCCGCTCAACACGATCCTCGACGCCCACACCTGTACTGAACGACCGAATGGACAACAATGCTGCGGCGCCCGAGTTCATGCAACTTAAGCGGCTTTCATTTTGGGGATGACTGGTAAAAGTCAGCGGGCAGGGTAAACGGGATCAGCCTGCAATATCCGCCACCGCTCCCCGAAGCCACATATAAGAGTACCAACCTGCTGTATTATTCGTGATGTTTAATCTCGTAATCCGCAAATGGCGACTGGATTTGTCCCATTCTCCACTGCATCAAGATTCAAGCTAATCATGCTGATTGTTGTTGATCGCTGGCTGGAATACTAATCCCATATCCAGCACGGAGAGATACCAGAGGCACGGTACAGGTAAAGTAGATCACATGTTGTTCCAAAGTCGCGAGATCAGCTGTCCCATTACGGACTAATTGGCTTTGTTCTGGTTGCCCTGATTTTCCGTGTTGGGACTAGGTTCATCGGTTTCCTTGGTCTCAGGTAGATCTGTAAAACAATGGTGATGCTTGTAATTTTTTACAGCATTCAGACAACACGAAGACACGAAGACTACTGCATGCTCCAACACGAAGACTACTGCATGCTCCAACAAAATACAACACGAAGATATACTATTTACAACACGAAGACTACTGCATGCTCCAACAAAATGCTGTAGAAGTATACAAAATATAGCGCTTCATTTAGCTCTGTATACGACAACTGTTAATAATATTTCCGCGAACGAGCAGCGGTGGAATTATTTTATGTAGTTTCCGCCTCCGCTTTTCTGGTGTAGACAGTGAGACACTTGTTGTTTTCGATACACAAAGACCACAGCAATCTGAGATTGCACGGAACGCTTAGCTTTTTGAGGAAGAGTGGAAGACCCCTGTTTATGATAAAAAATGCGATTCCCTTTTGTCTAATTCTAAAATTCGAAATTCATACCACAGCAAGCAAGTTCGGAACAGGTTATAACTTATAAGCGCAACCGTACGTTCCCAGTGGCTACATGATGAATCACTGAAAGCCGCTATTTATGGCTTAACAACAGTCTGACTGGAGATTTGCACATACTGACAAACTTCGCTTGTTAATTTTCAAGATGTAACTTCAAAATTTACAGTAAAGATGTAACAGGTAAGATGCCTTATTTAAGGTAACTGATATTATCAAGTCACGAGTACGTGGTTTGCCTGTGGATTATGACTAATGTTTTGTACGGCAGATTGTTTATGTAGGCGGTTCTGTTACGCTTCCCCTGTGGTCTACTTTATTAAGGTAGGTATTTTGTTGGTAACAGGAACAGTGTGTAAGTTATAAATCTCGTTGGCGTTAGAATGCATACAAAGACCTAAGGTGCCGGAAACAGTCACACTGGCAGTGACTGGCTAGTGATGGAAGTAAAACGGGATGCTAGCGGCTGTAGACGAATGGGTACTAAGACTACTGCATTTCGCGAAATGTCCGGTTGGTTTTCTGTATTATTTTTTTTGTATTATTGCTGGCTGGTTTTCTGTATCACAGTGCATATCACGAAGCAGAGCGCAAATCTGTTCACTACTACGGAATTTCAAAGACGTTTAGGTCGGCTAACTTGCTACAAGATACATAAGAATGGCCGATGGCGCTATCTCTGTACTATCAGTCCTAATACCCGTATTGTAAATACGCTGTGGACGCGGTGGTCGCCCTCCGTATTTTGTATCCGCAGTTTTATACATTGTACAATCGAACTAGTAAACCTTATTGTTATTCACGATACACAAAATTTAACCACAGTCGGAGTCTAAGGCTCTCATGATAGACATAAAAAATACAATCCTCTATTAGATTTTTTTATGAAATGCCCACAAGATTGTGCAAAACGCGACACGGCGACAGCTGAAAAATACTACCTACTGCTCCTTAGCAGTGCGACGTCATGTTACCCATGTGTACTGTAGCCTTTCAAAATCTTTCATATCTTTCAGTTAAACCCAGTGAACAATTGTTAAATAGCCTGCTTTGATAGTTCAGTCGATAGCTAGGAATAGCACTGCTTAGTCATATTGGGCGGCATCAGATGCAGCGTTTCCTCAGTTTTCGGTGGATCAGAATGTGACCTTTCAGGGTTGGCGGTGGAGGTCCGGCCCGGCGCTGAACTCGTGTCGGGGCGTAGGCTTTGCTTGGAAGCCGACACGGAGATACCCAGAGCTTCCAGTGTCCTTCCGGCTTCCGGATTCCCCGAACTGCGGGGCAGACCACCGGTCAGTCCCAGCACAGCGCGGTAGCCCTGGCGGAACCGGGCGTTGGTCACACCGTACAGGATGCAGTTGATGGACGAGTTGCCGTGCGCCATCATGATGGCGATCATGTACAGCCACCCAGGGATCCATGATGGTTGGTGCATGAGGACGAATAAGGCGAACGGTGACCTTTAACAACATCTGCATTCTAAGTTAATGATAATGTTGTCATCAATCACCCTTATAAACCCACCAGAAAAGGATTAATTTAATGGTATTTTTAGGACGCACACTAACGTCTAACAATTACCTAATAAAACATGCAGCGTGATAATTCCGTGAAGTACCGTTGATTTTTAACGAAATTGCCAGTTTATTGTGCCTTGAGCCAGCCTTATAAAAATCTCGTTCTGGGTAAAATTGGGGGTTCTACTGTGAAAGAGCGCTTCCTTTGTTTTCTTAAGCATTGTTTCAGTCTAAATGTTGTTGAAAATATGCTGCGTATACGTTGGCATATACCTTTTAACCCGAAAGATGGATGACGCAGGCTTTTTTCGCTTTTTCAATGTTAAAATTTTAACGTTTAAATCTCAAGTAGTTACCCGTGCTGTGATTGCCGTTAAATGATCATTTTATAAAGAACAAACAAAACAAAAAGAAATGTCATCTTTAACAAAGCATAGACATGCACAAAAGCATTGAAATTAAACAGTAAATGAAAGATATCAATAACCTTTGACTCACCAGCAGATTAAGAAGGCAATGCACACCGTGAACAGCGTCTTGGCAAGCTTAATATCCTCCGTGGTGAATCCGTTACCGCGAAACGTACTTCGCCTTCGCACATCGCTGGAACCGCCATCCTTGCCGCTCACGGGAACCGTCCCAGACACAACAGTGCTGCGTGCCACGGCAGCCACCGATAGCAGTGTCATGCTGATGGATTCCCGGCTCTTCCGACGAATGACGGTGTAATGCACTTCGCGTTTACGATGCCGGCGAATGCCTTTCTTCACAAGGACATGGTAGCGGAATATGCTGGCGTAGCTGAAGCAGACGATGCTCAGCGGCAGGAATACACCCACGACAATGTAGAAGATGGCGTAGGAATGCGTAGCACTGCAAGAACCTTCGGCGCGTCAATACACAACGGAGCATTAAGCACAACGTATCGAGCTAACACTTCATTTCATTCAGTTTTACCCTTTTTTCTGCTTTTTTTTGTGAGATGTCCAAATGTTTCATAAGAGAAACATTTTAGACATATTACAAAGCAGAACGTCGGCGTTCCATAAACACTGGCTCTACTGCTGCTGCTCTATGCTCTACTACATTTTTCTTCCTTATATTTTTTCCGTCATTCGATGTTTCACTTACATGGAGAACGTACAGATGTAATAAGCCGGGTCGAAGGCATTGTCGCCCCTGCAAAGCGATCGCAGAACGGCATGAACACCAACCGGAAAACGCGCACGTAATATTAAAAGGAGTTCAGAATAATATAACCACATACCAGCCAACATGGTTGGGAAAGTGGATGCCGGTGGAGATGAGCCAGAGCGCGACGCACATTAGACAGGTGTTGCGCCAAGTGTACAGTCGGTGGTACAGAGAAATGTGACAGATCATGATGTACCTAATAGTTGTTTCAAATAACTATTAATTCTTAAATGCATACGGGGTTAAAAAAATACCAGGACACATTAAAAGAACTAAACTAATTTATGTGTAGCTGGCAAGTGTCTATGCGTATTCTTTGTTACAGCTTAGGATAAAATGGTCGCATACCCAACATCTCCAAATTCGGTACGAATGCAGCGCAGTGCACTGTACGACTGAGTTCAAAATATCCGTTTCGTACAAGTGCACTGCACCGCTTGCGTACAGAATGCTGGGTATGGGGCTATGCGACCATTTAGTCCTACACTGTAATTATTTCCAAAGTGTACTACGGGTATTAAGTTACAGTTTATTTACGCTTTATTTTTAATTATCTTAGGTAATTTGCTTTCACAGTTTTATCTGTATGTTCATTATGACAATCTTCGTTTTATTTAAGAAAGATATCTTATGTACGTTTTACGTAATATTAAATAACAACAGCTATCGTAATCTATAAAATATATACAGTATCTTTGACAGTAAATCGACAAACCGCTGCGAAAATTGTACAGCTGCTTCTTAAACGTGCTGACACAAGTGTTGACGGATACGTAGCGAAAACGCTATCCTATTTAATGCAATTACGGCGCGAAAAATATGGCTAACCGATTGACGCTGATGGCGGTGATGCTGAACATGGAGCACAGACATGCCGGTGCGCACATGGCGGCGATGAAGTGGCACAGCGTCCGGTGCGTGTCGAAGTACGTTTGCCCAACGAACGCCCCGATGACGTTGAAGGGATCGACCAGCGTGGTGACGATGAGGTCCGCGATGGCCAAGTTGACGATGAAGATATTGCTGGGCAAACGCAGCGCCTGCAAGCACATCCCGTCACTTAATCATCGTACGTTAGTTAATGCACTCTTAGCACGCTAATTCGCCATCGCGGCAGCGGGCGCGGTCAACACAGAACCGGCGCACTTCCGTTTGTTGACGATGGGCGCTGTTCTCGGCGTGGCAATGAACTGCACCGTAATTTGTTGAACGAAATCAAAGAAATTGTGTACAGTTTTCTGTCTAAATGAGATCAACGTCCTGCAGGTGAGATTCTACAGAGTAGTAAGAGCTATTCTGCACACGTTAATTGTCGTTATGTTGTTAGAGAAGGGTTTTGCGCGCGTCAATTACCGCTCCTCTAATGGATATTAACCGGTGCTGTCATGTGCACTACCTTGGTTAGGGACACCGTCAGAATGACCTACAAACACTGCATGGTTAGTAATCACCACGATGGCTACTTCGCTTTTTAGCATATTTCGGTCACTTTGCGTATACCTGATCTCCGGTCACCAGCCATGCGGCAGCTACTTTAGTAACCGCCAGATATGCATGTGATCCCAACCCTTCTCATTCGATTTACTTTTTTATGAAAACGTTTTTATTATCATTATAGTTTTCAGATAAATTCCGTAAGCGAGATTTTTGTTGGTCAAAACGATTATTTCTAGTAAATTTTTTGCGTTTCGAAATACGATACGTGTGTGACCAGTTTTCGAAAACTTATAACGCAAAGTGACCGACAGATGAGAAAGATATCACGGATAAACAGATATACGAACACAAATAATTTTTACTGATCTTTGCAATTCTAGGATTCATGCAGAATGGCAAACTGGTTTTTACCAGAATGTTCCCAAAAATCCCAACAACGGACGCCAGTAACAGTAAAACGGCAAAGATGACCTGTAGATGTGGATGCTCCTGCAAGTAGCTTGCTTCCACGGTGATGGCCGGCACGTTATAATCTACCATGTGCGGAATCGGCGGATGCGCGCTGCTAGAAACTGTCTCCATAATATACAGCGTAAAAATTAAAATAATCAAAATTGGTTGAGACGCTTCTGCCTGATCGCATTACCGGCAACACACATTTTGACAAATAACGAAGACACACCAGTCATTCGCCGTACTGCGCGGGGAATGGCTTTTTCAATTGAGTACTGCCGCAAGGCACCAGGCATGTAATCCCTAAGAATTGAGGGATGAGTGGTTCAAATGGGCAGACGAGGATGGTGCACTACATTGTAACGCACAAATGATGCGAAATTATACAGATATAATAAATATCACGTTTTCTCGAAATACAGCGCCCACGATTTCCGGGGAATACCCACCGGTTGATCTCACCGGGCAAATGACGCCGATCGGTAAACGTTGCAGCATGGGTGACAAATTTGACCTTTGAATAACCAGGTTTGCATCATGGACTGCGTGTTCGGAGAACCCAAAACTTTGCCGCCAGAATATTGCCCTTATCAAGTGCCGTAAATTTGTACAAGCGAAGCTATGCGGTGCATATTTCCGGTGGGGAAAAACCGGCGAAAATGGCCTTGCTTTGCTGATAATTAGCGAATCAAGAAATATGTAAAAGCGCGGCCTAGCTAAACGGTTTACCGGCTGGAGAAAATAAGCCGCCAGCCGCGGGCGCTATCGGGAGTGGTTTGGGCAGTGGGAGCATGGTTGTTCAGAGCGAGTGTAAGCGGGTTTTAATGGGCGCAGCAATCAATCTTTATTAAATTAAGCCGCGGAAAATTGCCCCCGAGATTGAGGCGGTGGGCAGAGCGGGTGTTAATTGGCCGCGACGCTCGCGTGATATATCCAGCGCAGTCAGGAACCCAGGATGCCCAAACAGACCGATCGGTTACATCCGCCCATTAGGCCAGCAGAGCGGAAGATGTTTTAGCCGTACCAGCTTCGTACTTTACCGGCAACCGACTCTACCGACAGGGTGGCTACGTTTATCTATGATTTAGGTTCTGCGCAAACGTCATAAGGAAAAAAACAATTAAAAAAGTGCTGCAATGGTTATCTATGGCTGCGCATTTGAAACAACCGGGAAGAACCGGTACGAGTGCAGAGTGCAAAAGCAACAAACAAATTAATGTTTTATAAAAATCCGCAGCTGTATTTTTATAAAGAATAATGCATTAAGAAAATCATTATCATTTTGTTAACTACTGATTCATATATGTTCATATAAGCACCTAATTCTATGATAACGTCCACATAAAGCAAATATAACGGTATATATGCAAAGACGTCAAACTCTCTTCTGCTAAAAATTATACTGTATCTGTATATGGGTATTCATATGTACGGTATGTACCTTATCGTTAAATGGAATATTAGTGTACAACAGGATTTACGTATGTCGGACATTCTTGTGCGCCATGCGCCCTCCTTCGCGTGGCAGCAGCGCTGGAGCACAGCAAAGTACTAGTACCGTGCCGTAGTTCATATATCTCAAGGCGGTCTTTTATTATATTTCCCGCTCATTGATGTGGTTTATGAAAAATTAAACGAGCTTGTGCATTACTACAAGCACACTGTTGTAGCCGCAGCCGGAGGGTACGTTTTCGAACAGACCGGATGCCTATATGACTAAAGGTACGCATAGGTACGATCTAATGCATTTTCTTTCGCCAAACGTTTAGCAGCTGTTACCTAATTTAAATATACACATTAGCGCTTGGTGAGGACAGCTTCTTGATCTTGGTTGACTGCTTAGAAAGGGATGACATAATACCCTGCTTGAAAATGGTTTAATTAATAAGTGCAACGAACACAAGAATATTTTTTCCGACCTGTGCAACGCCTCGTGGAAAGCATGGCCACAGTTATTACTGCACAAAAATCCGTGGTTAATCTTTTTTACTGTTAATGAGCAAGCCACAGTAAACTGAAGAAACAAAAAATGATGGGACCATTGATCGTTGTTCTCGTGTCGTCGCTTGTGGCCGCGCAGGATATTCAGACACGTTTGGACAATGATCAGACCGCCGTCCGCAAGGGTTTACCGGAAATTTTTAAGCGACCGCTGCCGGTGCGCAGTCAACCGGAACCGTTACTGCCAGGCATCGGTAAGTAAACTGGTAAAGTTTAGACGACAAAGAATTATTGCATCGTAAGAAGAAGTAGATCGCACAGCAAGTATAATATTTTAAAAAGATAGAGTTGAATAATATTTTTTCCCGCTGAATATTTTTGCTTTTAAGCGCACTTGCGAGTTCGTGCGACGCATGTGGCGCAACTTCCACTTTTCGGAGTGAAAGCAAAAATGGGTTTTCATTATATGAACAATAACGACGTTGCTTTTAGTCTTGTCAGCTGGTTTACTAGTTTGACGACGCAGATAGAACGGTGTCCTTAATTACGTGCTGAACACTAAACATTTTAACCCACAGTTTCGGTGCTGACGGCATCAGCATTGACAACGAACGTCATTCCAAGCATCACGCCTTCGACTACCAGAACAATTCAGTCCAGCCCAACGGAAAACACCACCCCCGCATTCACCGTCGCATCGGTTAACAAGCAAGCCGTTATCGTCACTTCGACACTCGCTTCCGCCAACCAGACAACTGCTCCTTCCAGTACTATGCAGTCAACGATGACGACACCGTACCAGAACAGCACCCCGTCGTATTCGTACCAGAACCCGGGCTATGCGAACCCGAATACCAATATGAATGCATATTCAAGAAGAACGAACAATAACTACGCCAACACTAACACGTACTCTGGTGGCGGGATGCAGAGCAACTACGGCAATAGAAACCAGTATCCAAGGAGGAATTACCGACAACATGGCGGTTACATTTACGTCTCGCATCAGGACTACGGAACGTATTACACGAATCCCGATTTCTGGACGCTCATGACGGAGAACGATATCAACGATGATAATATGTTTAATAATAATTTCTAACCGACCAAAGCAGTTACACATCTGTTCCAAGAAAACTCCTCTCATCTTTTGTACAGTGTTTTTAAATCATAACGTTTATTTAAATACGTTGGCAGTTTGTGCTGCAGTTGAGCGTGAAACATGTGTACTGTACAGTCTCTGACCTGTATTGTTTTTATTGCAGAGCACCTTCCTATGAACTTTTTGCATCCGAGTTATAAAAAAAAACAGACAGAAAGTTATTCCGAGCGTTATAGCGCAAAGAACGCATGGTGTTTTAAGGTTTCTTATGAAAAATAAGCAAACATCATGAATACAAAATAAGCGCAAATTTGCTTTCGTGTGGACAAACCGTTGACTACCAACGGAGGTTGACATGGGATACTGCTTTTTATTAATAACCAACACACATTTCGGGTAAGAAAAGGGAACACTCGATGCAATTTATAACAGCAAAACTTCATTCAAACTATCCACTCCATCCATCGTCCCAAGGATAGATGCAGCATTTCCGCGCTGAATCTCCAGCGATAGTCGTTGGCGCAGGAATTCATGTGAACGCCGCTCTCCTGTGTGCTGCTGCAGTCTTTTGCCCAATTCCTTTACAATAGCCATAGCCGCCGGACCCCAAGGGCCCATCGTCTCAAATGCGATCGGGGAAAAGATGTAACGCCCTTCCAGATACGAGTACAAATGGGACTGGTTGACATGGTTGACACGGTTGACAAATGGTACAGTACAAATGGTTGACAATTATCATCAGAACTGATATATTCGTTGCTACATAAAATGCCCGACACGATCTCACCGTGGACGCTGTGTTCTGGCTTTGCGGAAACTAACAATCCACATCAACGGATCAAACACCAGCTGCACCATGTACATCATGTGACAATACTGGAACACCGTGAAGATCGTCCGTGATGGTTTCTCCACCAGGAAGCGCTGGTACAGCATGACGACGTCCAACGGCAGCCAGCAGATCACCACACTCAGCGTCGTCAACGTCAGAATCAAAAACGGCCGGACCACGCTGCGTTCGGGGGTGCGTGCCGGTTTCCCTTTCCCGTCGATCCGCGAAGCGTTAAACGTACTTTCCAAATTGTCTATCTTCCTTACGGATCCACTGCGTTCCATGCTATCCACCGCGTTTATCCGCTTCTTATTGAATCGTTTAATAACCAGGTAAACGTAGATCCCGGCAATGATGAACAGCGGCGCAAAGCGGTGTAGGACACTGTCTACCTTGCTGAAATAGGAATATCCGGGCGGCACCGGTGTGGAGCATAAGGACGGCGTTTCAAAGCGGACTTGATAGGCATTGGGTTTGTAAATAAACACCGATGGCAGCTTGAACACATGGACGTACACCACGGTCAACACACAGATTAGATACGCCGTTTTCTTGGTGTGATAGTTACGATAACTGTGAGGATACGTCAACGCCCAGAGACGGTTGAAGGCAATCAACATGTGGCACATTACCGGTATCAGACTGACCACCAAGTGGAAATACGAAAAGGTCAAGCAGGTAAGTAATCCGTAGGAATGAAATTCGATGTGGTAGACTTCGGTCAAGAAGATAAACGGGAACGCTCCGGCCAAGTAAACAGTGTTGGCGACATAGAGAAATAACAGATAAATCGTGAAGTGGTTGATGTATGCCGGATGAATTGCATGGACAATCAGGAGGGCAAAATTGAGAACGAAGGACGTGAACGCGGTGACTGTCTTTACGGCAAACTGTGGAGTAATCGTGGCGCCCGTGGCATTTTCGGATGGGTGGCCAGTTAAATTTGGAATGGATCGGTTGAAGATATCCATATTAAATCAAAAAAGAAAATTGCTCTAAATCTTCAACAACTAAAAAACAGCGTGGAAATATTTGCCGCTCGACAAATGCTTCTTCTGTTCCGCTGGTTATATTTCCTCTTACCGCGTTAAACACGTCAAACGTCCACGAGGTATACGCGTTAATTAAGTAACCGGAGATGTGTATGCGCGCCAGGGATGCTTTGTGAGAAAATTATGGAATAATTATTTTAACGATGTGCTCCGCGATCGGATGACGATGGACGCATACGGGGTAAGCCGGAAGTGTAAGTGGAGGAAATAAAGCGTTCTCTAGAACAATGTGCAACTGCCGGACGTTTACGTGACGGCTGAATAATAATTATAACAGTTTCAGCATGACGCGTGCTTATCTGGAAATAATCATCATGATGTTCATTTGGAAAAAGAAAGAAATATCTCCGACTGACGTTCAACGAAGGTAATCTAATTATCCGAACGGGAACGTGTTGTCACGGCATCATTTTCCGATTATATCACCTAATTTACGGTGGAATAATGTTTGCGTATTCTTTCGCGGTCTTTTTCGTTAAATCGTAACCGGTTCTTAATCCAGCTACTTATCATAAACTGGAAAATACATCACAAGACTAATGAGTGACGAAGCAGAAACCGTTTCCTGAACTACTTAAATTTGCTGATGATATACAACAAGCACATATTTTACTGTAATACAACATTAATTACACATTTTACTGTAATACAACATTAATTTTCACATTACACGGTTTTAAATGCTTCAAGCGCGGTTTGATTTCGAGACGATTGTCCCGGATGCTTGATACTGGTCAAATACGTTCACCAGATTGCAAAACAAGCACGGAGCTGCATTATGGTTACTGAAACTAACTGTAGGGCATCCAAAGCGGATTTTTTAACAAATCTGCATCTACAGAAAAGTATATGAAGGCTGGGAGCATAAGGTAAGGAAAATACATTTAAAGAGAAAAACAAGGGAGTTGCAAAAACACTGCGCTGAAGTCACAAACTACATCCTTCTCTTGATGAATCTGATGCAGCCTTCATTTTATGTGTCCAAGCAAAACAGAAGAACCACTCGTTATATTTAGCGGGAAAATAATAATCATCATAATTAGGTATACTAGCGTCCCTGAGTTGCCAAGCATCGTTGTCCACGTATGAGTGTTAGGCTACCGTTGGTAATATACAACAAGCACATATTTTACTGTAATACCATTGGTTACTGATCGACGACGTCCACCATCTGACAATGCTTGAGAATATTCTCCTCTTTCGCTCCAAGCAGCGCGTGTGCTGCGCTACTGACGAAACATTTGCTCCATGTGCCGCGCGCCGAATTCTGATTTTTCCTGACAAGTAAAACGAAAATTAAATAAGTAAGCCAAGCGGCGATTGTGAACGCACTCGTAAGAGGATAGTACCATGGGCACACTTTATTTGGAAGAACATTAACAAGATCCAGTTTGACGTAGCAGGCGCGTGCTGCCAATGGTCCGACCGAGAACAGAATAGAAATACTGAAAAGTGGACACGCCCAGTGAGATATCATCGTCGCTGCCACACGCGTCCCGGGGACCAAGTGTTCGTGTGTCGGTGAAGCCTGTGAAAAAACCGCAAACTGTATTACAACAAAACTTTGTTGTGCCCACCGTTGCATAGATATTCACTTCTTAATGGAAATAATGTAAAAGATGAGTTACTTTTTCAACGCTATCGCTTGGTGTACGAGTACTTGTACATTTGTTCACCTGTAGCACTTCTTATAGTTGACCGGGAAAGGCTGCAACTGATCCGGAGCGTCAAACTTGGCACACGTCATGTAAATGATGCCCTCGTTCTGGCAGGCAGCAAAATGTTCCGGATAGGTACCCCGCCGACTGGGATCCTCCAGTAACAGTCGTAAGGCGCGCGAACTGCACACAATATGCGGACTGCAGCAATGAAGAACACATGGTCAAGAGAGTTACCAGCGTCTAAACCGCACACATGTAACTAATATATGATCGTTTCTCCTACACTATACGTAACGGAGAATACCGCCAAATCCCATCAATGATCTTTACTGTAGCCCACACGATAGATAATGATTCGCTCAATCACAACTTCATCATGGCGCTGAGAAATCAGCATAGAAAACAGACGTCTTTAGACACAGATAGCTACGTGAAGATAGTTCACAACAATTGCATAAACGCCGGATTACGCCGGTGAGCAACACTGTATACATGACTATGCGTCACACAGCACTCCCGTTCTTAAGTTTGAAGCACGGCGAAAACCAATCACTTTGAGAAACGGAACATAACTTGAACGATTGGATGACCGTAATGAAGGAAAACGCTATATAAAAAATTACATGAAAGAAGAGGTGCAAGCGTTAAGGCAAGGCATTACGGCGAGGGTTCCCGTAGGGTCCGGTTACGAAGTGTCCGGATAACGGGGCGATCGGTTTCGTCGACGGGCTCGTCCGGTTTCCTGGCAGGACGACGAGGTTTGGTGACGCAGTCCCGCTCAATTTCCACGCGCAGCTCGGGATCCACGTCCTCGACGGGAATGTCCCACTGTGAATCAGTGTCACCCATTAAATCCAAATCAGACAGAGGCTCCGTGAACAGTTTTAGTCTCTTTACGTGGACAACAAGAGTGTTTTTACCACGTTTTTTAGTACGCACAGACTGGATCTCGTAGTTAAGCTTTGATTTACGGCTAACCACTTTGTACGGTCCAAAGTAATGTGCGATTAATTTTGGAGACAAACCAACAGGAGTTACCGGCGTATACAATAACACCAAATCACCGATTTGGAATTCACGCGGTTCTCTTTTGATATTGCCGGTCAACATATAACCAGCTTGGACATTCTCAATATTAGCTTTTGCAACATCACTAGCCAGTTTAAGACGCTCAACGAGAGCCTGACTGTATTCGTGCATGTTATTCAAATTGTTATTCGGAAGTGCACCAAGCTGTGCGTCCATGACTGAACGGCACTCACGCCCGTACAACAAATAAAATGGTGTTTTATTTGTCGAGGCTTGCTTACTGGTGTTGTAAGCTGTAGTGACATATGGGAGATGTAGGTCCCAATCTTTTTGATTATCACTGACATACAGGCTAAGCATAACGGCTAATGTTTTATTGAACCGCTCAGTCAATCCATTACACTGTGGATTGTACGCTGTTGTGTTCAGATGCCGCGTTTGACATAGCACTAGAACTTCCTGAACTACATCTGACAGAAATGGACCACCTTGGTCACTCAAAATTCTTGACGGCGCACCGTGACGCAGTATTACTTGATGCACCAAGAAATTAGCAACTGCAATAGCGGTCTGCGCCGGAATAGCTTTTGTTTCCACATATTTTGTCAAATAGTCAGTA